AGATGACCTCTCATCTTGTGTTTTCGACCGGTCCCGACATTTCCCCCGCAACGGTTGTCGGTGTCTCGGAGCCAACGCCTGTGAAAGAAAAACTGGAAGAAGCAAAAGAACATGACACCTCCTATTGCACACATGGCCGGCTATAGGAAAACTTGATAGGTCTATGAGCATGCTGGTCGACCCAGGAAAAGAGCTAGAAGTGATATGCGACAAGCTGACCTTGGATTTCGCAAAGGTCTTCCTTCCACTTGCCTGCTCAACCGATCATTGCCCTTAATGTCTGGCCTGACTTGCAGCATGCAGAACGAGACGAGAATAGCAACACGGCCTGCTTCTTCGCGGCCTAGATCGACCCACGAATCGACCCCGGGTGGCATAGTATCTGGGCGACGCAATCGGCCAGGCATACCGGCAGTGACAAGGTTTTCTTCCGGCAGTGCGAACTACGGATTACAGCTCACAGGGCCATGATCTCTAGGCAACATATGTCGGTAAACGTCAGTGCGATGAAAAGCGCAAATGGCGATGCGGCGACCGGACGAGAGCAGCTGAAACCTGCAGCTCGACTGTGGCGACTATTATGCGCTGGCCGCGTCTAATCTGGACCCTGCGAGGGCCGACAACCAGCTTGCGACTGTATCTGCAACTGCGCTGCATATCGCAAGGGCAAGGGCAAGGTCAAGGCTAAGTTGGCAGTCGAACCGAGACAAGCAGCCCTGCTAGAGTGTGCAGAAGCAATTCGCAACGGCTTCCCTGGGTGGCGCCAAGGGGACTGTAAAGAGGCAACCTAAAGCCACAAGGCCGTAAAAAAGGCGAAAAGCTGCACTCCGCCACACGCCTCATCCGCAACCCATATATTCACTGGACCGTGAGGCTGGTGACGTGGCATTCAGGCCCGATAAAGTGGGTCTCGGGTGGCTCAGTGCCAACAGCACCGTTGCTTTCTGTGGCTTTTCCTGGTCTTGAAAATCGCAGATCTCAGGGTTTTCGTCGGCCCAAGTGCTACCGCAAATGCCCCATGTACTCGGTACTCGCAACGGTGGAGCCAGGATCGTCTCGCTGACTCCGAGAGACAACTTGAGATCTGGGCATCAGGCATTGAGCATATCCAAAAAACAAGGCCGCCATATTGGATTATCTGCGGTCTGGAAACCAAGTCACTCGTCTCGGTCTGCAGAAACAGAAGCGAGCCCGAGCAATGATGAAATCATCAAGATCCCTTTTCACTTTCCAACACTGATCCAGCCCACGGCCCCTGTCCCTTCTCCAATCGTAGCCGCCAAAGATCCCGCAACCAGGGGGCCAGTTTAGGCGGGCAGGGGTTTCGGCACTTTCATTGGCCTAGGTCGATGAGACAGCAGGGATGCGTAATCTGTCGTCTTGGGTCTAGTGAGTAACGTGATGAGTCCGAGGTGCGAGCTGCCACAGCTTTCACACTCTTTCACACCCCATCACGGCGGCTGTTGGAGGAGGAGTATCAGACTTTTTCTCTCTTATCATCCGAATCTAGTATCGTCGTACATACGGGTCCACGCAGACAAGGAGCCAAAAAAATCGCCCGCCCACGCCTTTATCCGCAAGTGGCGCATGGCGCATTCTCACAGACGCGGGACTAGCGCGCTGGGTGGAGGCCAGGGCAACCACACCCATCGACCTAAGAGCTCGCTCGAATGGGAATCCTGCTCTTCCCTTCACGACATTTTCGGGTCCTCACGGGAGGCTGGTCGGGGCTGGGCTGGGCTGAGACACGAAGGCTAGCAATCAGCTGCCCCCAGAGCTTGATGCGTTGGCAGCACGACTACTTGATCAGCTCCATCCCTATGGATTCGTTTCCACGAGAGAACGCCCAGTCTTCAAAACTCCCCTTACCCGTTGCGCACAGGCTCGCTTGTAATGGTCGACATCGAACCGTAGCTACTGTAGCTTGGATAGGAACCAAAGTCAGCAAGCCATCCAATCGACACCCGGTATGCGAGAACCTTGCCTTAGAGGGCCCGGCTGGAGTGTTATTGACGGTTCCAAGTGGAGCAATGGGATTTCATGGTCGAGACGAATAATCTTTCAGACTTTTGTTCGTTGGTCAACGGCGGTTCGGTCTATGCGAATGATACGATCATATTGCGCTGGGAGAGGAGCACTTTGCCCTGCAGGTTTGCGGCGTGGCTTGGAAAGGAAGGGGCTGACGAGCTGGCCATGTTGGTCTCTTGATTAGGACCCCAACTTTGATTCCTTCCTAGGATTGGAGTTGGCCGCCTACAAGTGAACCGCGTCATGCCTTCAGCATGTCCCTCCAGACTAGTCTACTGGCTCCAAAGGCATGGCCGCGGCAGTTTCCTTAGTGTTAGTCAATGATGGCCGGGGACCCGTCGTTGTCTAGCGGCGGGTCTGGGCGCCGTCTCCTACGTAACTTCCTAGCTTGCCCACCCAGTTGGGTGCTGCTTCGCGACGACGGAGTGCAGTTTGAGGCTGGCGGACGAGGGGGGTTGGTGTTTTGGTGGTGTGTGAGGTGGTCTGTCTTCAAGTGAGACTGGCACAATGCGAGGTATTGTAACGTCGGCTTCTGGAAAAGGGCTTGAGGAAACTTCTGATTTGGCATCTGAAGCTCACGCGTGAGACCTTGTGAATCAGTAGGATTGAGGTCGACTTGAAGATTTCCTTGAGCCCTCGTCAGTTGCGTCCTCATCACTGACCAGCAATAGCTGGAGCCGACTGGTCGTCCTTCGCAGTACTTCTCTAGAATGGAAAGGCCACTTCAGTCCCAACTTAGTATTCAAGCAAGGCAATCCGGGAAAGGCCTTCTATCCTTATCAAGCCTGTAGGAGAAGCTGTAGCCCTGCCGGGGGCCGGGAAACCTCGCTTGACTGGGTTTCAGTCGCTGTTGGCTGTTTTTCGTTTTCACTTCTTACCTGTTTCTGTAGGATTCACGTCTAGGTATACAGCAAAGTAAGCAAGACAGTTAACTCGGGGGAGGAGATTACTTGACGGTTGTGTATGTTGGTCGTTGTTGAGTGCGAGGCCGTATCACCGTGGCGGTTTTATGGCCTCCATAGTAGCGGTATTGAACCAGTGACACAGGCGCCCAGACGCGGCGACATCAAGAGCATCCGCTGCTCGTTGATGACTTGCCATTGATTAGACGCGGACCTGGGGGTTACTGGTTGGTCTCCGTGTCGAGACGAGACTGTCTGCGATGTGAGCTAGCGCTCATCGCCGCCCTTGTGTATGATGAAAGAACACGAGATTCGTTTATCAGCAGAGGTTCCCTACAAACGAGTATATCTGCTTCGCTGCCAAAGTCTCTTGGTAGCTTGGTTTACATCTTTCCGGGCTGTGCTTCTTTGCCTTGCCGCAATGGTTGAAGTTGATGCCATGGTATTGAGAGGTATACAGTCGAGTAGTAAAGCTGTAGTATCACTCGGTTCCGGTCTTTGTTCACGTTCTCTGTATATCAGTTAACATGTACATGGGAAGACACTGGTAATTGAAGTGATTTAGATCTGACAGGTGAGTTGGTTGTGCGCATATCACTGTGGTTATCCCTGAGACACTTCAGTTTGGAAGCTAGAGCTATCATTTGTTTTGGGACAGCCCGCCAAGGAATGCTATTTAAACACTGAAAGGATGCAGTTCTGCTCCAGGCATCAGTGGGATCTGATACGGCATAAAGAGTGAGCTGTGAGTTGGAGTGTTACGCAACCTTGAGTTTATAGGAACCTCTGAAGATAAGACAGGTAGATTTTATGCACTGGGAATCACACATTGCGTGGCGCGTAGCTCTAATGCCGTTATGAACAAGATTTAGAATCCTCGTCACAGTAAGAACCGAGCAGTCGACTTGGGTCGGGTCTGAGGTTCTGGAGGATTATGTATGTTTCAATGTAGGTGATTTCGACCTACCAGTGATACTTGCTTCTCTCTGGTGAGGGTTGAGGGCTCGATAGGTAGTGACAATATGAGGGCACCTGGGATCGATGATCGAACGGCAATTGTAGAAAATAGTGTTTCAAGAGCTCTCATCAGACCTGCACTTGAGAGACTGCTAGGAGCCATGATTGAAGTTCTTTACCTACATGGATAACTCCATTCATATGCTGTGGTAGCGTAGTAAAACAAGACGGAAGAGGAAGTTGGGCATAGAGTACGCTCTTAGACGCAGTCATCATCATCAACTTTTTATTTATTCTATGCTATTCTAGCTACGCCACTGTCACTACCGTGGCCATGGGTTTTCCTCTTGTCTGTCGTCGGTAGGAACGCAGAACTACCGACCATTACTGCTGAGTTGACCACGGTACCAAGATATCCACAAAGAGTGACAATATCTCTTGACCCAGTGCACTGTGGAGGACGAACGGAGAGTTAAACAAACAAAGGCATTGTATTCTTTCTTCTGCTGTCAAGGTACATCTCGATTCATCTGCAGACATGCCCGGCCTCGTCAGGCTTTCAAGCAGGGGCGAAACATCGGAACAACTGGTCCTGGGAGGGACATTATGCCAAGCGTTGTGACCTGGCAATATTGAATAAGCTATACAGTATTCTTTCCTATTCATTAGTTTCTGACTCAGTCACTGTATTCCTAGCTTGCGCGTTGCGCGTTGCCATGCCATCGCTACACATGACAATTGAACTCGGTCCAGGACCATATTCTATCCAATTCCTTGACAGTGGGGGAAGCCCGCACCAACAAAGTACAGAAAGTAGACGGATCGAGGCTACGATGCTCCTCCCATGCAACCCCCGCCCCGCGGATCTGCGACCCCCGGGCTCGCTCGCCGCTTCGCTCCAGATTTACCCCGACGTCCCCTCACTCTCCTCGAACAACGCGGGGAAATTCTTCCATCGTCCACCACGAAGGTATCCGGTCTGCTGCAAAACCAAGACGAAGAAGCCAAGAGATCTGCAACCGTGCCAGCTGAAATAACACCGCCGCGCCGCATACGACATCACAATGGCAGGGCCACGCTCACGCCCACTCGTCCCTCCGGCCTGCTTCTACGATGGCGCGCTTCCTCCGGCTCGCCCTCTTGCTCTGCCCTCTTCTGGCCTCGGCTAGCACCACGGACCCGGACCCATCGCGGCGGTGGGAGGCTTACATCAAGAGCCCAACGTCGCGCACCGTCCTCCCCAAAGAGATCCATGCCATCTCCGGCGCCGCCGAGGTGACCTCCGCCGACGATGGCACTTATATCCTCTCCCTCCAACCTGGCGGACAAGTCTCCCTTAACTTTGGCTACGTCGGCGGTCTCCTCTCCATGACGACGGAGACGGACGAAATCACCACGGAGGACTCGTCCGGACCGCACTTCTCCCTTGCTTTCGCCGAGTCCCCGGTCTTCGTCCGCGCAATCTCAGACGACACCGGCGCGGTCCCAACCCAGGACTACGACAAAGCCCTCAACGTAACCCTCACCACCGCCTCCCCTTCCCCCTACATCATGCCAACGGAGCGATTCCGCGGCGGGTTCAAGTTCGTCACGGTCCACGCCTTCCGCCCCGTCACAATCTCCTCGATCGTGTGCCACCTCGGCTACTCCCCCTCTCAGGACGACCCTAGCGACTACTCGGGCCACTTCTACACCCCGGACGACGACCTCCTCGTCAGGGCGTGGTATGCCGGCGTCTTCACGGCGCAAACAAACATCGCGCCGCCCAACACCAGCCGCTGGCTCCCGCAGGTCAAGGACGGATGGGCTTACAATGCGACCCTCGGCGCCGAAGGGCCTATGCTCCTCGACGGCGCGAAGCGCGACCGCGCAGTGTGGCCCGGCGACCTCGGCATCGCGGGGACGACCGCGTACCTCGGCCTCGGCGACGTCGGGCTCGAGTCGGTCTATTACGCCCTCGAGACCATGTTCATCTACCAGAACGCGTCCACGGGCGCGCTGCCCTTTGCGGGCCCGACGACGGGGTCCTGGCGCCGCGGGGCAAGGAGCGATACATACCACGCCTGGACGCTGATCGCGTGCTTCAACTATGCGGTCTTCACCTCGGATCTTGACTGGGTGGCTTCGCGCTGGGGGAACATCTCGGCGGGCGTGGGGTACATCGTCCGGGCGCTCGGCAACGACGTCGGCCTCGCGGAGCAGGTCGAGCCGAACGACTGGGCGCGGCTCGGCGGCGGCGGGTTCAACAGCGCTCTCAACGCCTTGAACTACCACGCGCTGTACACCCTCGCCAGTCTGGCAGCCGACACGGCAACGGAGGACAACGGACGCGGGAGGCAGGCCGAGACATGGGCCGCCGCCGCGGCGAGGTTGAAGGAGGCTTACAACACCGTCCTCTGGGACCCCTCCGCCTCGCTTTTCCGCGACAACGAGACCGAGGCCGGCGCGCTTCTGTTCCCACAAGACGGCAACGCCCTGGCGCTCTACTACAACCTCACGACCTCCCCCTCCCAAGCCTCCGCGGTGTCCACCGCCTTACTCCGGAACTGGAACCAAATCGGCCCCGTCACGCCCGAGCTCCCGGACACTATCTCCCCCTTCATCTCGAGCATCGAAGTCCTTGCCCATTTCACGGCCGGGAAGCCCCGCCGCGGGCTCCGTCTTGTGCGGCGCACGTGGGGGTACATGCTCGACTCCCCCTTGATGACGGGGGAGACGCTGGTAGAGGGGATGAGCGCCAACGGGTCGCTTTACTACCGCTCACAGCGGGGCTACAATTTCGACGCGGCGTACACGTCGCTGTCGCACAGCTGGTCGACGGGGCCGACACAGGCGCTGAGTTTCAAGGTCGTCGGCCTGGAGGTTGTTGGGTGGAAGAAGTGGGTGTTCAGGCCGCAGGTGGGGGACCTGAGGAGGGTTGAGGCCGGGTGGAGGGATGCCAAGGGAGGAGCGTTTGGGGCCGTGGTCGTGATCGAGGACGAGAGCGTCTTGGAGGCGGAGGTTTGGACGCCTGAGGGGACCAGTGGGACGGTCGAGGTTTTGAGCTGTCAGGTTGTGTTGGTTGACGGGGAGAAGTGGGACGGGGGCGAGATCAAAGGTGGGAGGACGAAGGTACGAGGTGAAGGGTGTCGGACCAGTTGTTGAAGCTGATACTGGAGCATCCAGTCGAGTTGAACTCTGGAAGCCGCGAGGTGCAAATTGCATTAAACCACAGCGGAAGCAGCACATGAGGTCGATTATTAGAGTTGAAAAAACCATCAAGACATCAACAAGCGGCTGTGTGGAGTACCTGAACGTGTTCTCGTAAAGCTAGTACACCTGAGTCGTGGATGTAGCCTACGGCCGCCATTCACAAGATGGATAACGCAACACACTTCAGTGTCTCGTAAAGCGACAAAACCAAAGAGTAATCGACCGAAAAACCAAGTTCATAGCATAGTGCTTGTTCAGAAACGATTTCTCGGATAGCGGCGCAAAAGGAAATGCCCCCTCACGGGATTGAACCGTGGACCTTCGCATGACGAACAAGTACGAGTGCGACGCTCTACCACTGAGCCAAAGGGGCTTGTGAAGTTATGGGGACTAGTATGAAAATAGTTTATCAAGCGGGGCTGGTGACCCCTAGCTTGCCCAAACAGGTCGGAGTCAGTCTTCCTGATCTGCTATAGCAGACACTCGGCAAGTGAAGCTGCGCCGAGTTGGGAACGAGGCTCAACGGCGACGAAGACGAACAAGCAGACTCGTAAATCGAACATGTAGAAAGCGCAACATAAGGAGTGCCATGGGATTTCTGAGTGGTGTGGGCAAAGTCAGGGCGCGCGGTATCAAACATTCGAGGTCGAATCACAAAGATTGAGATGGTGAAAAAAAGCATGTCTTAACGTTCCAATTCTGTGCGTCTACCTCATCTGTCTCATGATCATGACGGGCTAGCTAGAATACACCCATACGTCTAATATGGGGAGGGAATTATGGAAAACATTCCGAAGCCGCAATTAAAACCGAAAACCGTCCAACTCCAATGAACTTTTCTCTGGTATCCCGTTTTTCATCCCAAAGATCCTTTAGTCAACCTCCTCCATGGCGCTGTCGCCGGTCTCGACGGCAGGCGTGTCAGCGGTGGGCGCGCTCTCAGTCTTCTCCTCCTCCTCGTCAATGTTCAGGCCAAGCTGGACAAGCTTGTGGATGCGCTCAGCAAAGCTGGCGGGCTCATCAATGGTGAAGCCAGAGACGAGCAGGGAGGTCTCGAACAGGAGCTGGACAATGGACTTGACGGTGCGGTCGTTCTCGCCGTCGGTCTCGATCTTGCTCTTGAGCTCCTTGATGATGGTGCTCTTGGGGGAGATCTCGAAGGTCTTCTTGGAAGACATGTACGAGGACATGGAGGTGTCACGGAGGGCCTGAGCCTTCATGATACGCTCCATGTTGGCGGACCAACCGAACTGGCCAGTGCGGATGGCGCAAGGGGCGCCGGTGAGCTTGTGGGAGACAACAACCTTCTCGACCTTGTCGCCGAGAACGTTCTTGAGGCTCTTGGCAAGACCCTCGAACTCCTTCTCCTCCTTCTCGCGCTGGGCCTTCTCCTCCTCGGTCTCCTCGAGCTCGAAGTCCTTGGTGATATCGACGAGCTTCTTGCCCTCGAACTCCTTGAGCTGAGTCATGGCGTACTCATCAATGGGGTCAACGAGGTAGAGAACCTCAAAGTTCTTCTCCTTGAGAGAGTCAAGGAAGGGGGACTTGGTGACGGCCTTGATGGACTCGCCAGTGATGTAGTAGATGTTCTTCTGGACCTCGGGCATGCGAGTGACGTAATCAGTGAGGGAGGTGAGCTCATCGCCAGACTTGGTGGAGTTGAAGCGGAGGAGCTTGGCAAGGATGTTGCGGTTCTGGGAGTCCTCGTGGATTCCGAGCTTGAGGTTCTTGGAGAAGGCAGAGTAGAACTTGTCGAACTGCTCCTTGTCCTCGGCGATCTCCTGGAAGAGCTCAAGGGCCTTCTTGACGATGTTCTTCTTGATGACCTTCATGATCTTGTTCTGCTGAAGGGTCTCACGAGACAGGTTGAGGGGAAGGTCCTCAGAGTCGACAACACCCTTGACGAAGCCGAGCCACTCGGGGATGAGGTCGGTGGCATCGTCGGTGATGAAGACGCGGCGGACGTAGAGCTTGATGTTGTTCTTGGTCTTCTTGGTCTCGAACAGGTCGAAGGGAGCGCGCTTGGGGACGAAAAGGATAGCGCGGAACTCGAGCTGACCCTCGACGGAGAAGTGCTTGACAGCGAGGTGGTCCTCCCAGTCGTTGGAGAGAGACTTGTAGAAGGAAGCATACTCCTCCTGGCTGATGTCCTGGGGGTTGCGGGTCCAGATGGGCTTCTGCTTGTTGAGCTCCTCCTCCTCGATGGAGGTCTCCTTGATCTTCTTGGTCTTGGGCTTCTTCTCCTTGTCCTCCTCCTCGTCATCGACCTCCTCAATCTTGGGCTTCTTGTCATCGTCCTCAGTGGCCTCAGTGGTCTCAGCCTCCTCATCAGGAACCTCCTTCTCGGTCTCCTTGGTGACGTGGAGGTAGATGGGGTAAGAGATGAACTCGGAGTGCTTCTTGATGACCTCCTTGATCTTGGCCTCGTTGAGGTAGTCGGTCTGCTCATCCTTCAGGTGGAGGATGATCTTGGTGCCGCGGCCAAGGGGCTCACCCTCGGTGTCGGGGGTGATGGAGAAGGTGCCACCGGCGGAGGACTCCCAGACGTACTGCTCGTCATCGTTGTGCTTAGAGACGACGGTGACCTTGTCGGCAACAAGGTAGGCAGAGTAGAAACCAACACCAAACTGACCGATCATGGAGATGTCGGCACCGGCGGTGAGGGCCTCCATGAACTGCTTAGTGCCGGAACGGGCAATGGTACCGAGGTTGTTGACGAGGTCCTGCAGTAGTTAGCAACTGCGTGGGTTGGTTGGGGATGCGCAGCAGAAGGGTTGACTTACAGCCTTGGTGAAACCAATACCAGTGTCACGGATGGTGAGGGTCTTGTTCTCCTTGTCGGGGATGATGTCGATTCTCAAGTCCTTGCCCGAGTCGAGCTTGCTAGGGTCGGAGAGAGACTCATAGCGGATCTTGTCCAGAGCATCGGAGGCGTTGGAGACAAGTTCACGCAGGAAGATCTCCTTGTTTGAGTAGACGGTGTTGATGATGAGAGACAGGAGCTGAGAGATCTCAGCCTGAAACTCGAACGTCTCGGGGTTAGACATTGTGATGGTGGATGTGGGTATCTAGGGCGTAACGGTCGTAATTCTAGCAGCAGCTGTTAGTTGGTGGTTTTGCTTAGACGGATGGTTGGCGGTGAAGTTGGCATTCGAGGAGGGGCAGGGCGGGGGCCGGGAGCCTTGTCACCAATTCGACGAGTCAAACGGGAGGACCGTCCGTTTTTTCTCTCGAATTGGGTGCAAAACAGAAACGGAAACGTTGAAGTATAGTCTCTTCAACGAGGCTGACGCTGAATTGCAGAAAGCCTGGGGAATCCAAAGGAGGGGTGGCGTCGGAGATGCAACAGCATCGAGAAGCGGCAGGAGGGCGCGGGGTGGTGGAACAAGCTTACCTTGAGAGTGTGACTACTCAACGAAATGTGGCAGTTCTTTCGCTGCTACGAATCGGTCTTCTTCTGATTGTTGGATAGGAGAGAAGAGAGAAATTGAAGAAAAGGGAGGAGAGGATTGTGATGTGAGGAAGAAAAAAGGTCAGAGAGTCGAGACGACGGCGGAAGGAGGAGGAGGCTAAAAAAGAAAAGCGTCCAGCAGAGAGAGGGACCAAAGCAGCGACGCTCACCCCCCCAGCTCAGAAATTCTATACGATTCCATCACCTCCAGGCCTTCCAGACCCTTCTCTGATTCGCTTGCCCTGCCACCACAGCAACCGTGCGGGGCGCCATGATTGGCTGATCGGAGGGCGGCCACCTTGTGGGACTCTGGGACTCTGGGACGGGGCACTGGGGTCCCTTTTTTCGTGCCTTCCACCTTCCAGCAGATGGAAAAGAAGAGAATGGGAAGGCACAGCTGGCATACTTCGGTACCTGTAGGCTGCAAGACTGCAAGCCTGCGACACGCAGCGCCTGCTGCCCATAGCTTCCCCGGCGTCCTGCCTCCTGGCCGGCCCTTTCTGCCTACCCGTGTCTTTGCCTCCTTGCCTCCCTGTGGAGAAGATAGACCATTGTCTGTCCTCCTTTCTTCCGTTTTTGGTGTCTCTTTTTTTTGTGTGGAGGATATCCGCTACTTGCCCCTCCTAGGACCTTGTCTTCTTTGCCTGCGAATGCCTTCAGGTGTTCCCGTGTCTTCCACAATTTACTGGACACTTCTCTCTTCTCCATTGCTGGTGGGTATGGACGTGTGTACACTACATGCGCTGGACTCTCTGTCTCGGGATGATAGGGCGGAACAAGGCGGCACCGGGCTGCATGCATCGCCTCCTCTTCTTCCCCAAATCCCCCAATCCCGCTTCTTGGTGCGTCTGGTGCCTGGCCTGACGCCTATTGTGGAAGCTGGAGGCCCTAGGTTGGATTCTCCCCCAAAGGTCCCTGAAGTCCCCTAAGTTCCATACCCGCCAACGAGGCTGAGAAAAGCGAGGCGTGTCGTTTCCCCCATGTCCATGGCCACGTAAATCACATGTCCCGGTCTCGGCATGGGGGACTGAATCTGCCCCGATGCAAGACATGGGCTTCTGAGGTGCTGCTCTGCCTTTTGCCAGTGCATCGCGTCCCCCATGTTCTGAATCGCCCGGGCATTTGGCAGCGTCCGGGGTGCTGTTGCACGGTCCATATCTTTTTGCAACTTCTCTTCTCAACTCTATGTAGAGTGAAGCTCATGCCTTGGCAACAACGCAGAATGCAATTCGAGCCGACTTAGTGGAAGTACTTTCTGGGCGTCTAAATCAACTGGAAAAAGATGCTACAAACACCCTGCCATTCCAGACACCAACCCCTACTGCAAGTGTCTGATTCCTCGTTCAGCTCCAACTGCATCTCGGGGTCAGCGGACACCTCCAGGCTTCAGGCTGCCTCTAGCGAATGCAGGGGATCCGCTCGCCAGCGATGCTTCTAGAATCTGCTCTATCAAAACTCATAGCATCCCTCCGGAACCAGCAATGTGTACGTACCTCCACAATGACAAAGCCAGAAGCAACACAACCCAACTGCTGCTCCTCGAATGCCAAAAGACATACAGGGATATTGATGATTCTACACTAAATAAAAACACAACTCGGCCCCCCTCTGGCCTCCGAACACAGTCAACGACCGCGTCCACCGCGGTTACCTCCGGGCAGTGGCCGACCGGATACCGCACTACGTCCACCGCCCGTCCCGCCTCAATCTCCACAACCCCGGCGAACATCTCCTGCAGCGTTGCCGGCACCGTCCGGTCCGTCACCGTTACCATGTAAGTCACCGGGATCCTCCTGTACCCGGCGTACGTCAACCGCTCCTCAAACGGCGCGCCGGAATATTCGGGCCCGCCCAGCTTCTCTCCACCGTGGTGCGTCAAGCAGCCGGCATAGTTGTCCGACGTGCTCGCGCCTAGCATTCCTTCTACCGCCTCATTGACGTTCTGCCCTTCCCATGGCACGATGCCCGCAATGAAGAGCATCCTCACAACACCTCCGCGAGAGACTCCCATAAGCTCCTCCCGCCCGAGACCCCTGACACACCCAGACGCCACAACGGCTCCATAGGAGTGCGCGACGATGAGGACGTTCTGCCCTTCACGGACCAGTCCCTCGATCGTCAGTCGCGCGTTGGCTGCGTCGTCGTATAAGCCCGGAGTTGCCGCCGGTCCGGCCCCTCCGATGAAACTCCGTGAGGAGGGGTTCTGGACGACGACAACGACCTCCGGTCCGAGTGCCCGACATGACGCCGCGAGGAGCTCATAGTGTTGCGGCGAGCGGTATGCGTCCGGGATGATGACAATGGCGGCGTTTGGGCGTTGCTCGCGCGGTCGCTGGACTCTTCTCTGGTTGGAGTTGTGAGCCATGTGTCGATGTTTTTGCTTGGGGATGTGATGTTTCTTGCTTGGCGTCTTGATATGTGTTTCTGATGGCTTGGTCTGGTCAACATGCCCCTATGATTCCACGAAGACTCCCATGCTACCATTTCAATTGCCACTTCTGATGTAAACCCATCAACATCAAGAGGCCTCTCACCAATTCATCATGAGAACGGAATCCCATAACATCTGAGCTGCTCGGTCATCCCGTCACGCATGCAATGGTTCAAGTTGTTACTTCCCTTCTTATGGGGCCAAATTGCTTCGTCGACGACAAAACACAGCAATCCCGTTTGGTACCGGTCCTCAAAATAAGAGGCAACCGGGACCTCCTAACTGGCGTGCTGTGCTAGACTTGGCAGCAACCCGCCAAGCCACTCACAAGCGCAGCCTTACGGACCCCGAATCCCCCGTGCAACTACCACACTCTTTCCGCAAAAGTGCCGCTCGTAACTGGCCCGAGGCTTTGACAACGCAGTCCTGCCCACTAGCCCGGTGTAAGCTGCAGCAAGCACAGATTGGTGGGGCAGTGCAATGTGATATCGCGGGGTCTCTGACACCCAAAAAAAAAAACGCCATTGTAGACGGCGCGAGCATGTCACGATATCAGATTTGCGGACTTGGCCGAGGACGATTTGCTTCATCGCCGTAGACTCCGAGTGGCTGCCTCGCTTCTTGGCCTTGATGTGCCTGGTGTTCGAATCGGAAAAGGGCGAACCCGACGTCGTTGCGGCCCTTGGGCTAGTCCACGGACCGTCAACAGAGCTCCCGGATCCCGATAGCAGAACGGGCCTCGACCGTTCTTGAATGGGCGGAGTTTCACATAGTATACACTCTATCGTCTTTTGTACACGGTCTAATACACAATGCCATTCGGATTCCCGTCTTCTCCCCGAGCATAATACACCCCTTGTCCCACTCGACCTTTCGCCTCACTCCTCGCCCTTGACCAGGACCTCTCCCAAGGTCCTGTACCGTCGATCCGCGTAAACAAGCCCAAAACCCTCTCCCTCGCCCCTGAGCACCCCTTCGACTTCTCCCACGATGACAACGTGGTCCCTCACCCTCACCATCCCCTCCCCGAGAACCTTACACTTCAACACATACAGAACCCCCTTGCCCTCCAATACAGGCGCCTCTCCGTCCTCCTCGCAAACCTCGACGCCGTCTGGTAGCTCCCTAAAAAGCCCCTCGCCCGCGGCGTTTCCCCTTGTAAACCACTCCGCGACCCGCGCGCCCTCTGCGCCCTCCGCCAGGACGTGAACATTGAACAGTCCGCCCTCGTCTTGTATCGCTTGTAACGTCCGGCTGGGAGTCCGCACGTTGAACGTCACCAGCGGCACGGGCTCCATGCTCAGCGACACGAAGCTCGACATGGTCATACCCCGCGGCTGGCCCTTGCGGTCCGTCGCCGTGCAGACCACCACGGAGTGCGCCAGCCTGCGCATCACCCCACGGAGCTGTTCCGGGAGCTCGTCTTTCGGGTTGTGCGTCGACGCCGGCGGCTGAGAGGGCTCGGTGCGCCATGTCGGGGATCGTTGTGTCGGCGAGGTTGTGTGAATCGCTCGGCGGGACTCGGAGGTTGAAGGAGGGTTACGGCCGACGGGCCATTGCGAACTCTGTAGGGCTTGAACATGTGCTGTGATGCATCAGTAGCTGCCGCCGACTTCGAAAGAGAGTGGGAGCGACTTACAGCCTCCGACCAGGGCCCTCCGTGCGCCCTCTACTCCGGTCCTCGCCCGGCCCGCCCGGCGCACCGCCGTCGCAAGCACACGAGCTCCGCTCATCGCATGCGCCGTACCATTTCCCGCTTTTACGGCTCTGGGAAGTGAACGATCCCGGATAGAACAGGAGAATACGTTTCGTAGCGAATCGGCGGAAAGAATCAAGTCGCCTGTAAGACCGGTGCGTGATAATTGCTCTCTTAGCCGTGATTTCATGACCTAAGAACCCCCCTTGCAATAGCTCCAGCTCCGGTGATGTAAATCCACCTCTGTCAAAAATCCCAGAAAAATCACCTTATCGATAAGCCACGACCCTGGGCCGCCGAGCTGACCTGACCAGACCTTGACCGTGCACGGAACTCCCCGGCGCCGACGAACCGAAATTTTGGTCGCTCGCGCAAGGAGTCGGCAAGAACAACGGCCAGACGTGTGCGTGTGTGCATCACCAAAAACGCTTCAATTCTCCTCCCACGCCGAACTCTTCGCCTCACCCAGCTCCCGCCGCGCGCTCTCGACCGCCCAATTCGCGCGTCAACCCGCTTCCGTCTCTTTCCGCCCGGGCAATCGAAGTCCTTTCCCCCCCCTTGGGAGACGAATCAACGAAACGAAACGAACCGAAAAAATGGGCAAGCTCCCAACCCACCTCCCGCGGCCGACGAGCCTCCTCTGCCACCGGCCCAGAACGTCACTCTCAATCACCTCGTCCTCTTCGCCTTTACCCTACAACGCCTCGACCCCGGTGCAAAGGACATCCCTCACCCAGACCCGCGCCGCGACCTTTGTCCCCCGCCCGCGCCGTCCCTACACCTTCACCCAGCTCGTCCAGCTCTCCGACGGCAGCACCTACACCGTCCGCTCCACCTCGCCGGCCCCCCTCGTCCGCTCCGCAAAGGACTCCCGGAACCACGCCCTCTGGCAGCCGTCCGACAAGTCGCTCAAGAACGTCGAGGTCGACGAGGCCGGTAAGCTCGCCGCCTTCCGTGAGCGTTTCGGTCGCGGCTTCGACCTGGCCGCGGAGCCTACCGAGGAGGAGATCGCTGCCGCGGCTGCGACTGCGGCTGCTGGCGGAAAGGATGGGGCTGCCGCGGCGGCCGCTGCCGCCGAGAAGAAGGCTCCCGCCAAGCCTACCGAGGAAGACGATATCTTCGACATGGGCGACTTGATCAGCGGATACGCGGCGATGCAGCCCCAGCAGGCGGCCAAGGAACCCCCAAGAAGGCGGCGGCAGCGGCGGGCAAGAAGGGAAAGAAATAAACAAGAGGCATGACAAAACGACACATCACAGCAAGAGCGGAGGAGGGAGCCTGTACGATGGGAATAGACGCAATGGTGTAAAAAAAACCTGTGAGATTTTGTTTTCTTCAGAGCGCCAGCTTCCGGGCTAGAGAGAAGAGAAGCGTGGTCGGAGGGAGGCGGATTACGGGAGAGCCCCCATACCCCAGGGATTCTTCTACTGTCATATATGTACAACAACAACCACAACCAAGAAAAGGCTCAAACATGCGCTTGTTCCAACTTCATTCAATGGTCCCAACTCTCGGCCGACGGGTCGAAGAAGAAGCCGCTGCTGTGACGCGTGGGAATGATGTAGTGAAGCTTCGGGCGCCGGATCTCGGGCTTCTAGTCAGAGTCGTCGTTGATGGTGGCGCGAGCACGGTCGATGGCCGTGTCGCCGGGCGGCTTGTTCGAGGACTGGATGACGGGTGGCCGGTAGAAGACGGTCTCGTCGTCCTCGGCGTCCAGCTGCATCAGGAAAGTCTCCCACTTCTCAATCAACTGTTGCTATGTGTTAGTGCTGTTTGGCGGACGAGTGAGAATAGACATACCTCTTTTTGTGCCTCAACCGCGCTCTCCAAGAAAGTCTCAACTCCGCTCTTGAAGTCCTCCACCTTCTCCCGCTCGAAGCGGTCCAGCTCCGCCCTCATCAGGCGGCCCATGTCCTCGAACAGGAGCCTGGCCTGGTGGACCTTCCGCTCCGCGTCGCCGACCTCGGCGCTGACCTGGTTCAGCCGGTCCTGCTGACTCTTGCCTTGCCGCAAGAGCTTGTCCTGAGAGCTCTTCTTCTTCTGAAGCTCAGACTCAGCAGAGTGCCACGAGTGGAAGGCCTTTTGTCTTTGGCTGAAGGCCTGTTTGACTGACCCGATGAGACGGATGTACTCCTCAATAATGATGCCAAAGGTCAAGACATCCTGCTGGGCTTGGCGGTCGTAGACGTCACGGATGGTGAGCTGCAACTCCGAGAGCGCATCGAGAGGCCCTGACAGAGAGGGCGAAAGCTCGACCGTAGACAGAGCGTGGAGAGATGCCGAAAAGTCGCCCGCAGCCTCGGCCATCATCTTACGCTGGCCGACCATGGTCTCCATAGCCTTGAGCAGGGCCTTGAGCTGGTTCTCGAGCGCATCGAGGTAAACCTTGCGATCATGAAACCACTGCAATTCGTTAGAGCGAATCACCTATACAAAACACAAATACTCACGTCGTCCTGCTCGACAAACTTGTTACTGCTGCCAACACTAATACCCAGACTGCCGAGAACACCCTTGCTCTCGCCGGGAATCGGGTCCCTCCGTTCCTTGTGCTTGACGTCGACGTTGAAGGACTCACTCTCGAGGAAGAGCTTCAGGTCCGCGTCGTGCTGCAAGGTAGGGTGGGCGGCCGTCTTGTTCAGCATCTTCTCCAGGGCAGCCCGGCGCCCTTCGACAAAGTTACTCTCAAAGCGGCCGACGGCCTGCTTCTCTGGTGGAGGGGGGACAACGACACCCGGGTTGTTGCCGTGCAGCGTGTTATACAGCCAGAGGAAGTCGCGGTATCTGCGCTTCACCTCGAACTCGGGCTGCTTGTAGGCCTTGGAGGAGGTCTGTCGGGACATCATTAGCGCGAGCTCGGCCGCCTCAATACTCTTCATAGAATATAGCCTACCTTGGTCCGCACAGAGTAGACAATGTGCGAGCTGGTCAGGTCGCCGACCTTGTGCGGGTCTCCCACGGTGATCTGGAAGCTCGGTTTGCTAGCCTGCTCGACGCTCACGCTGGGCTGGGTATGCGTCCGCACGGGGCTAGGATGCGCAGCCTGGACGGGCGGCGGCTGCCTCGGGCCCGGGGGACGGTCGTAGTCGACCTCGTCGTCGTCGATGTTGTGCGGGTCGACCGGGCCGGAGCGGCGGCCCTGCTGGGGCGGCATCGTCGTGCGGATCACCATCTGCTCCTTCTGCGGCGGGACGGGCGGAGCATCCTGACCGGCGTCAGCGCCATTGTCGCCGGCGGCGGGAGCGCCGAGAGGGCCCAGGGGACCGAGGGGGTCGTCAACAGCTTCGAGGCGGGTGGGCTGGGCGGAGACGAGTCGGCGGACAGGTCCTGAGCGTGACGGACGGGAGGCAGACGTGCCCGTGCTGGGTGCGTCTGACTTGGCCGAGGTCTGCGAGGTCGACTGCTCATTCTGGGAGGGCGGTTGCGACGAGGGCTCGGATGTGGGCTGCGAATCGCCCCATGGCGACTCCTCGAGAGGATCCATCCTTGGGTGAATTGATGCGCAATTATCGGGATGCTCGTGGGAACGGATTCGAAGGAGTAGAACGCAGAGCTGCGGTTAACCACGAGTGCGGCAAAAGGGCAGGCGGGATGTGGTTTCGTGGTGGAGGTTACGCAAGGCAAAGAAGGTAAGGCAGCACCAGCAGCAGCACGGCCGGTTCTGGTCCTGGTGTCTGACTGACGGTCTCAATGCGAAGGCGCACACAGCTGCTCCGCACCGTGATGGGGTACCCTGTGATTCGCTGCCGCCTGGTGGAAGCTTTAGCCACTTGACCCCAAACGGGACTTCCGTGCCCCTCAAGGCCCCTGTAGCTGCCGGCCCCAGAAGCCAATGTTCGCTCGCAGTCCTGCTAATTACCCGACGTCACTGTTCTACAGCTTCCAGTCTTCAGCGACGACATCGAGCGCCATCCTCGTATTAACGAAGGAGCTTCACCATGATCCCTGTTGACATATCGGCAAAACACATTGACGCCATGGCTGCTTCACACTGTTTGCGATTGAAGCAATTGCCCGAGGTATCTACTACATTGATGATTTACATAAGCCGGCAGCTAAGCGGTGTTGCTGCTGGGCCTGGATTACCCTACAAAAGTCATGTTTCGTCGACTGCCGCGACCCCAACGCCAAACTGTGGATTAAAGCAATCTATTTCTCCTCGCCAACACCATACCTCCCTCTCCACTAGTCAAGAAGTCTTCGGCTAGCGATCGGGATCGTAGCAGCCACCGGCCACAATCAGGTTCATGCGCGTGAACTGCACCTTCATGACGGGCGTCTTCTTGGTCGGGAACGCGCTGATCTGATCGGGTGTAATCATCACCTCCTTGCCCTTCTTCTTGCCACCGCTGGGTGCGTTGGAGCCGCTGCCGGTGGCTCCCTGGCCGCTTGCGTTAGGTCGCTCCGTCTGTCCTGTAGCCGCGACAATGGTGTCGCCTCCTTCCTGCGTGGGTGCCGCGCCCTGCTGCTGTTGCACAACCTTGTGGCCTTCCGCGGGGAGATCGACGTCCCAGACACGGACGGTGCCGTCTTGGCCGCCGGAAACCAGGACGTTGGATTCGACGCTGAAGCTCAGAGACCAGATACCGCCCTTGCCGTGGCCGCGCGACCGCTTGATGCGTGAGCCCTTCTGTATGTCCCAGAAGAAGATGTTACCGCTGTTGTCGGCAGTGGCCAAGATCTTGCCGTTTGGCGCACACTCGATAGCTGAAATGTAGTCGGTATGGCCCGTGAAGACACGGACACACTGGCCAGTGATTACAGACCACATGCGAATTGACTTGTCTGTCTCGTCCGAAGCTGAGAATACGTAGGTTCCGTTAGGGTGCCATGCGACTGCCGAGATGCTGGAGTCATGACCGACAAGGATGCGCTGCGCAGACGCGTGGTCTTGCATCCAGACACGCGCCGTCTTGTCCCAGCCGCCGGTCAGGAAGTAGTGACCATGAGGCCCCCACTCGGCTCTCATGACGGGACCATCGTGGCCCTTGTACACGCAGACGCAAGCCCAGATATCCAAGGACCAGATACGAACAGTGCCATCGGCGGAGCAAGACAATAGCAGTTTAGAGCTGGTCTCAATGGGGCTCTCGCCCTTGCCCTCTTCTCCAAACGGCGCATGATCAAGCTTGGCAATGGCGTCGGAGAAGGAGACGGAGAACACCTGGGCTGAGTGACCGATCAACTTGCGGTTGTTGAACTTGAAGTCCTTCTCGTCCGCCCTCTTCGACTTCAGAGGCTTGCCCTCGAGGTGCCACACACGAATGTAAGAGTCGGTGGTGCCAATGGCCACCATTTCGTGGTCTTTGGAGAAGTCCATGCACGATACACTGCTCTTGTTAGCTGGAGTCGAGCAAGGAGGGAATCCGCACTAACCTTCCCAGGGTGTTGTGGAATGTGAACATGCATGCGCTGACGGCAACGCCAACACCGCCGGTGCGTCCCTCGATCTTGAAACGGTCGCGATTTTCTCTAACCTTCTGCATCTCCATGACAACATCTCGGGCGCGGGACGGGGGGAGAGGGAGCTCGGCTCTGTTAGGGCCGTCTGCGCTCTCTTCGCGCTTGATCTTGCGATCGAATTCCTCAACCAGAGTGGATCGGCCCTCAGGCGGCGGGTTCAGCGCGTCTTCGTCCTGTAGCTCGGCTCTGACATCGTCGCGGAGATCCTCTTCCATGGGCAGGGGGCCCAGCTTGAGAGGCACAGTCTTGTCCAGCAGGTCTCTGTTCGAGATGCCGGTGAAGACTCCAGGAATTCCTTCCTGCAGATCGACCTCATCGATGTCGAGATTTTGGCTACGGCGGTAAATGGCCTCGAAGCTGAATGGCTCAATGGGTCCACGGGCGGTGGAGTCCAAGTGGCAGAACGTCGAAAGGATGTACAGAATGACTGAACCCCCATTGTCCCGCTCGCGCTCAAGGAAGTGGAAGAGGTTGCCGGTGATGTGCTGGTTAAGCGGAATGCGGTATTTGTTCTCCCGGTAGAGTTTGGTGGTAGGGTTCTCCTTTGCGTGTAGGGCAAGAGTGATCGTGGAGAAAGTCTTCAAATCGTCAGAGTGGACATTCTCGAAGTACGGCTTGAGGTTGTTGAGGAGGCTCTTGGCGTCCTCGGAGTAGTTCTGCGTGACCAACTCCAACCAGGAGTAGACGAACACGGGCCAGAGAAGCTTGTTCAACTCGAACTAAGTGAGGTTAGCGAGACCGCAGCAAAGCGTGTACGAGAAGTGCATACCTTGTAAATATCAAGGTTGTTTTCGACCCACTCGCGCAACAAGTTGAAAGCCTTCAGATACTTTCGCGGGCCAAGGTCGTCCACCTTGTTATGGATAGGCCTACCATCAGGGCCTAAATGAGACGACTCCTGCCGAAAGATAGTCTCGGTCCGCGTGTAACCGCGCTTCAACAAATAGTCCGTAACCTAGAAAGAGTCAGTGATTTGCGCACGAAAACCAATAGTAAATATGCACTGATTTGTTCTTCTTTTGCCGGTCTCTCGCCGCTAAGCCAGCTTGGTATGTCATCATCGTTGTGCTAGACGGCGAGTGGTTTGCAGAAGAAGAGAGATGGTGGTGAACAGTGAAGGTCGGGAGGCAGAGACTCAAACGAAGGAAACCTAACAGCTTCCATCACTTGGGAAGGTACTCGAAGTGTTCGTTCCTACTCAGGACGAAGCTCACTGTTGGAACAGTTGCCCTTCCAATCTGCCACCAAGATCCCGGGAGTGTTCTTATCCCAGATACACCAACACCACCACCATCGCACATCACCAAACCGCAAGCGGCTTCCGCACTACGACCACACAAGCAACACAAACTACAAACCAAGCACTTACAATTTGGTTGAGATTCTGGTTCGACATCGGCGCTGTCGCCGGTGCCGGCGCAGGTGCCGGCGTCGCAGTCGTCGGAGGCGGGATGGGCGTCTGGCTCACGGGAGTGGGGGTAGGAGCGGCGCCGCCGGCGCCGGGTGTCGTCGTCGCAGGCTGTTGTTGCTGCTGTGAAAAGGATCCCGACGCGCCTGCGCTGCCGCCAGGGGCGCCTGGGGTGGTGTTGCTCGCACCAGGCTGGCCCGGGTTTCCCGACATTTTTACAAGGTTCCTTCTTCGAGAAGTGTTTTACCTAGGGGATGGTCGGATTCGATTCCGGCTGTTTTTGTTTGATTGTGCTGTTGCGCCTTTATGACTGACGGTCCATAATCGTAAGTCCGTCGGATGAGACGTGAGTCGCCGTCGTCGAGGTGAGCCGATGACTGGGGGCAAGCCACGTCGGACCTTGATAGAACGAGCGGGAGTGAGTTACTCGGAGTGAAGACGCGTTCAGTTCTCGTTGGGTTGGGTCGGGCGTGATGATGAAATCGATGAAGAGTTCGTTGATGTCGCGTCCTGCCCGATGAAATGAGGCTCGATGGTCCCCCTGCAAGGCTGCAAAAGAGGGTGGAAAGCGAAGGTTGGCGGCGGAAAATATCTAGAAAGAGAGCCGCTAATCCCGCTCGGGACTAGCGCTTTTCTCTCTGGCCTCGGTGATTGGGAGAAAGCTTCAACCTGTCCACGGTTCGAGATCCACTTTCCCCAAGACGCGGTACCTCACATCAGGTACCTTTTCGAGCTCACCCGGCCCAAGCTCACTCACTCATGCGACTCGACCTTACTCTTATCACTCAGACCTCCCTCATCGAAACCCTGTACCCAGGCTGGGCTTTTCGTGCTCATCCTACAAAACGACCATTCTCTCAGCAGCCGCATTACTGCTCGCTTCTTTGTGAACCGAGGGCACAAACACGTCAACCACAATGGCCGACGCAACAATGACCGGCTCCGCCACCACAAACGAGCCCTTCACCCTCGAAGAACGCATCAAACAGCTCTGCGAGATCGACACAAACATAGTCCAGCTAATGCACCACACCTCCTCCGCAATGTCGGCCCTCGGCGCCCAGCAGGCCCCGGAAGTGACCCCGGAGCAGCAGAAACAGACCTTCAAGTCGTCCATGGACGCCCTCCTCTCCACGCTGCACACCGTCGACGTCCACATGAAGCGCCAGATCATGGGCCTCGAGGAGGCCGGCATCATCAAGCTCCGAGGCGACGGCGGCGGGCCCGGCGATAAGAACGCCGGGGGCCGCCAGGTCGTCATGAACGAGGACGCAAAGATCGTCGCCAGGCCCTCCCTCGAGCCTAACGGCGTCGGCACCATTGGCAACCTCGACGTCGGCTGGCTCAACAGTCGCAACAACAAGGTCGAGCGCGACATGGAGGCCGAGCTGTGGGCCAAGATGAGGGAGTTCCTCGAGAGGTATCACGCGCAAGAGCAAGAAGCCAGCAGAGAGGATGACAGGATGCAGCAGTGAGGCCTGTCATCGCGAAAGTCACTGAGAAAAACGCAAAGAATAGGGCTGGCGGGCGCTGCCCCATGAAAGCACAACGAATAATGGCAGAAAAAAATTCGAGTAAGTATTATGCAAGAGGTGCTCCTGTTCAACAAACTAACTTCTGGCAGAACGATACACCTGATACCCCTTTACCTCACCTTGAGTTTCACGCTGAGTGGCCATGAACCAGATTACTCATGCAACCAAAGACTCTGCAGAAAAGGTCATACTTGCACACACGGAATCCGTTTACTGCATAGAATGATATTCAATTGATACTTATTACTCATGCTCTCGGCCCCGTTGGCGGCCGAGCCACCAGTGATTATGCCGTACCTCATGATGCGCATACTAAACAGAGATGCAGAAAGCATGCCGCCGAACCAACAACGCCGGCCAATGAACAACTACAATGCTGCGATAAAAAAGTCCGAAACACCCTACTCGACGTCCATTATTTGACCTCATCCCATGTGCTTGTCTTGCCTAGACTCAGGCTCCCATACAAGTCTCATGATCTGTTGGTGTACGCCGAAACTATGATGATGAATCAACAACGACATGGAATTCACTCAACCCCGGAACTTCTTCTCAGCCTCAACAAGACCGACAGCCGCTTTCGTGACGGCGATCCAGTCAGGGGAGAACTGCAAAGCCTCATCGAACGCAGGAATGGTCCCCAGGACATTGGCGTCGCTCCATTGACAAGCGATGGTTCCACTCAGGTCAGCGGGCTTCCGGACTCGAAGATCATCGTGAATTGTCTCGACGACGGAACCACTGGATTTGGCTGCAATGTCGGATGACACGGTCTTGCTTTGGGATGGTTCAATGTCAACTATCCAAGGGATCGACGCGTCCCTACGCCAAAGCGTGAGCTTCAAAACGCCTTGCTCGGTGGGAGTGCTGAAGATAGGGTCTATTCCAGCGCTTCCGTGGACGTTGAAAGACACCGGCGTGTCAAAGGTCAAAGTACATGACTTTGACTCCGTGGCATCGATGGAGAATTCGATCTTGTTGCTCGAGTTCGAGCGGCTGATGTTAACAGTCACGAGATTGGCGTATTTGTCCTTTGACAAGTTGGTCGAAAGCGTGCTGGTGAATTGGGGCAGCTTGGGCATCACAGCCGCACCGTTGTAGTGGCATTCAGACGTCAACCCTGCTCCATGTGTGCAGTTGACTGGTTGGCCTGCACCAGAGGGAAGTTCTGCGATCAAATTCCGGGTGTACTTCTCCAGGCCGGTGAATGAGACTACAGATGTCTTCTGATCCAGGTCAAGAGTTTGTTGGAACCTAACCTTCAGACGGTTTTCTGCGGAGAAGGGGAAGGCGACGAGATTATAGATGAGACTGACGAAAAAGATCAGAAGCAAGAACAGGGGGAGATAGAAACTAGCTCTGTAGATAAATGGCGTGACGGGCAGAAGAACGATGATGCTAAAGGCAGCGATCGCCGTGTACACCAGCAGTGGGTCGTTACCATCAGCGGCGGCCGAGTTGATCGCAGAGACGACGAAGAGGGCGATTTGGAGGAAGACGATGATGGTAATTGGGGCAAGCAGGAGCAATTGGAAGAACCAGGTCCAGGACGGAAGCTTGGCTGACCACAGTTGTTCTTTCTCGTAAGGCTGCGGCTCCGTTTCTTTAGTCTCCCCTTCGTCAGGGGTTCTCATGATGGCCGAAAGCGAGCGTCTGTAGGTCGTCGCAAATGTCGTCCGGATGGTGCCGTTGTTGCCATTTCCGTTCTCACCACTCCTAAGAGGTGTCGTTTCTGTCGGTTCCTCTGCGGCATCGTCTTCCTCGTGTGTGTGATGGGAGATCAGTGCATCCGAGTTGGGAACCTCGGATATGTTGTCCCTGGTTTGCTGGTCGTCGTGGGCGTGCTGTGCAAATTCCTTCTTGCTGGGAAGAGCGAAAAGGTCACAGAGACTGATGAGTGTCGAAACGAAGACGGCGGAATGGAAGAATGCGAAAGGGTATCCCGAAGCTATCTTGAGCCTGTCGGCAGCGGTCGTGACCACAACAAGGATTGCCCAGCTGAGGACGAACAACCAAATATGGGCGTACCCGCGCTGAAGAGCGCTCGGTCTGATGGCGCTGGCGCCCTTTGAGATCGTCCAAAAGACAAGGAAGAACAGAGATAGCGTCATTGCCCAACTATTGTTGCAAATCAGTAAATTGCCAGAACGTGAAACGAAGAAACGATATGACTTACATTGCGTATGGGCTGCTGTAGATGATGTGAGGGTTGACCCTTCGGACTAAAAGGGCAGAGAGAACCGTAATCGAGGCCGAAAAGATCAAAGCCAGGGGAAACCGGGAAAAGCCCTTCCAACCTCCGAGAGACACGGGTTCCTCGTCCTCCTCGGCTTTGACCTTCCTCGAGAAGAAATAATACTTGTCTGTTCTGGAGAGGATGTAGGTGACCAGAGCTAAGGCCAGAGGAGACACGATGAGCAAAGTCAATGTCCAGGCAAACAGGCCTCGGAGCTCCAGGATCGCGAAACCGGTTCCAAACATATCGAACCATACGCCGTCTGTGCCAGAGCCGCTCGCCACCTTCTTCTTATCTCCGTCGTTTCGCTTACCGCTCAAGCCAGTGGTGCGTTGGAGGTTGTCGACAGCGGCTAAACTATTGGACAACAAATGCCACAAGCTCTCTTGCGACGCGTGGCGGGTGTCGTCCTGGTTCGTGTGGTATCGTGCTCGGGGGCGATAGAATGCAATATCGAGGCCACGCTGGCCATAAGATTCAGTCCACACCTTATAGTCTGTTTCGCTCCTGATCGCACCGAGTTTGAATCCGTCTGCGGCTACGACGGAGCCGAAGGGGTGGGGTGCGTTTTCGTAACCCTTGGTGACCTCCAGGTCGGTCGTTCGGAACAAGATGGCGCGTCCGCCGGCCCCGGCACCCTCGAGGTTCACGAATGAAGTGGTGAAGTGGTACAGAGGACTGTAGTGGTAGACTCTAGCTCCATATAGGCCATCTTCCTCGCCATTGTTGAGCAGCAGTACGATTCCGCGCTTGGGTTGTTTACCAGGGCTGGTGTAGTAATTCAGCATTTGCAGGATACTTACGCAGCCCATGCCATCATCAGTCGCACCATAACCAGTGGAAACTCTGCCCATTGATTAGTACTTCAATAATTACGAGGGTTGACCAGACTTACGAGTCGTAATGGGCATTTACGAGAACACCACCCTCGCCAATCTTTCGGGCATCGCGCTTGCCACTCCACCATTCGCCGTCTTCATCTTGCGTGCCGCGGATGTACACAAGTTTGTTTGTGCCCTCGAAGTAAGTAGCATAAGGGCCAGCTTGGCTAAAGGAACCCGATGTGCCAAGGTAGGTAGTGTTCGAAATGGTGTCGTCAAAGATCGTAACCGCAGGTCCCGTTGAAGCGCGGCGGAGCATATCTCCTCTCGCAGGGGCGGGTGCGGGTGCATCACTGCAACAATCTTCGGTCAGCATCTTCCTTCACATAGTTGTCATGCACGCCAAACACTCACTAAACGTCCTGGGGCCAGAGGACGCCGCCAGCATTCTTCTCCTTGGTGTACTCGACCTCGTTGCGAACCAAGATCTCCTCGATCCTCTTCAAGAGGTACGCACCCACTTCGTCGTTGGCGCGGCTGTTGTAAGGGTGGTACTTCCTGGTGATGTGCGTCAAGTCATGCCAGGCCTCGGTCAAGTTGAGGTCCGGGTAGGGATTCTTGCTGTGGCTAGGGACAGCTGGCACGGACTCGTGGATCCATACGAGGGGATCAAGAAGGCTGCGTAGACAACGATCAGCCAAAAGGTGACCGGGCCCGTCGTGAACCCGAAGGGTTCTTGACAGCCATCGCGGCCGAGTGCTGTGGTAGGCGTTCGGGTGAGTCTGTGGCGGACGAGTGTGTCGTCGCTGGGTTGTCGGCGTTGGTTTGGTGTTCAAGGATTCCGAATCCGAGGTCGATTGGACACTGGGGGAGATTGCAAAAACAGCTCCGAGTCTCAGTGCTTCGTCGATGGGTGGTGGCGGAGATCGCCGGGGTTCAGCTCGGCGGAAGGGTGTGCAGAGAGGGTGGACCGGGGGACCCTCGGAAGCTCAATAGATAAAGGCAATGATTGCGACTAGTGATACAAGCTTTGGCCGGGGATGGCTCAAGACTACTACGGCAGAGGATAACGATAGCCGGGTTGCGGGAGGAACGAACGACTCGTGGGAGTATTTGGGGAGAGGTGACGGCCAACAGAAAGGAGGTGGGATGAAGGAGGCTGGAGGTGGAAACCGTCTTCGGGATGGAGGAAGGCGTCATGCCAGGATGAGAACAGAATCAATGCCGTCGCTTTCCCTCCCGGCCTAGGTAGGATGATGCACAGCTGCGCCGGTTGCGACCACCATTGCGCAAGAAGTGGCCCAAGCTCCTCTAGTTCTACTGCAGTAGAGCGCCAACGGCGGCCTGTACGTCGCCCACATGCCCACCACACTGCCTGCACGACGAATGTCATCGATGTGGGGAACTCATGCAGCCTCGACCCGGGAACTTGCGACTGGCTTCACCACTGGTCGAAGTTTGATCATAGATCCGGTGCAACTTAAAATGATACAAACCGAGGCTCGCAAATGTTTATCGTACCTACCTGATAGCTACAGTACAGCCACTCAACGTTCTCTTAGGAGGCAGCCAATCATGACGCACATTTGCCCCTTGTGCACTCGGATCCGACTCCGAGACAGCGCTTTGAGCTCCAAAGTGTCACAGGTTAACTTCACGTGGGACACGCCGATTTCATGAAATAGGATGAACTTCTTGCTACGTGTTATGCACAAAGAAAGCCTATGGATTAGTGACCACTAGATTCCCCGTCTATCGTACAATTTGTTTGCGTTTTCTGTTGTTTCTGGTCCCTGCTTTCGAGTTAAACGACACCCAGGCCGCCCTTGTCTGCCCTGCAAGCAGTTCTGCAATGCACAAGCTGTTTCGTAGGTACGAACACTTGTCCAACCCTGGAAATCATGAAATGAATCCTTGGTTGTTAGTTGATCGTTAGTGGTCAACATACTCGAACGCAAGCATGCGTTCAAAGGCCATGTTAGTCTTACGACCTTCCGCCTAAGTCTTAGAATCCAGATCAGGCACCAGGGGGAGGCGGAGGAGGCTGGTCGCTAGGAGGAGGAGGAGGCGCGTTGTCCGAGGGAGGCGGCGGGGGGCGCCGCCGGCGTATTGCTGGATGAGTGCGTTAATACCACCAGCCAGGCCCGGAGGAGCTCCGAGACCAGGACCACCGGGCGGAGGAGGGGGCATGCTTGGGGGAGGTGCGGCCATGCCGGGGGAGCACCGTATCCGGGGTAGCCACCGTAGGCAGCGTAGCCGTTCTGGGTTCCGGGAGGTTGATGCCAAGGAGCGGCACCCGGAGCGGCGGGAGCAGCTGCCTGGCCACCATAGCCTTGGCCACCGCCGCCACCACCATAGTAGCTGTCACCACCAGCGTGGTCATCACGGCGGTTGCGGTCGCGAGCCCAGGGCGCGGCACCACCACCGCCGCCGCCACCATCGCGGTCACGGTCATCGCGCGAGTCGTTGTTACGACTGCGCCAGGGGGCCGGACCACCAGTAGGGCCACGCTGCCAGGGCTTCGCGTCACCACCGCTGCTACCGCCGGGACCGTTGTTGTAGGAACCAGGACCGGCTTCGATGCGTGCGGGGGCAGCGCCACTGGAAGAACCACCACCGAGTTCTTGCATAAGTTGCTGTGACTGGGTTAGCGTTGTGTTCGGGGTGAAGAGCATGGCAAAGAAACATACCTCGTACTCGCGGTCGACGGCGTCTCCGCTTCCAAGGCGGCCAGCGGGACCTCTGCCACTGCCGGCACCGTCGTTGCGCCAGCTGGCACCCTTCTGTCGGTCGGGACAATCCCTGGCCATATGTCCAGCGTTGCCACAGACACGGCAGATGATGCTGGCAGTGTAGTTTTGTCGCTCGGGACAGTCGTACTTGCGATGGCCAATCTGACCACAGTTCTGACAGGCCTGGTTCTCGTCATCACGGAGAGTACCGTTGAGAGCAGCAAGTTCACGGAGCTGGTTGCGCTTGAGCTCGTTCTGGCCTTCGGGGATGGAAGCAGCCTGATAAATACTAAGTTAGCCACCGTCGATGCAAACGCCGGGAGATGAGGAAGGACACGTACCGTCTCAATGATATTGTGGATGAGCTTCTTGGCCTTGTTGACCTTCTCTTCCGTCTCCGCCATGATGAGGCAGTGAAGGTCTTCCTCCTGGTTGCTGGCGTGAGCTGCGTCCGACCGCCCCTTTCCCTCCTTGACGGAGCCCTTGCCACGAATGGCGATCTTGGCACCGGATTCTCCCTCCATCTTCTTCAGAGTGTTGCCACGAGGTCCGATAAGCAAGCCGACTTTACGAGGAGAGCTAAGCGTTAGTATATGTATCAAGAGGGTGAAGCAAGTATGACGGTCCCAATCTCCAAACAAGGCCAGGTCTGACAAGACACCTGGAGGATGCATGACAAGCTTGGCCAGAGTCCAGGCAGGGGAACAAGGGAAACAAGAATTTTGGTTAGGAGGGTTAGAGGGTTAGCAATCATACTGAAGTTAATCTCTGGATAATCGTTAACAGGCACGTAGACCTTCTCCTGGGTCTTGGTGGGCCTGCGGTAGTCCTGTGGCGGGTGGTAGTTAGGGATGGTCTTCATGGCCTTTTCGATGAGCTTGTGGCGCTCGTCTTCGAGGCGCTTGCGGTAGCGGTATTCGCGAGTGTTGATTCGACGACCATGGTTGTCGTACTGCGGAGGAGGAGAGGGGGATCTGGAGGAAGAGGGGATCATCAATAAAGGCATTGCGCGAAACTGCGCAGGAGAGTAAACGTACCTGTCTCCATCCGCGGGGACGACGTCGTCAATACGGAGCTTCTGGCTGATTTCTGTGATGCGGAGATGGAGGGTGTAGGCCTCCAACTGCTCGCCGGTCATGTTGGCCGTGATGGCGGTCGTCAAGCCCATCAATCCCGCAGCCTTGTTCTCCGACGCGTCGCCCCAACGGTTTCGCTTCTTTCTGCGACGAGGGCCATCGGCATCGGTACCTTGATTAGGCAATGAGTATCACATGAACCGGTCAGGGGAGAGATGATTAGACTTACGAGGCTCGGGGCTACGACCGCGCTTCAACTCGCCATTGCCGTTGCCATTGCTTGGGGGAGAAGCTTCGGGGTACTCCTCATCCTCGCCGCCAAAACGGCGCTTTCCCAACGGGATGTTGTTGGAACCCGTGATTCCCTGGTTTCTCCACGACATGTTGATTGCTGCGCGATGGCTATCAAAATGTCGGCAGGAAGAGGATGTGGTGTGATGGCGATTGTGGGTTTGCGATGAAGGAGGAAAGGGAACTTTTATATGGGACCGGCAAGTTCAAAGCTGCGGAGGTACTGAACTGAACACAGCGCATCAGCCTGGCCTCATGGAAGAATCACATTGGCCCAAGCTTTTTGGCGCCGATTGCCACCAGCTGGTGGGTTCCAAGGGACCAGTGGCCAGCACGTGACATGAATCCGAAGTCAGCACGGCCAGCCAGCCTGGCTTTTTTTACCTCGGTGAGAAGGGCTGCGAGGCAAATTAGAAAGAAAAAAAAGTCGACAAGTAACTCGAATGACTCAGAAGGTCTTTGAATACAATCGGCAAAAAGTGTGATCAGTGGGAGGCTTGAACTCCCGGCCTTGGCATTACACAACATTTCGGTTGAAATATTAGTACCACGCTCTAACCAACTGAGCTAACCGACCTAGAACGTCTCATTGGATGTTGAAATCTTTACTTTACATCAAAATAATGAATCTCCATTACGTTGTGCGATTGTGATTTGATTTATATTTGCTGAACTTCTCAAGTTGCTATTTTTATTGAAAAATCTCCTAGTTCACTGACATGCCCGAGTCTCGATCAATTTGACTTTGTTCATTGACTTGTGATGGCCCTTTGCTCAGCATCCTGATAATTACAAAGTCTCATCGCTATTTCCTCATTTCTTTGCCGCATCCTCCTGCATGCCCTTAATAATCCATGCGGAAGCTGCCTTGGCCTGCTCATCCAGCTCCTCGTCGGTCTTGCTGAAATGCTCCAGCGCCTTGTGGGGAGAAGGAATGTGACGGCCCTGCTCGAAACCGGGCCGCTCAACAAGCTTCCACAGCCACGCCTTGAGCGCGGGGAACTCTTCCAGGTCGATGCCTGCCCACTTGCTGGCGGCGACCCAACCCCAACTGGCAATGTCGGCGATGGTCACGCGGTCGCCGACGAGGTATCCATGGGGGTTGGCCTTGATCTGCGTGTCCATGGTGCGGTACAGGCGGCGCGTCTCGTTGGTGTAGCGGTCGATGCCATACTGAATCTTCTCCGGGGCGTAGCCTGCGGATGTCAGTATCCCATGGTCAGTGAATTTGACGAGCGGTGGTCTTACGCTTGAAGTGGTTGGCTTGCCTACAAATTGGTTAATATTATGCATAATCGTCTCAGTTGGTGGGATGCTCACCCCTGCATGGGACCCAGACCACCCATCTGCCAGTGCAGCTGCAATTCTCATCAGCGTCACGAATTGCTCAATGCGTATTAGTCAGTCATACCCAGTTGTTCACCTCCCAGTACTCTCGCGAGCCATAGGGGTAAGAGACCTTGTGATCCTTATCGTAGCGTTCGACGAGGTACTGCATGATGCTGCCGGACTCGAACAGACGGATCGGCTTGCCATCCTCGAAGGTGTCGGTCAAGGCCGGAATACGTCCATTGGGGTTGATCTCAAGGAACCAGGGCTCCTGTGGGATCGTGCATCAGCATGTAGGCTCAAGTTAGTCTGCTTGTACAACCGACCTTCTGGGTGTTCTTAGAAATTTCAATGGTGGTGACCTGGTAGTCCAGGCCGAGCTCCTCCAGGAGGATGGACACCTTGATACCGTTGGGGGTACCGGTAGTGTACAGGTGGATATCGGTCTTGGTCTTGGCAGCCATGTTGAATATCTGTTTATTTAACTGTCCGAGGCGAGAGGTCATCAAGATGGTATGTAGTATCGGAGTTTTTTGTCATAGGCTAGGATAACTAAAAGGAAACGGAGACTGGAGCTTCTCTCTAAATACTAATCCGACAGCTTGAGCTTAGAGCTGCTTGCCCCATAACACCGACCCCTCTTCATTGCCGCAGCATCTGTTTAGACAGGCATTCTCTTAATAATACGGAAGGGGAGAAGACCCCGCCTGGGGGCCCGTGGAAGCTGCATCTAGCTGTGATTGCTTCCGTCAGTGTGACCCCTCTATTGCACGAGCTTTGGGTCTCGACGAACAGGGCACGTGAGTTTTGCTTAGAAATCGAAACTGGAATTCTACCTGCAGCGAAAATGTCGTCACCTCTTCGGCGGCCGGAGCCCCGCCCCGTGCATCTCTTCGACGTCTTTCGAGCATGAGTAAGCAGGGAAACTTCGCATCAAACATGACATTCTAATGGCGCCCTCCAATCAACACCCAAGTTTGAACCCCATCCTTGTCGTAGCTAGATACCCTCACGGGGCACGGCATCCTATCGGCCATTGACAGGGCTCAGCAGGATATGTGAGATGCGCGGAATGCTGCAACAATATTCAAGCCGCCGGCCGAGCGCCGTATACAGCCAAGCTCCGGCGTGCTCCGGATACAGTCCGCTTCACTTCTGCGCTCTCTCCGACGTAGGATTGTGACTGTTGGGGTCGAAATTCTCCGATGGATCCGCTCCTCGGGTCGGGCCCATCTGGTTGTTCTGACCCTGCCCTTTGGAATAATTCGGTTCGTCGATTAAGACATTCATAGACTCCATTTCGCCCTCCGGTTCTTGGAGAAATAAATCCCAATCAAACTCTTCGCCCCCATTCTCCAGCGGACCTTGAGGCACAGCATACTGATCATTGACCCCCAGACCGCAGTGGCCTTGTTGATCGACTGAGACGTTGTCGAGTTGGGCCAAGTGGAGACTCTGCTGCTGCTGCTGCTGCTGCTGCCGCTGCCGCTGCCGTTGTTGTAGTTGTTGCTGTTGCTGCTGCTGCTGCTGTTGTTGTTGCAGCCGTGACTTGGCCCAGTGCCACACGGCCAAGCCCGAAGGTGCCTGCCGACGGTTATGGAAGGCAGGCCTGTCGTGCCTGTCGACCAACTGAGCACGGCGATCCGCCTGGAGGGCTTGCTCGGCGGCAAGGAACGCGGAAAAGTCGCTGGAAGGCATCGGCCGAGTAGCAGCCAGCGGTACCTCCCCCCAGAGCATATTGGGGTCCGCTGGTGCCACAGGGTCTGGTACCGAAGCCAGAGAAGGCTCCAGCGTTGCCGACGGCTCTATCAGTTGTTGCAGTTGCTGCTGCTGCTGCCGCCGGTGTTGTTCGTGTTGTTGGTGCAGCACCCCTGTGTAACGGGCTGGGTGATAGCGCCGGAGCTCCTGAATCAGTCGCTCAACTTCCTTGTCGTCGATCATGGCCTGCTGGTTTTGTCCTGCCATCCTTGCCGCTGTTGATGAATACAAGCGGGACGTTGATGAGGGAGGAGGACGACGACGACGACGAGAAAGGTTGAGGGACGGGGTGGGTGGCAGAAATGTCTCTGACCACGCACGACTAGCGATAAACGATGATGTGAAGTGGAGGGTGGGTTCAGGAAGGCTCGACTGCAGTTGCGAACTCTGGATGGAAGAAAAGATGGAAGAAAAGAAAACAGAGGTAAGAAGAGATGGGCTGGGTATCTTGGAAGTGGGATAAAAAAGGAGACAACGCTTGCTGATTTATGAAACGGTCGAAAAAGCAGATGTGCTGATGAAGGAGACTGGAGGCTGGGAGATGGTGTGAAGAGCTCATGTTTTATATGCAGACAATTGGAGATTACGAAAGCGCTTTCTCAAGCCCTTCACTCAGTGTTAACACTTTCCTTAGGGGTACGAAGCTGGCATACACCCGACAGCTGCGCATATCACGCAGACTGCCTCATCAGAGAGAAAGGGCCGAGACTGATGCCCAATACGTTGAGTAGCCTCTCAGTTCACGCCCCCCCACCCCCCAAGGTAGAGTCCGGGCAAGTAGTAGATGATGGCCTAAAGTTGGTCTAGTACGCCTAGCGAGGCCCGAACAAGGTACAGTTCGAGTTAAGATGCCCAATCATCCAAATCATAGTTTTTCCCCGACGTGCCTTTTTCAGCAACATGACAGCCCAAAAAGGGTGTTTCAGTCAGATGAAGAGCTTCCCACAGCGGTAACAGTCGGGCAGCAAGCACACTCGACGGCAAAGAGTAACCAAGCCACTCTTTAAGAATACACTTACCTTACCAAAAGTCCTCCGCCATCCGCATATCAGATTAACTTTAATTCAACCTAGGAAACTCCATTAATACATGCCCAGAAAGGTTGCAGAAACTGACTGAAGCGCCGAGGTGACTTGCGTCCACACTCTCATCACTGTCATTGGGGAAAGGATTCATGGAGCTCGGTTAAAAACCCCGTCATCTTGAACAAATAACCCAAGGGCGGTATTGCATTAAATTCATGGCGACGGAAACGTCAAGAAGACTGTTACGGAGCGCAATGGGGCAAAACACTGGATAAAGTAGGGTGACAGGACAAACTCCTGGAGCGCCGTTCCTGTTCCAATCAGCCTACCGCCACGAGCGGGAGGGAACCCACCGGCAGACACACAACCATCATGCCGGTGTTGTAGGAGACTAGAGCGGATGGTATCAGGAGACAAGCTGTATAGCTTTTACCCATGGATATATATGCTACGATGGATGCTGTTTTGGCTCGAGTATCATCACTCTTCTCACCGTCTCAACAACGCTCTCAACAGCGGCCTGATTTTGATGCCTCTGATGTTCTGCCGTTCAACAGACACAAGCAACGAGGGAAAGTACTTCGTCTACGAGGAACAGCTCCGGAAGACACATCGTTTCACCCGACGCATCTGCCGCATCGAACCTAATCTAGAAGTGGTGCGGAAGTCTAACCATAGCCCAACGATAAAGCTGGCCACCGCTCGAATGCCTGTCCATCGCCGGGTCGGGGTTTAGAACGGCTGCCTGGTTTCTCATCTGGAAGGTTTAGGCGTGCCTTTTATCACATCTGCGATTTCACTGACCAGTGGCCGTCTGATCAACGATCAAGCGCATATCTGCAGACTTTGCTGCCCTGGACCCCCCAAGGCTGCCTAAAAAGGGTACGCGAGTGTTTGTGTGACATGAATAAGCTTTATGTACCGAGTCGCGCCGAACCATGGTTCGGGTAGAAAGCATCGTGGCCACTCGCATCGAGCCCTCGTCCACTTGCAGCCACGGGCGAGATCAAACAAACCACCCCACGCGGCAGCCTCTCAAGCCATCTGAAGTCACGCATCTCGGTCGAATGTTCAAAACTGTGCCGGCTGGCATAATGACAAGATATGGATGAGTAAAGAGGTCGTTTACATCTTTCTACCCAAAACACATGTACACATCACCCGGTACCGCATCAACTCCGCCCGGCCATCATTCTGTTGCCATGCCAATCCACTGCCGATGCTGTCATGGAGCCAAGAAACACATGCTATGAATACCGAAAGTCTGACATTGAGACTTGTTGATGAACCAAACCCAAACACCAGTCAACCACACCCAAAACTCCATATTTTTCGTCTTTCGTTTTCTGGAATGAGATGAGATGTCAAAGAGTCCTGTCATGCCTTCTTTTCTCTGATGCCGATGGGACTGCCTGCCTCGACAATCATCTGCTCGTCGATCCTCTTTTCAGTATCGCCCCACTCTACCCGTTTCCAAGTGGTGATGCGAGCTTCGTTGGTGTCGACCTCGAAAACGCGTATTCGGCGGTGGTATCCGCCATAGCCTGCATACCCACCGAATCCTGCGCCACCAGCGTAGCACATCCAGAGAGCGGGCTTCTTTTCACTGTCCAGAGAAAGGGAACAGTAGTCGTTTACGTGATCGCTGTTTGACATTAGCAAAGAGTTTCTTAGAAAAAAGCTTGGGAAGATGGAGGAACTTACTGGCCGCAGCTGACCATGACAACGCCCTGCTCGACCAGGGCATCACGGAAGCCGGAGTTGTAGTTGGGTGCAGTAACACCCTCCTTCCACGAGCCTTTGAGGGCGAGGTCTGTATCTCTATATTCAGGCAGGGGAATGTGTATAAAGGCCAGGTCCATGTGGACCTTGCTGTACTCCTTGTGCGTCTTCTTGAGGCTAGTCGAGGTCTTCTTAAACCAGTCGATCTGGTTCTGCTTGATCCAGTCATAGCCGTGGAACTTGCGCTCATCAGGCGAATATGAGTGAGAGTCCAACATGTAAAGTGTGAGTGCCGAGTGGTCCGACTTGCCCCTAGCAAGGACTTCGACGTAGTAGTTGCCAACGCCGTCTATGTCTTCTGGTCCCGCCTTCGCCAGAGAATATGGCAGGGATTCCAAGATCTGCATCTGAGCGGCACGAGGGAGCGACCCTTCATCATCGTGGTTACCGAAAATTGAAACATAGGGAATCTTCATTTTGATCAGGATTTGGGCGATTTTGAAGATGGCCTAGCGTCATTAGCTCGCGTTCCAACCAACCGAACATCTTTACTCACCGACTGCGCATCAGGCGCGGTCTCTCCGTTGACTTGGTCTCCACTAAGCACAACTAAGTTGGGCTTCTCCTCATTGAGGATCTTGCTGACGAAGTCCAGCGTTCTGGGGTCCGCCTCGCACACGCCACCGTTGTAGCCCTCGGGCATCGCGTCACGGCACTTTCCGACGCCAGTGCTAAGGTGGAGATCGGCGAGTTGCACAATCTTGAACCGGCCATTTTCGGGAATACGCGGCTGCGGCTTGTGAGGCTCCTTCTGGCTTCCTCTTCGGAGGGTGATGTGCGTGACGGGGACGTCCTGGTTGGGAGGGAGGAGTAGAGCAGTGCCGGTGATTTCCCAGCCGTCGCGCGCCTCGACCGCATCGTCGCCGAAGAGCACATCGATGCCGGTGACGGCCTTCTTAGAGTCGCTCTTCTTCTGGTTGGACGATCGCTTCACCCACAAGCCGTACGGTCGGCTCTCCCATCGCTCATCCTCCTCGCCCTTCTTCGTTGTCGTCGGGTCGAGCCGGCCGACAGAGACGTCCATCACCACCTTGTCTTCGGCCAGTAGCTCTTCTTCCTTCTTCCGTGCGACGTGCACGTACGCGCTCGTCGTCCATGATTTGCCCAGGTAGAGGTCCTTCTCGATCCGGTGCCACTTCTCGGTATCCAGGTTGCACGAGGAAAACACGTTGAGGGTGGAGCATTTCGTTACTGTAATGTCGGTGAGGACCAAGCCGTGGTGATGCTGGGGCATGTAATGATGCATCGACTTGGGGAGGACTCGGAAGTTGCGGTCGAGAAAGAAGACGACGAGGAAGGTCAGCAGCGTCACCGCGCTGAGCTGGATAATCGTCCGTACCTGCGGAAAGCAACATGTCAGTACGACCCTCCCTACTCGGATACACTCCGAAAACAGCACTTACTATACGGCGCGTCATGCTGGGCGGCTTCGACGTTGTCGCAAGGCAGAGTGTGGTCGTTCGTGGCGACTCGAGGAATGGCGGCGTGATTGAGGAAGCAGCGGGTGGGCTTGGGGAACACGAACGCGAATAACCGGCTCGGACGAGCCTAATTCAAGCTACTGTCTAGGCCATACCATGGCCCGCAGGTCGGATATACAGAGAAACAAAGCGTTGCGAGTGGCGCGGGAGAGCTCGTTGTCAGCTCGAAAGACAGCTCAGCAGGGCGACAGGGGGGTTCGGGAAAAGGAGCAGAAGCAGGCACGAGGATGGGAGCAATCGAGCCGGTCGATACCTTAACTTTAGGTAAGGTAAGAGGGCGATTTGGGTGGAGCCGCCGCTAGAATCCGGGGTAGCAGCACTTCCAGCAGTGGTTGCCCTGTGTTCTCTTTGCGCCCGGTGGGCCGCAAGGGTACGTAGCCGCGATTAGGTTGTCAAGGTTTCATTTCTATCGCAAGGCTAGGAAAAGCGGATGGATGACCGCTGAAGAGGGGGAATGCAGAGGGGAAGAGCTGTTTGGCACGTGCCATGGCCAACTGCCCATGGGCCAATTGGTAGCTCGACGCGTCCATGTCTGGTCCGGTATGGTCTGCCGCGTGCCGTGTGCCGTTTGCCGTTTGCCGTCTGCCGAGCACGCTGCATCGTGTTACATGAGCCGAGTTGCGACGACGCAGCAGCGGGCATGCTGTGCACTGCGTTTTACGTCTACCTTGACCAAGTGGCAGCCTCCATGTCCATGTCCATGTCATGTCATGCCGCCGGTGGGCCCTCCCGTTCCATGTCATTGTCTGCCACCACCCATCGTGCGTAAGCTCAAGACGACATGGTCTGAAGTCTGAAAGACAATAGACGGGCACATGCAGCGCACATCGGCCAGAGCCCTATTCGTGTCCTCCTCTATTGATATACTCAGCACCACGAACGCGCGTCATTGTTCAATTGAGTTTAATACGCAGCCATCCTCCCAGTTGCTCACAGCTTCTAGGGAGGACGAGATGAAATAACGACCGTCAAGTCTCCTCACCTCCGGATGACAGAAGTATGGACGGGTCGATTGAGTTGCAGATCAGTAGAGGTTCCACTGATCGATCCCTCGCCGCCGAGGTATCATCCGGCTGTCATGACTGAGCGACTGGCATGAGCCTGAGTGGGTTGCAGACGCGTGGCACTCGATCTCAATAACGCGATACAACTTCTGGAAGTCTGTCGAGCATTTGGCATCGGCATCGGCATCGGCATCAAGCAGAAAAGTGCTCCTGTCACGTGCAGTTGACTCGGTGGCAAGAGCCGTGTTGCCGCGGATGATGAAAAGATGCCAAGCCCGACTACCTCGCATATAACAAACTTCATCTCTAGCATGTTGAGGCAATGAGAGCCGAGTCGAAGTATTCCTCACTTGAGCTGGTCCCCTGAATGGCTTTAACTTGACCGGCGGTCTTTGTTTTCCAGCCGAAAACATACAGGCACGGTCTGATGACGCCCATCCCCTGACATGAGAAGGCACGCCATCTTTGGAGGGGCAGCATCCGAAAAGAAGCGCCGTTGGGCTTCCTTTGTGGCTCTATTCTGCGCCAGTTATTTGTGGACGAGTGCTACAAGTTTCGCAACGGCACACCTCGTTCTCCAAGCCAGTTCCACCTCAGCAGTTCCCATCAACTGAACGACTGACTATAGGTCAGTCAGTACTGTACCTAATTAATAACTCTCATCCCCTTTGGTCTGATGCAGGAACATTGGCCCGTGCTCCCGTATGCTCGCTTAGCTGCACGAGCTCGATGGGTACGTACCTCCTCGAGCTCCAGCAGAAGGCGTGCTGTGGGCGCGGCGCTCCCCTTTCCCGCAGTCGAGCTAGGAAGTACCTGCCTATCTGCCTGCCATTTGCCGCCTCCCAATTCCCCAAGCTTGTCGTCCTGCGAACCAAAGCAGCAACGACGCGCCTCAAAAATCGTCATAACCCCCCGACGATCCATCAACGACCGCTCCTTCTCTCCGCCTTCCCAGTTCCACCTCCCTGTCATCATCAATCTCTTCTCTGCAAACGACTGCGCAACCTTGTCGCATCGCAATCCAGCCACCGTATCCATTAATCATTTGCTGCCGCCGCTCCATCGCACCGTCGCAAACATGGCTACCGACTACAGTTCATTGAAGGTCCCCGAACTCAAGAAGCTGCTCCAGGAGAGAGGTCTTCCCGCCACGGGCAACAAGCTGGACCTTGTCAACCGCCTCAAGGAGAACGATAAGCAGGCCGCGCCTGGTACGTAAACCGACCCCAATTGTGCGCTTCCACCGATCGCAAGCTAACACAATCCCGCAGCTACCGCAGAGGAGGACGAGATTGACTATAGCGACGACGAGCCCGCGCCCGCCAAGGCCGCGGAAGCACCCAAGCCCGCCGCCGCCGCCGAGGCCGCTCCTGTTGCCGATGAGTCTGCGCCTGCGTCTGCCGCGGCTGAGCCCACAGCCCCCGCCACCGAAGCCGCACCCGAGGCTGCGCCGGAGGCTGAGACAGCCGGCGAGGACAAGAAGCCCGAGGAGGCCGCAGAGACTGCCGATGAGGCGCCAAAGGAGAATTTCGCCCTCAACCTCGACGCGACCGACGCCGCAGCAGAAGCTAAGAAGCGCGCTGACCGCGCCAAGCGTTTTGGTATCGACGAGGACGAGGAGGCCAAGAAGAAGGCCGAGCGCGCAAAGAAGTTCGGCATCGAGGTCGGCAGCGTTGCTGGTCTCGACTCTGCCCTTCCCGAGAGACGCCCTAAGCGCGGCCGTCCCGAACGCGCCGACGAGCAGCCTGGACGCGACTCCAAGCGACAGAGCACCGATGGCCGTGGACGCCGCGGTAGAGGCAACAGGAACGGACGTCCTGGTGGGCGTCAAGGCGGCGGCGGCGGCGGCGGTGGCGGCGGCGATCGCGAACCTAGACGCAGCGCTGCCGTCGACCCTGCCGAAAAGGCGAGACTGGAGGCCAGAGCAAAGCGATTTGCCGCCTAGTGAGAGGCGCAACGCGACCTGATGTAAAGGGGGGCTGCGAAGGTCACGACGATGGGCCTGTATACTATGCCTGAGGAGAGGTGGACGGCGTTTCGGTCTGCGACGAATGGTTGGGGGGACGCAACCGCAGGACTCGAAAGTACAACACGTCTTTGGTCCAAGGACGGACGAGGATGGAATCAAAGCGGGACGGCGTGACAATGCGCGTCTTTTCAACAAGAATTTTCTCCACAGTAATGAGATAGAACTAAAAGTCTTTTATATTCCCATATCCCAGATACCTCTTGAGCCTTCCACAGAGAGAAGCGCGTACCAGCCAGCCGCTTGTGTGCCTTGACTCTTCGTAAATGAGAAGCCGGCGGCATCCGATGTCGTAGTTTTATGAGGGACTAGAGAGTATGCACTCTTGTATCATCATCGCGTAGATATCTTTCGCATTTGTGACGAAACGTCTAACGAGGCTAGCGATTGTAGAAGAGTCTCAATGTCTTGGAGCGAGCGGAAGAGTATTCTGGAAGAGCTGATGCATCAGGCCATCATGCTCAAGTACCCCCATGGCGGAGGATCAACGCCATCCATACAGGGAGTCCCGTTAGGAAATGGCAGTTGCCAGATGGAAGGTGAAGAGAAACAAGCCGTTCAAGGAATGCCGGGCATGAAGCCAACTTCAACATTGAGGGGGTACCAGACACCTCAGAGGTGCTTCTCCTTGAAGTTTCAGCAAAATACAATGTTGATTATCGTTCATATAAGGAGGCTGCAAGCCAACCCGGCAGGAAACGGAGCCATCAACGAGTCCACACCTCGAGGCAATCAGCAGCTCTGGCAGTAGCAGAGGCTTACAGAAAAGAGCGGGTTGAGGAGACATATCTGCCAAAGGGGATCATTTCTTCAGTTAAGCCTTTTATACTATTGCGAGTAGGCCGAACCAAGGGTTTGCAGAGCGTGTTTAAGACCTGGAGCATATGAACGATCGAAATGGGAACGCCAGAACCTCCTAGCATCGTTAGGGACGTTTGACCTTTTTAGCAGCCTTGAATCAACAGTCCTTTCAACGATGGTCCGACCCAGATGCGAACAAGGCCGAACTCTTCGCTGGCTTAGCATGTAAGGCCCCAACATGTTCTCTTCCAGGCCGACTGAAGACACCGCGCTGGATCCTAGCCAAGTTGTCGACATCACACCTCACGGATCTTCGTTATCAGTCTAAGTATCGTTCGTTGAAACAGAAACACTCATCTCTCAACCCCTCAAAAGCATAGTTTGAGGAGTTCCAACGATCCCCGACGATAAAACCCCAGAACTATGCCCTCGTTTCAAGCCAAATCTGTCTACAAGACGCACTCAACAAACAGCTTTCCATGCCGAAACGCCTCGCCATCACAACAAACCCACAAGTTACCCTATCCTTTCATCGATACCTCTCTAAGAGACAGTACCCATCCCCATGGGAAACCCGTATCCGTAGGGTAGTGGTGATGTCACCGTCAAGGCCCCTGACCAACCATTGCAAGAGAGTGATAAACATGCTCAAGCATGAGAACACACGCAACCCCCCTCCAGTCTAGACCCTGGTCACTAACACTCACAGATGCCACGAACACGCAACTCGAGCTCGCAAGGCATACTTAGAACCCCCAAAGCTCAGCTTCGTATTGTCTTGTTGTTCTATCTCAAATACTCCCAGTATAAGCAGCGCGGTCTCCACCCGCCATGTCTGAGGGATCTGTCAGAATAGCATTAACTGCTTCCAGCGCCCGCAGGTCCCGAGCATACGAAGACCACGGGGCAGACTCGGGAGGGACCCCCAATGACAAGGCTCAAAGCCTCACCAATCTCCCAGAAGGTCATCGTACATACATTTCCTAATCCAGCCAAGAAACTAAGGCACAATTCCGACCCAGCGGCATCCGATATCCCCGAACCAACACTCAACCCCCTCTATGTCCAAGAGTTGTCTATGCCTTGCACTTTTTTATCGCGCTTTTTTATAGCCCTTAGACAACTCGGTTCGTAAACATGATGTAAGAAACCGATGAAACCGACCCTTCACTTCTCGGCCCTGAGAAGACAATCTCAAGGGAGCGACACAGCAGAAATAGAAGTACCCAATTATCAACCCCCCCAGTGCTCTTGATTCAAGTCCATGACCCCCACCCCAAGAGGCGTTGCGGAATGTCATGTGTGACTTCTACGACCGACAGCGAGACCCCGTAAACGCCAAGCACCAGTGACGCGGGAAGTAACCAGGGGTAGACAGGCGAGGACATGATGCCATACGGAGGCAACTGCAAACACATTGACACAGCACGCTGACCTCATCAGTGGAACGTACTCTGCAGGTGAAAGAAGTATGTGGGCGGGGTCCCGTGGATGGCCTCAGTACCGCACGGCTGGTGTTGCTTAGCTCCATCCATGTACCTGAGCCTGGCCTCAAAGGCACGGCGGAACCGGGGGAATGGTATCTTGGCCGGGCCCAGTGGCCTCATCTCCTGATGAACCAAGCCGAGCTGGAAGCATACAGCAACCAGTCAGCTTCGAGACGACGTTTCGTCACCCCTTACAGACCGAACGGGGTTGGAAGAAGGCAAGGACAGTGCCGTCGGGGTTGACGGACAGCATGACTAAAGCATAGCGTTATGGGACGTCGACATGACTAGACCCACGCGGATTTATATGTCCGCACAAAATCCGCGATCCCGACGGAGTGAGCAGGATGATTAAAGAGGTAGGGGGGAGGGCGGCCACGCGCATCATGCTCTGCCGCAAGGATGCCGCGATCCTTCGGCAGAGGGAGAGGTCAGATGTTTCGAGAGCGGGACTGGGCCGTTCGTATTTGCTGCCTAGCCTCCCCCGTCAGCAACCTGGACGGAACCGTTGAGGGGCCCGGAGCCTGGAAGCGGCGGCCGTTAGGAAAGTAAGCAAGAGGGGGCCAAGGGCCAAAGTCGTTCCGTTACACCCACTGACCTGCAGAGGGCTAGCCTTTTGCATTGCAGGCAGACATGTAAGCAGCTTCCTGGCTCCTGCATGCGGTTGCCGTCGCTGTCACTGACGTCTGAATAGCCTCATGGTACGAGCCAGAGATCCTAATCCTTCCCTCGGGCGAAGATCCGCACATTCCTAGCAAACTGTGACGGGACTCCTAAGCCCGCGGGGCAACGGGGGCCATTTCGCAACCTAGGAAAAGTCCATGTCTGGTCGGCGTGGACCGCCGGACCACGATAGCAACACCGAGCCCAGGGCATTAACAGTTTTCCATCTGGCTCCCAAGGGTCCCCGTGACCCGGCGTGAACTCGGAGCGACACCGCCAGCGGTTCACCGGGGCAGCGGGGCCCTCGCGCTCTTCGGGCAGGACGGCGAGGCATCAGCCGTTGTGGATACAAGAGGGGCGGCGCAATATTTCCCCCTCGGCCGAGTTCAGCGAGGTCAGCATGACCAGAACGCGACTTCCGACCAAAACCAAGAGTGCGGGATGTAGGTAGACTGGAGACCACCCGACGTCGTTAGCTGTGTCGGTTCCTGGGGAGCGGGATCAAGCGGGTCTCCAGACTGGCCAAACATGAACGATAGCGACCCGAGGTGCATCCAGAGCGGACCGGTGGGCGACATGGACTCGACCTCCCGAGTAGGAAACACGTACATACTCGACCATGATTAGCCAGCCCAGTCTGTTCCGTCCGCCGTCGGCTGTTATGGCGCGGGTGTGCCCACTCGCACAAACGCTGCCGCTGGGTGCGTCGAGGCTCCATCGATCGAAGGAGGCGTTGCGCCATGGCAGCCAAGTAAGAAAATAGCCAAAGGGCTGCATGTGTTCCTTGGAATCAGGACTCCGGGGTACCCTACCCAGCCCATTGACTCCTCTGCGGCCGCAACCGAAGCCACTGGGCCAATTCGTGGTTCGGGCGCCTCATCGCGAACCACGAAGCAGTCCTTTCGAAGGAGTCTTATCCCTTGCGCCGCTGAGCCAGAAAGTCAGACTGGAGAGGCCCGCAATCCTGAGGCCCCCATGAGTTCCGAAGCGTAACCTTGAGAACCTCATAGCCTCGTCCCGCTGTTCCAAAACAACGGATACGTAGGGCAGACTGGCACCGCTGCGCTGCCTAGTCGAGCGCATATGCGTCAACCTGGCTGTCGAAGCAAGGGCGTCAACTTCTCTCCGGGGCCCTGCCTACTGCTGACTACTGACTACTACACTACACAGACGAAAAACCCCATGGTTCGTGCGTCCTGCCCACACTCGCCGCCCGCTGGGCGCCACGATGACGGGAGTCTAATGCGCCCGGCTACCGGGGTTGGACGACCTGTGATCCATCGGGGGTGGCGCTAGTCCCCCCGGGGGGAGGGTGCGGACGACGCGTGCGCTCGGCAGCGCGTCTGCGGCAAAAGGTGAGAAGAGCAAACATACAATTGGCACTGCCGCATAGCGTGGGTAGTTTACGTTACATGGCGAACTGTGCCGCCGCCGGCGAGGTCCGGTTGTCGTCAACGACTGGTATAGATACGCAATTCCAGTTGAACCGCAGCCAGGAATGTGTCGTAGATCAACTCTCCGCCCTCTTCCTTTGGGCTAGGCGTCGTGCACCCCCTCCCCAGACGCTGCTCCCGCCGTCTGGGTTCACTCTGGCACGGTCGGCCGCTCGTTGACGCACACGTTCTTCCCGGGTCCCCCCCCCCCAGCATCTCCCAAGCCCCGGGACGTTGCAGTCGATGTTTCCCGAGCTCCTTTTTCGACAACGCTATGCTTGCCCGAACCAAGGCAAATCAGAGAGAGGCCCGTCGTTGATACCATTCTTCTTCCTCCCACGAGTCCCCACCCGGCGGCCGACTCTACGCTATACCGCTCCGGGACAGCCATCGAGGTGCTGCCATCAAAGTCGTGGGGTCGAAGGGGGGGGGGGGTTGCAGGCATCCCTGCCCCTCCATCATGTTCGCTTCGATGCTGGACCAGGGGGGTTGCAGAAAGAACATGCCTCTCGTCCAACCACTCATTTCGTAAATGTCGGCCCTAGGCCGCGGACCCCATGTTGCAACGATCGTATTCGCATCAGACGAAACACCGCTGCGGTGCTCGGAACTATAGTTGACAGATATCGTCGGCCTCATTTGACTGGCTTTTAGACGTTATTTGGGTCTACCTCGCTCTGCTTGATACCTCTCCTGAGAGATGGTAGACTACTATGAACCTTTCGGCATTGGGACGACTTGCAGGCGTTGGGCTTTGGTGTAATCAAGGATAATAAGGAAGATGTGAGCAAAGGCATGTTAAGTACAACAAATACAAAGTCCGTGTACAGAATCCATTCATGTTGCCAACAATAGACCTGATCAAACGCCGGTGACAGCCCAAACCTCCGCCTATGAAGTATTGCCCCGTTTCAACTTGTCCATGTATTCCGATCCGCCATTCGGCCCCCAACGACATTCATCGGAAATCGTTCCAGCCTCAATCTATACGGAACACAACACTGGCCCGAGATCTCTACTAACTGAAGTCTGCCTGACCAGTGGTCAGAACCATGACCAATGAACCTGCCTTCTTCCCCTTATTTCCTTGTATGATCGGAGAGGAGTTGTTCCTGGCCAGCCCAGTTGCGGTAGCCAGTTGCCAAGTTGACAACCCTAGGGGCCTCGAGAGTCTGCTAACCGCCTCGAGGATGACCTGTTGTTCACCCCGTGAAGCTCGTACCGCACCGCGAGACTCAACGCACAAAGGACTGGTCGCAGTTTGCTCCACAATACGAGCCATTTGTGGAAGGTCAGCGGCCTCTCAGCTGTTATGGGATCCGTCAGCGCCTGCGGTGTGGCGGTTTTTCGATGACACCTACTGTCGACTTGAGCTTTTGCTTTCCTTCTTCTTGCCGCTGCTCTTCTTCGACGAGTGCTTGCTTTGCCCTCTCGTCTCTATCCGAGGAAGGAGGCCGTCGAAGATGGCAGATTGGTCGTACGCTTTGGTCTTGTCATCGGGTGAGGTGCCCTTTGAGCTGCTGCCGCCGTAGGAGTTGCTAGAGTCCATGGTGTTGTCTGATGTTCTCAGAGCGGCGATCTAAACAATCAAGGTTGTGTTAGCCGTGGTCAACAGGCTAGGCTTGTGTTCGAGAATACCGTAGTCTCTTGGAGTTGGCGAAGGAGGTCGTAGGCTTCTTGGCGAGCATGTAATGTTTGGATGCGCCGTGTTTGGTGGGACGAGGTAAGACTCTTGGAGGGTTGAAGAGGTTGTTGATCTTGTCGGCTCATTCTGAAGACAGCCTTGCGCGAGCTTTATATTCCCAGGAATGTGTAGGTAGAAGGGAAGTTCTGCCCAATCCCCAAATGTCAAGGGCGAGGCCAGATGGATGACGGAGGGACTTTGGAAAGTCGATGAACCAGCCATCCAGGCTGAAGCTTGGAAGAGGTGTACTGAAAAACGGCAGACCGGAGCTTCACAGCACCTCTAATGGCATTGAAAGCTTGGCATTGTTCTAGGCAGAGTCGTAAGATGGTATCGTTGGTGGTCTCGCGTCCAGTCCACACCCCCACAAGCCCAAGGTAGGCAGCAGAGGGTCTCGCTAGACACAATTAGAAATCTGCCTGATGAACCCCGGTTATGGAGCCGGCCAACGTTATGCCCAAGGAAGAACTTTTGCAGCTATAATCTGTTCCGCCTCGAACACAAAACCATCCTGGACAGCGTAGAAACGGGAGAAATCTTGAGAAACAAAGAGAGAGACGCTGGGCTACGTCCGATGCCCCCCAAGCTCTCGACTTCACAGCCATTGCAGAACCGCCTCGACATCTGAACCGACCAAAGTCCCCTCGTGCCAGATCATGTGCGTATGCCAGTCCAGGGAGCTGCTTGTCAGAATTTTGACCGGGATATGCTGGGTGTGGGTTACCAGACACAGGCGGCTCATCACCTCGTGTCAATCGCCCAATGATGGATCATGTTGCGGATGCGGACCTTGCAATTTTGTATGGCCTCAATGCAACGCAATGCGTAGGACGCACCCTTCATCATTGAGATCCTGGCGGCTCTGAAATCGAGCAATTCTGAAGGATCGAGTATGCCGGAGTCGCCACTGCAGTATGTTCTTGGGAATCTTGTGGTGCCAGACCAAAAGGGGCTTTATCTTTCGCCATCGCAACCTCATGTGCATCGTTGCCTTGCAGCAATATAGGGCTGAAGCTTGAGCCAATCCCGAGGCCCGTTTCCCGGCCTAGCTGGGAATCGGATTGACTTTGATTCCGTGTTGGCAGCCATCCAGATCGGTCGTGGATTGGGTCGGGCCCGAATCGAACTCCTAGTCATTCGCAAGTGTCATCACCATCCTCAACGTAGATGCAGTCACGCGCAGTTAGTGTCGAAACAATGTCCGGTTCTCACCGAATGACCCCATCAATGAGTCAAAGTCTCGTCACCCGTTGGCGCGATGCCCTTCATCCCAGCAATACTTGCGACAGTCACTTAAAAGCCAGCGTTTTCTAAGCTCAACCGTTCCCGGCATGGGTTTGGAGTCGGAGAGCGTCCCTTGTGACAATTCGTCGGTGGATCTCGGTAGACTTGAGAAAACCACAGAAACCAGGCGTGAATGATGGATATCTGAGGGTTTAGGCAGGGTTGGCTGCCTTTCCTTCAAGGGATTACTCGCTCGTGTGAAGGACACGATAGCTTGGAGAGAGAGAAAACGCACACCGCGCCGCAGCCCAAGGCACCTGGGGAAAGGGTTGAACCGAACGAGACTCAACCAGGGCGGCCAGGCAGCAGCTGGACACCCTCCACAAGGGCGAAACCTGATTGGGGACCATCGTCATTGCTCGACGGTATTGTGTCTCTCCGCATCCTCGTTACTTCTCATCTCCAATGACATGGTCACCCTTTACTTGCCGAATGTCCTCTGCCCGTGAACCAGGGCAATGGGAGCTAGTCACCCTTCCTGGCGGTCCATACGACGCACGAGAAGGTGATCCACCGAAACAGCCGGGGTTTTTGTTGGCTATGTGCTAGTTTAATCAGCACGGTAGGACGTTTGGGTGGGGAAGACGGGGGCCGTCGTTCCATGAAGCCCCGCCGAGGGGAATCGGATGACCCGATGGCTGTTCGAACAAACTCATTTTCCGTTCTCAGCTTCAAGGTCCATGCGGGAATCAGCCATGTAGTGTGTCGAATATTAATGCATGGAGTTTCGGAACAATCCTTAACTAGCATTCGGATTGGGTTTCGAGCAATTGGAATGGTTGTCGGACTTAGGCACAGCGCTCGACATATTTCTACTGTTGCCCTGGGAATGCGGTTCCCTGCCGCTATTGTTGCGCTTGATACCGATTGCGACGCGAGCTGGCTCAAGAAGCATGCGCTCATATAGGGTGCATCTGAGGTATATAAACTTCTCCCACGGCCCTGGTTCACGGGTTCGACGTTCGAGTGACGGAAGCCCGCAATACAATCATGGGCCATTGGCCACGAGCCGTTAGGGGCTATGATTGATATTGTCCTACGCCGGGTACTTGCTTGTTACGAAGCCGAACACACACCTAGGGGCTTATTGACGAATCGATCCGCCTTAACAGAATAAAGCCGACGAAGGGGAAGTGTGGTCTTCACGGAACGACAATGAGGCCCCCCTTCATTATGAAGTGGGACTTTCCTGGGGCTCTGCTAGGCTTCGCGGCCGCCGCCAAACGGTTGCTGTAAGCCTGTAATCTTGCCCATCGTCAACAGGGCAGTTCGCATACGTTGCTAATCAGCCTGCCAAATAGGCGAGCTTCTGTATCATTGACTGTTGAATGCGAGTTGTCATAGGCCAGACGAACCTAGCTGGCCTTGTCGACATGCTGCCTCATCAAGAAAGCGGTTCGTTGTGCGGACACGGACACGGGACCCGTCTCGTTAGAGCGCCGATCCAGGCTTGTCAGGCCCAGAAGCATTGACCAGGTGCTTGATGACAACCGTTCGTTTCCCCACTCCGCGGGCCTTGACGACCACCCAGTCTTAACCTCTTATGAATGGGCTCAGTTCAGAGCTTGCACCAAAGTGTGTTAGTGAAGTGTTTGTACCACGAGGCAGCAGCGCGACATTTTTCAAGGTCGATAGAATACTGCTACAACAGAACGCGGTGTCAATGGAGCCGAAGCCCTGGGGGCAGCTCCGCCACAAGCAGGCAGTCGAGCGGTCTCAGGTCAATTAGGGCCACTGCTAGGCAACCAGATGTGTTGTGAGAAGATTGTTGATGGAATTGTGGAGATTCCACCGCATCATCTTTGACTCTATCCTTGTCAACATAACCTTCGTCTTTGAGGCGCTACTGCAAGTGTTAAACGGCGATGTTGGTCTGCGAGGCAGGTGGCGCAACCGTCAGCTCAACGGCCGTCGACTCTTCACAGTTATCCCAACGCTCTTTACGGTTGGTTGTGTTGCTACTATGCAGACCACCACACGCTGGCGTCTGACCGTTGCTGATCGCCTGTTGCTCCTTGCTGAGCGACCCCTGCCATATACCCACAAATGCCCTTCTCTCCCCTGCAAGGAAAAAGAGAGAGTGGAAGACTCTAGCAGTTCAGCGGGCATGCCTGGCCGTCCCGCTCGTTGGAGGTCGACAACTGGTACGGATAGCAAATGCAAGGTCTCTTTGCAGAGCCACCACTGCCACGCTGCAGGGGTTGTGTGCTGCCGCCGACAAGGGTGGCATTGGGCCCAGTGCCACCACCAGCAGACGGGACATGCTCGAATGGGGGCGGGAACATGGAGCCTTGCCGGGCTTAGCGGGTTCGTCTGCTTACCCGCCGAATCCCCTTTTTCTTGCTTCCAAATAACGTGTTGAACTCTTTCCCCGCGTTCCTCGAACGAAAGCCCATGACGTGGAGGTTCAAGGAGATTTCGACAAAAGACCACTCCAGACTGACCGTACCTGTGTCGCAATATCTATGCTGAGCTTGTCGCTGCTGTGAACTCGGCACACCAACGGAGTGAACGTCGTGAAAGCGCCCGCCATGGTCGTGTCCTCGAAGAAGAGAATGTCGCCCAGTGCCGAAGCTGACGAGGTGGCAAGTCCCGGGCAGTCAGTGAAGCCGCGTAAACGCGTTCCCGCCGAAATATGGGAAACCAAGCGTCCGATTATCACCCGGTTGTACCAGGAAGAAAAGAAATCGTTGAAGGAGGTCATGGAAATCATGCAACGTGACTATCAGTTTGTCGCCACGTAAGTACACCCCCGTCTGGTTTCCGCCCTTTGCTCACCGACACGTGCAGTGTCAAGATGTACAAGTCGAGGATATGGAAGTGGGGTCTTGACAAAAAGCTCAAGGGTGACGAGGTTCTAGCCATCATTCTTCTCAAACGGGACCGAGACATGTTGAAGAAGCCGACAGAGTTCAGGATACGCGGGCAGCTTGTAGACCTGGAGAACATCAACCGGTACCTGAAGCGTAACCCGTCGTTAATGGCAAAACTCAAGGCAGGCCATACGCCCAGCGTGCAGACCGCCCTCGAGGTGACTTGTCGAACCCCTTCGCCGCCCCCAAGCCCGTCAAGAGCCTTGGCACCAACAACGGAGATGCAGAGCACCGAGCAGGTTTTGTGCTTGTTCCGAGACTATATTGATGGATCCTTCTCCTCGGGAGCTTGGTCGTGCGAGTTCAACGTCGACTGCTTGAACAGTCGACTCAATCAGGGAGACCGGAGTAACGATTTGTTCGAGAGGGTCATCGCGAGCTTTGCTTTGGTTAACCGCTGCATGATCAGAGGTGACCAGATCAACATCAACAGCGTCCTCGGACCGGCTTTCGAATCGCTCAAGGAGATCGTCGCAGCCGAGAGTCCGGATTTCGTTGCCCGGACGGTCTGCTTGCTCTGGTACCTGGACCGACACCACAAGCATGACCTCTTGAGGCTAGTCCTTGACTATCTCGCCGGGCTGATTCCGATCGTCTTGGGGCCCCATCACATCCTGACCCATATTTGGCGCAGACTGGGCGCGACCGAGTTTTCAGATTACTATGAGCTTTCCATGCGGCTGTATGCACTGTTGCTCCCCGACATCGAGGAGCGCGTAGGGCCGGCCAACTACCTGACACATCTACTGTACAGCGACTATCTGGACTGCATCTTTGCTCGACAAGACCCCGAGGACTGCGAGGCGATGCTCAGCGGCCACCGCGCTCGTGCCGAGGCCTCAGGGCAAACACACCCATGGCTGGATGATATGGCCCTTTCACATGCAGGCTTGCTTGCGGCTTGCAAAGAAAACCAAGGTCGACTAGACGAGGCAGTGGAGGTACTAACGGCGCACATGAACGCGTACAGTATGACAGAGGAGCAGGAAGCGGCCCTAAACCTCGAGCTTGGGGTCAAGTATTACCGGATGACCAACATCTCGGCAGCAATAGCCTCGTTTAAATCGGCGGCTCGCATCGCCCTGACTTCGGACGCAGACGAGCGAATCTCGATGACGGCATTAGCAAACTTGGAAAAGCTTCTCCGCCAGACGGACAAGACGGCCAAAGCAGACCGGGTCCATCAATACCGGATGGAGCGGCTCGCGGCGTTCGCAGAAAAATCGGCTTCCCTATCGAAGGGCTTTTCTGATGGCGACGATTATGAGGACAGCGACGGCACTGACGATATCGAAAACCTACCGGACTGGTTATGGAAGTGCGACGACAGCGAAGAAGATATCACTGATTGGCTCGCGCTGCCACCTTTTGTCTGGGCCGAGAAAACATCCAATGCTTCAATCGCCAGGGCACCCGGCAGCGTTGTAGAATGGACGAACACATCCCAAAATGGGTCGCCCACCGTGCTCTCGGCAGGATGTTCGCCCTCTTTGGAAGACCAGGTCATCGACCCTCGGGTTGAGTACTTACACAGACACGATGGCGGGGTTCTGTAAACACGGTGGCTGTAACGGACATCGTGGGCTGGATGGTGGTCCAAGGCGGAGATTGAGCCCGGATTGAAGCACCGGTTGGTGCCGCAGCCCTCCCAAGCCAAACTCATGGATATGAGCGGACTTGGAGTGGCTCTTGCTCACATGCTGTAACGGAAATGTCTTCGAGAAACCCTGCTGCGTTGGCAGATCAGGACGGGGTAACACTGCCTGGGCCACTCATTGCGGCCAGTCTAGGGTTCCCGGCGCCATCCGTTGCCTTGCATATGCGAATTTGGATGAAGATTCGCTTGTGAATATCGGAGCTATCAAAGTCCTTCTCTCTGTGTCTGTCGGTGGATCTGCTCGCTCGGAGTCCATGGGGCACTGTCCCTTTTGGATCCTCATCCAAGAGGCTAGGGCGAAAGGCAAAGCTCGGCGGCGTCTTTCAACGATGGCACTTTCTCGACGAAAAGATGGCCCGTGTCGCAAGACAGACCGGACCGCCAGGAGAAATCGGCCAAACCTTTGTCAAGGTCGAATGCTGGGTTCTGTTGGACGCGCTGGGGTTTTCATAGTCGTGGAGAATAGGACCAGATGAACCGAGAGATGCCTCACTAGTAGGCGGCCCGGCAAGGAACCCTGTGGACGCAGGAGTCCAGAACAAGAAGATGGAAAGAAGGGGCGCTGTGGATGCCGTCTTAGGGCCCACCGGAAACGTGCCGGGCTCTCTGCAATATGTGATCCACTCCGCCGAGACGGGAAGGGAGGCGTTCGAAGAGAGGGAAGAAGAAAGAAAGAAAGAAAGCAAAGGCCCTCCCCTCGCCACTTACACGGGTAGGCACAGGGGGGAACAGCTTGAAAAGGAAGGAAGGAATGGATGGAGGACCAAAAAAGACAGACGGAAACAACGACGATGAGTGATAGGGCAGAGGGGGTGTCTGCCCAGTGTAAGTCAAGTTGGATATAATAAGACAAGGAGGTAATGCAGCGACGAGCAGGCAATGCATCTTAGATAACCACTAGAAAAACGAAACACAATTAATGGCCTTCCACAAACACCAAGGATGCCGAGTTTATTGCTTCGCCACGTCAGAACTCGTACATTTCTTGGCTAGATGCCTGTTCTCGCTCGTATGAACGGACGTTGCCTGGAGGGGCGAAGCCGAGGTCTCGTGGGGAGGGGAGCCTGTATCGCACCTGCCATTCTGAAAGGGAAGAGCCGCAGCGGGAGAAGCTCGGAGGAGCTTTTGACTACCTATTGACTTTGTCAGTGTCAGCCTGGCGAGGAAAGAAGGGACACGGCGTGGAAGGGAGGAGAAGACGCCAGACAGACAACGCCTTCCCGTCTGGTGGCCGGCCGATGACACTAGACTTGCTGCTGCTGCTGCTGCTGCTGCTGCTGCCTTACACTGCATTCGTCCGGCTGCTACCTCGTCTTGCACAAACCTCACCCTTACGCAACATATGACGACGCTGATTGCGAGACCATTCGCAGAAGAACCCAGCCACATTACCAACAGGGACTAGGCTGTCCAACGTACCTACAGCCGGTGTGTACCCGACCGTGTCCGGACCCTCGGTGCCGCCTTCAGAAAAGAACCCCTCCGTCTCTCCGCTCCTCTGAAGTCCGATCCGTCCCGATCCGCCTCCGCACCCGTGCAAACCCTTCGAGACCCACGAAACCGGTGACGGATGCCCCGGGAGGATCGCAATCCCCAAGTATCCTGCCCTGATGCCACCTGACTCGAGCGCAGCTGGCCAGTCCAATACCCTGCCCCCAACACCCGACGATCCTCCTATTGAGGGCGGTGGGCCACAGCTACAGACGTCATCGTGCGCGCAGGCCATACCGGGAGAAGCAGATTGACGCATCATCAGCTTTTGCCCGTCCGATGGGAACGCTGCTGTACCAAGACTTCCCAAAGCGTTGGCGTTGAATCGCGGCATTGGCAGACGGCCCTAGAGCCACTCAGGCGGAACGCACCAATAGGTCGCACCACTGGGCCATCGTGCGCGCATGTAGCCAATCGACGCCATCCCTGGCGAACGTGAAGCGGAACGGGAATGGGGAAGGGGGATCTGAGTGGCGCCCGGGGACGACTCAGATTGAACATCTCAGCGCGCAGCTGGTTTGGGACCGACTGTTTGGCTGAAGCAGTTTGAGCGTACCTACTCTGTCACCCCTCGTGTACCATCTCAAAGTACAAGTCGTCCTGTTCCCCTGGCCGAGTAGGTGACTTGACCGTTTTGTCTGATACTCGATACGGGGGACGTCACCGTTGCACGAATCGAATACGTCGCGTCGCTGGCATCCACCAACTAGTAGACCGGCAAATGTGCACCCAACCAGAGATCAGAAAGATCGCTACCAGATACCATGGATTGATGCTGCATACTATCCACTCTCCCGGCGTCTACGGAAATTGACCTCTAGTCCCGAAATCAGTCTTCTGATCCTGCAGCGATCTGACTCTTCTTCAACCCTCATTTGCGCCGTTCAAAGCATAACAAAACAGAACAGGGGGAGCATTGACAGCAAACAACGGCGACTGCTGGGCAAATGACTCGGGGGCGACTAACGCTGCAGGTCACGCGGACCCGAGGCTTTCCACGCGACCCAAGTATCGTCGGCAGTCGAACACCAGCACACGCATGTCATGCAGTATTAGTCTCCCAAGTCCGAGAAACAATGGACAGAATTGACCGACAGTCTCACAATCTTGTGCCACCGATTCACTTCTGAATTGCACCACAACACTGCCAGCATGAACTGACATACCGGCACCACGAGGCTACTAGTTGATGGTGCCTCGAAGGGGCACCGGCTAGGCTAAGCGCGCATTATAGTGTGGACCGGATTCTTTGCAGCATGCATGTTTGGTGCGATACTGGCAGCAACGGCGATGACGACGTTATCGTTTAAGCAGAAAGCTGTGCGGAAAATTGTTTGACCCGTTGGCTAAACTCAATTCGATACGCATGCGAAAACCCATCGGCCATTAGTGTCTCTACTGGGGACGGGGAAGGACAAACAATCAAGAGGTGAAAGCATTGGGGACTGTCGTTGACATCTCATTTCGAATGACCAATGACCGGATGCATGCACACAGCATGGCAATGTCAGACGCCGGTAGCTGCAGGCGCATACCCCATATATGGACACAGCAAGCAACCCAAGGGTGCAACCAAACGGAGGTACTGGCACAGTGTGCTCTTGCTGCATCCCTTTACTTGTTCGCGAAACGGTCTCGTCGTCTCAAGCGACACCAGAGGCTGAACGTCAAGACCAACACGAACCAGGCCCGCCACGCAAAGGGCAGGACGGGACGAAGACAGGGAACGACGACCCAGGCTCAACCAGTCAGCCGGTGTAACATGGCCACAATGGAGAATCAAAGAACGGGACTCTGGATCCATGACACAGCCGGACGGTGGGAACCTGCCGTATCCATGCGTCCCAAAGCGGCCTAAGGGGAGCAGTTCTGGTCGAGGCCAATTTTAACTCATCCGTTCCGATCTCCAACTTGGACGGCCAGTTGCCCTATGAGGTTCTCGATGCCCTGGGCCATGCATGAGCTGGACAGCCACACAAGCCAAGAAACAGAGGGCCCCCTTCCTCATTGCCCGTCCACATGGATGACTACGGTGCCTGTCACGGGCTGTAGCCCGCGGCTTCCCACCTGGCAGGGAGGGGAATGCACTGTAACGTAATATCCGAGGAGTACTCTGTACACCACCTGCAAGGAGGGGGCTTGACTGACATGAAATTTGAGAAGTTCAGCAGCAGTTGGGTCTGCACCTTGTCGAACCAAAGAACTAGACGTGTCACAGGATCTGGCTTGGTTTCTAGGTTATTTGCGGAGTTGCCAAAATTTTATTTTTATTGTATTCTGGTTCCCCTCAGTTCACAGCCAGTCGCTGCTGCTCGATAGGGAAACGTCCGAATTGACCCGGCATCACCAGGGTCGAGAGGCCGTCTTTTCAGCCTTCAGTGGGCTTCCAAATCCATTCTTCAGTTCTTGTGCTCTTTGTCTAGTCTCGAGGCTGTGACGTGGACGCTTGGCAAAGGGGCACCTGGACCGGCTTCGCCCGGCGACTACCGCCTTAGCATTGCAGTCGTTGCGACCTGTTGTGTCGAAATGGCACTGGCTGGCATACTCAAGGGTAATGACTGCATGCCTATAGAAAAGGGATGCAGAATGCCGTGTTGCCGTCCGTCAGAGGCCCTTCTGGACACGGCCATGGGGCCCAAACGAGTCAATCTAGGCCCTTGGACAGCCGCTCGACCCATTTACGCGAGTGTATTGCCTATTGTCACCCGTCACCCGGGCGCTCTGGCACCAGCCATTCCGCCTCTGGTCAAGACAACGAACCACGAGGTGCCCGAAACACAAGGTTGGCGGAAATGAGGGTGCCGTGTAGGCGAGCAGCGGCGGACCCGTGAGCCGACGACTGTTTGGTCGTTTTTGGGGGGCAACAGACCAGACGAACGTTTGGGCCTCAGGAAAGAGGAAGAGGGCTGTTAAAAAAGGCGAGCCCAGTTCGTCGCCTATCGTACCTTGGTCGCAAAACCGAATCATCTCCTGCCCGGGTAATTGTGGAACCGTCCTCGTTCTTTGTTCCCTCCCTCCCGCCTCAGCTGCAGGAGCAAGATAAGGTACGTACAGTATCTAAAGTGGAAGCTACCAAAGCTCCATTCATGGGAGTGTCCATGCCTAATCTTGCAGGGAAAAAAGCAAAAAAAAAAAGAAAGAAAAAAGCGAAATGAGCAGACGCAACGGAACAGGAGGGGTTCTGTAGAAAATCAATAAAAGTCACGAGTGTGATGAATGAGTGAGTACGTGAGTGGGCTGGTAGGATCCGCAGTGCCATTCATTCCATCTGATCCGTGACAGCCCGGCCCATACTGGGCAGACCGGAGACGGAGGGGCCAGCAATGGACCCAATGGAGCCAATGCCAATGGACTCCCAAAGACACAAAGTCGAGAGGAGGGAAGCTGCAACGGACGTTCTCCCGACAAGACTGGCGGCGTACGTAGCGAAAGGAGATATTCTGCAGGCGCGCACGCTGCACGCAGATAATGCAGGAAGGGTCTCGTATAGGAAGTGAAGGGTTGGCGACGTAAAGGGGAGGACGGCATGGTACGCCATGTTTTCGTCACTCTTCCCTTTTGGATTCTCTCCTCGATAGGTAGACGACGATGCCCGACCTACCGTGTGAAAATGGAGGAGCCGAGCCCGGCCCAGCCTAGTGTGGTCAAGTCAAAGTTAAGTGCGCGCGCCCTTGGTCGTCCAGGCCTTGAGTGAACGGCTGGCTTACTAAGACGGAGCATCCCCACCAGGTGGTGTAGGGGGGACTGTTGTACCTGCTGGCAGACCAATGAAACGGCCTCATGCTCCGTTGACCGCCGCACTAATACACTTCCAGCTCCGTTTCGAACGTCCGGCACTGCCATTCTTCCTTCGCACCGTCCTGGTGATCAGTGCCTGCTCCCTGGCACCGCGCCGCACATCGGGTTTTCGCCCGTTTCTCCCTGTCACTGACTGGCATTGGCCCCTCTCCTGTTCTCGATCACTTGCGTCTGCACCGCAACTCCCACCACCTTTCCCCCCCTTCCTCTGTTGTTCCCTTTGACCCTTTCCCCCTATACTTTCCCGCCAGATACGACAGGCACAGGCGCGGCACAGGCACGGCACGGCATAACTGGCACCTAGCATTGGCATAGGCTTTGCGCGTTGCGCCTCTGACCTGCCTGACGCTTGACACTCTCGATTCTCTCCTCCTTCTTTCTTGTCCTCCCTCCTTGCTGCTGCCCGTGTTACTTGCTCCTGTCACTGCCGCCGTTTTTTGCTGGTGCACTTCGCTCAGCATACCTAGCCCAACCGAGCCCTCCCCCATGTTCTTGTCATAGCCCCTCTCCCGCATCTTTCCCTCCCTTTCCCTGGCCACTTCCGTGGTCTCTCACTCACTCGCGCGCTCGCTCCCGCTCCTTTATTTCCTTCGCCAGCCCATCCTGGCCTGCACCCAAACCCCCAAGACTTCCCTTTCTTCCTCTGCTTCTCCCTCGCCCATTCTCTTGCGCAGCGAGGGGGTTGAGTCAATCCGCCCAAGAGAGAAAAGTTTATTCAACCGCCAAGGTTCCAATTGCATTTCCAACTGCATTGGAGAGACCTGCACTTAGGGTGAGTTCGTCTTGATTACCCGCCTACTTTGCTTCTCGAACCCCCACGGCCGTATGCCTCTATCTACGCGCTCCATATCTCTCCCAAACGGCCAAGAAAAGAAACGCAGAGGGGAATAAGAACGTTGGGACTGACAGTGTGTGGGCGCCGTGTGTAGTCATCTCCCCCCCATCCCACGCCTACGAATCGCAGACGGCCGCCACCCTCCTCCTCCCATTGATAACCTCGCGCTCCATCCATACCCGCGACCCTCTACGACACGCACGACGGTCGTCCGTACCCACCTCGTCCAGCCGTTGCATATAATCATGTCAAACGGTCCACCTCAGTCCATGCCTTTACACACCCAACACCAGAACAAGGTTGATGGGAGCTCCGACCCCGTCGCCTCAGATACAAACGTCCATAATGCTGCAGCAGACTTCAACGACATCTCCTTCCCTTACGTTTCAAACCCTCAGATCCAGTTCCAAGCACACACAATAGCGCCCTCGCCGCCATTGTCCGAATCTTCCTTTCAGCAACTTGAACCTCCTCCAGGTCAAAGACCCGGCCCGAGTCCGCTTGCGAGCAACTCTCTTCGAATCCAGACCTCCGACTTCCACCCTAACCTACCGACACGTCCCGACAATCACTCGAACGCCACCTTCTCTACCCCACGTCGCCCGAGTACCGGCCTCCACCACCAGACATCATCGTCGAGTCTGAAGCCCATATCTCGAACCCCGAGTTTCAAGGCCGCCATCGCCAACAGCCTTGGGCCCGCCTCGGCGACGAGCTCGTGCATGCCCAGCCCGATCCTGTCGGCTATGAGCGACGTCACCCCGCTGCCTTCGCCCTTGTTATCAGGAGACTCGCCCGGTCCGTGGAAGCGTCTAGGTGTGCGACCGCCATCGAGGGATCAGATGCCCAACCCAACGCCAGACTCCGTGCTGGTCTCAGCGACCGGCGAATCAATAGCAGCAGCCCTGGCCAACGCCTCGAAACGCAAAGTGTACGCCGGCCTGGTGGCAGAAGGCGCCGACGGCGCCGGCGCAAAGGGACCGGCGAACGGCAAAGCAGAACACGCGCGAAACCGAAGCATCAGCGAATACAACCCCGAACCGACTTACGTTCCCAAGCGGCACATCACAGTGTCGGGGTCACATACCAAGCCGGCGAATGGCCCCGATTCCGGCAATGAACCCCACATGCGCCGGGAGCTGAATCTTGCTGAGTCCAGAGGATTGACACCTGCGATTGCCCAACCCCCAACACCGCCACCGAGCGAGTCCTCCAGAGACTCGACCGACACAGTCGCTAGCAAGCCGAAGCCCGCCGATTCGGAATACTTTGAAGCCTACGACCGCCACGATCGGAAGAAGAGGAGATGGAGGGCGGTCAAGACGCTAGGCCAGGGAACCTTCAGCCGAGTCATGCTGGCAACCAGCCTGATGGAGGAGGATGATGACTCGGGACAGGCGGACGGCCTGACGCCGATCTCACAGATGTCGGAGCCGTTCAGAAAGACCCTCGTTGCAGTAAAGGTTTGCGAGCATGGTCCACGAGGAGGAGCGAGCGAAGAGAGAATCGAAATGTCTCTCAAACGCGAGCTCGAAATCATGCAGAGCATCAGCCACCCCTCGCTGGTTCATCTGAAGGCGTGGAACATTGAGCCGAGCCGTGCCATCCTGGTCCTCAGCCACTGTCCGGGTGGCGACCTCTTCGACGTGGCCACCGGCCATCGCCAGCTCCTCAGACCCGCCCTACTGAGACGAATGTTTGCTGAGCTGGTGGGCGCTGTGAGGTACCTGCATGAACGCAGGATCGTCCATAGGGACATCAAACTCGAGAGTAGGTAATCGTGGCCTCGGCTCATGTAACTTTTCTGACAATTCCAGATGTGCTTGTCAACTTGACGGCACCCGAGTTAGCGGATCCCGCGACTGACTGGACCACCTACCCGCACTCGGTCATCACGCTGACCGATCTCGGCCTGTCTCGCCGCATTGCCGACGACGAAAAGCTCGAAACCAGATGCGGCTCCGAGGATTACGCTGCGCCGGAGGTCATCATGGGCTTGCCCTACGACGGACGTGCGACTGACGCATGGTCTTTGGGTGTCTTGCTCTATGCCCTACTCGAGGCTCGTCTGCCGTTTGACCCTTACCCCAACACGATGGACGGCCACCGCATGCGCAGTCGTACTAGCCACCGTATCGCGCGCGCGGAATGGCGCTGGATTGAATTTGCCGGAGATGACGGCGACCACGAAGGCAACGAAGCCAAGTTCAAGGAGCAAGGCCTGCTCGGCGCCATGGAAATCACCGAAGGTCTCCTGCAGCGCGCCAGGAGTCGGTGGACTCTAGAGAAGGTGGCCGAGCATGAATGGGTCAAAGGAGCGATCCAAGTCGAGGGTGGTCTGCGTTTCCGCGAAGAGGTGGAAGGCGCAGAGGTATAATGACATTGGAGACATTCACTCCTTGATACCCCCTGGGCAATGACGGGAACAGGTCAGGTTTTGGTATGGTAAGGGACGGATTGTACGAGTAGGCGGAACGGACGGTAGACGGCAATAAGTGACGACAAGCCGGCATTTACACCACCTGCTCTTTCGTTGGTGGGCAATGCTCTTCTTTTTCTTTTTCTTTTTAACCATGTTCACGGCGAGGCTTTAATGCTCGCGAGTAGGGTCCAGAGCCTTCGTTTCAGGTGCCTTGGGGGACGCCATTATTTCCTCCCTCCTCTTTCTACTACCTTTCTAGACTCAAGTCCACGGCCCAGAAAAAAATTATTAGAGTTGGAAGAACTATGTTTGGGGGCTAGCGACGGTGTTTACACATATTATATCAGGCGGAGACAATTCTTGTTTAGTACACAGCTATCAGACCTAGTCGTGGTGTTTCCAACGGTCATTCTTCTCCACCACGAGGGCATGAAGCTACAGCTATGATGGCCGAAAAGACAATTTTTGCGAGACATTAAATTACCAAACACCATTTCGATTTGGAAGACAAAGCCCGGGCTAGGCTGGGCTATGGCCATTTGCGTGCATTCATGTGTTTTGTTTTGCAGTGATTCCTCGTGGCGTCGTTGGCTTGGCCTGCCGGTGATTCCAGACGGGACGGGACCCGCGTTTTGACGACGAACGGAGAACGGTTGATGGTTGGACGGGTGGTGTCGTCAGCAGAGAGGGTTTCCAACTAAATGAGCCGGATGGGGAGAGGTGGAGAGAGGTACAGCCGTAGCTTTGGGGGGGGGGGAGGAAGATGATGCATCTGGAACGGCTGGCCGCCCTTCGAAGCCGTTTGTGACGCACGTGGGTGTTGGCCAGTCGGGGTTTGTCGTCGCTTTGGGGCTTCGGTCTCTTTGTGCCTGTTCTTTCATTGATTGGGGGGCGGTGGGCTATGGAGGTGCTTTGTGGTGTGGTTGCGTGGGCGACGGGGTCGGGGATCTCCGGGTGGCGGGGAGTCTCTCGAAGGGAAGGGGGGGAGGGATTCCAACACTACGGAAAACGTGGTCAACCGTTTCTTGGCTACAGCGGCGCGGGACCGGGGCGAGGCAAGGCTGGGCTTTGTGTGGTTTTGGGAGGTGGGAGGTTTGTGTGAGGCGACGTGGTTTGGCGGACGGGCGGCGGGGGTTCGGCGCGGAGAGGTCGGGATGCGTGGGCGGGCCGGGTGTTGTCATAGGGGTCGGGGTCCGGGAGAGCGTTGTGGAGAACTTTGCCGGTGGGATGGGCCGATGGGATTGGCAGACTTGGAGTTCTTGCCGCGCGCTGTCGGGCACTCTTGGGATTGAGTTATTTCAGGATGGGTACTTCTGCAATGGTGTAAGCCGCGTTTTGGGCTTTTCCGAGATCCTCACACAAGGGAAACATGTCGGCTCGCGCTGCGGTCTCTCGTATTCATGCAGACCCTGTCAGCCCCGAGGATGCTCTTGGACGCGGAGTGTGCCAGGCCGCCGCATATCTGTAGACAACGTCCTCCCTTTTTCGCGTCTATTAAAAGACCATCCACGTGTTTTCAAAGTAATGGAAAACACCCACTAGGCCTTGTCAGCGATTGCGTTCGTATCTGGGTTGAGCATCGCCCCCGGTGCATGCCCACTATAGAGTTAATACGACGTCGAGGGAGCTGAGCCTGCAGTTACTGGAGGTTGTTTCACATCATTTTCTCGTGTCTTTGATGACTGCTGCTTTCGTTTATCCGTCACTTGCTGTGTATTCTGGGTGGAATACGCGATGGGTAAAGAAGGGCCAGTACGTGAGCGTTGTGTCACAACTACTTGGCCTCAACGTCTGACAGAATTCCCAGCCGGGTTGGGAATAAGTGTTTTGAACCCTTTGAAACACAGGTCTTGTGTTATGTGGGCGGTAGTGGTATATTCCAACATGTGGGAGGGTAAGATGGCCTGGAGAGGAAATGCGATATGGCCAATACTGGGAGACCCACGTAGTATCCAGGCTTTGATGATGTCCGGCGGTATGACACTAAGTGCTTTTTTCGCAGGCATGAGAGTGGTTAATCTAGTGTCATTTGAGTTGGACAGAAGTGCATCGCATTCTACCCAGTGGTGCATCTAAACTCTTTATCAATGGATCGAGCCGATTTCTGTCGGAGGGAATCCACGTTGTCAAATCTCGAGGGACGGCTTGGGACCAATAATAACTGAGGTTCTGTTATACAGTAAGGTGGGTTGTCATCTAGGCTAGTCTTTTGTATATTCCCCGTAAACAATCAAACACGAATGAGTGCATAGTATCCGGGGCCGGGAGAAAGCCGTATGATACCAATGCAGTCCAGGTGGGTTTCTACCGTTTTCTTCCAACCCGTCCTTGCCCACCTGTTTCCTGGAGATGTATTGAATAGAATACGCCATCTTTCTTAACCATAAGGCACTGATGCGTGTAAAGTTCACGACAATCTGCCTATACCCTGTGACCTTGCTTCGCAAATAGGCCTTTTACACTAAGTGGCCATGGGTTGGCGGTATTAATCCGGAAGCCTCGATCTACCTTCGTAAACGGTTGATATGGGTGGGAGCAGCTCAACCTCGAGACTTGTACCGTCGAGTCACGCCGTGAATCGCAATCTCCCACAGCAGGGTTAGAATACGACATCGTGCCCCGGCCAAAGGGCATCGTACGCCGCCCCGTCGTCTAGACTCATGGACCCGCCCATGGCCGCCAGATTTCCCGGGTCCGAGAAGTGCATCTCAGCCGGGCCGATGAACTGCCCCAGGTCATCCAGATCTCGCCACGAGAAGCCCCTGCAGAGCAGGTCCGACTGGGGCGGGAAAGTAGCCAAGTTCGGATGTCCCTGCCCGTTTCCCATGCCCCCGTACCCGTGCTGCTCCGCATGCGCACCGACGCTGAAGCCTGCCGGGGGGTTCGTCTCATTTGGCATGCCCGAGGCCGGGACGGTTGCAGACCCGTTTGCTGAAGGCGGAGCGAACACCGGCCCTACCCCACCAGGGTCGTCGGCCTCACAACCGTGTGAACCCCGGGCGGCGGGAGCGAGTTGAGAGGGGGGTGGTTGTTGATAAGTATGCTCTTGCGGCTTGCTGCGCCAAAGAAGGGAGAGCAGGCGGGCGTAGCGCTGTCCCAGGCTGTGGGCGCTCAGAGATGACTGCTGGAGGCACTCGATGGTGACGTTTATGGAGCGGCGCACACTGTCGGATGCTTCGCTGCCCAGTGCGCCAGCGAGCCGAGCCTGTAGTCTCTGGTTAGCAATTGCAATTTTGCCAGAGGTGCCGAAAGCAGCCCTGAGATCGCTGTCTGACCTTGAACAGAAACACCGCCGCATAAATGACATAGAGATAGTACTTCAAGGGCATGTACCTCAGCCCAGTCGCAGGGTCCACGGAGGTGTTCAGGATGTTCAGTAGGGAGTTGGCGGCATCCATGGACTCGTAGATGAAGCGGGCATCTGGCGTGCTGGCCAGATCCGCGAAGAGAGGGCTGTTGATTGTTGTGGTCTGTCTCGCTTGTCCCCGAGGACCTGGCGCTCCGTTTCCGTTGTGATGTTGCTGTTGCTGCTGATTCTGCTGAATCTGCTGCTGTTGTTGCTGGCGTGCCTTGGTGATGGCGCGGTTGATGGTCGCTTGGAAGGCGAAGGCGTTGATGTAGAGGCGGAGAAACTCGTAGGAGAGATTCAGGCCGGCTTTGATCAGTGGCGTAACTGGGAGAAACGGATGGTCAGTAGCTGTCAGAACCATTCAACTGAACGGATTGAGAGACTGACAGTTGAGACTTCCCCAGACAATCTTCCATTTTCGGAGAACTGCAAATGAGTCGTCCTATCTCTCTGTCAGCGGGCCTAATACAACGCGGTGGAGCACAAGACTATCTGACTTACGATGTATCTCACATACTCCCCACCTAGGTAGAGCTGAGCCCTGTGACTGGACGAAGAATAGAGGATATCATGCGCATTGCTGAAGAGCTGGATCAGCTCGAGCTGTGCCTGGAACAGCTGCCCGAGATTGTCAGACCCGGCCTCCTGGATTCTCAACGATGGGAAGTCGGCGGAGCGGGGAATGGTGGATGGCCCTGGTCCGCGGGACCAGAAGCCTTTTCCCACGCGAATTGACACTTCACGATCGCTCATGTAACATGCTGATCCGAAAGAAAGCTGTCAGTGGGAGCTCGTTCGAGAGCGGGGAGGCAAGCACAAAGCATCTTACCAGCCCAGACTATCCTCTTCCTCCTGAAGGTTTCGGACGAGGGGCTTGTCTTATCCGACAACAACCCCGTCTGTTCCAGGCTCTGTAGGTATCCTAATCGAATGGCCACACCGATCTGCATCCACGCGCCTTCGTCCTCTTCGCCCCTGCCCACCGTTGGTTTCTCTTGCAGCCTCTGCGGTGCCCATTGTGCGAGTATCAACAGCGCTTCGACAGCGCCGACAGTGGTCGAGCCCTTGTAGATCAGCTTCGAGATCAACGTCTCCATGTATCGTGAGCAAGCCTCGTGAACGCGAGACAAGGAGGGCTCATCTTTGGAGGCTACTGTGAAGATTGCGGTGAGGAGGTGGGGTTCTGATTCTATCAGGTGGGAGATTGTGGCGGGCGTATTGGTGAGGATGCATTTGTCTGCTACTGGGAAGAAGGGATGGAAGTGTTCGATGTACCTGATTGCAAAGTTAGTCAAGAAACTGGGCGAGAGGGTGCTGGGTTTTCGGGGGCTCACGATGCAAGCAAGCGTGATGCTACTGAGACACTCAGTATCCCCTCCGATATGGGAGGATAGTGAGTAGCCGCAGGTGTGGAAGGCTTTCGCGACCCTCGCCTGGGGCTGCGTTTGTCATTGCCTCCAGATTTGATGCTGGGCAGATCTTGGATTCCCTCCTGAGAATCCTCGCCGTCGAGGTCCGCAACCTGGGCTAGGAGGTTAAGAGCATCGGACGGGTTAAGAAGGTCGCTAGAAGTGATGTGGCCTTCTATATCACCGGAACTCTTTAGAGACCGCGTCGATTGGCCGCCGGGGCTGCTCGGCTGAGAGGCGGATCCGGGCCAACTCGCCGGCCGGCCAGACGGACCGTCCTCTGGCGAGCACGACCACGGTTGCTCGGCGCGGCCCCGAGGCTCCGGGCTTGTGGAGTGTTGTTGCTGCTCTTCGTGGCTGATTGCCGAAGAGCTGGCGCCGTTAATCCCGGCTACTGAGTCATATGGTCCTGCAGGAGCATCGTGACGCTGGCGCAAGACGTCACTATCTGCCTGGGGAAGCCGGACGAACTTCCGGGGTCGTCTCCCACCCCGCCTTGAAGTTGCCAGGACACATTCCTTCTGCTCTCGGACACACCGACGGCAAGGTGGTATACCCGGGTTCCCCCCATAGTCACTACACTAAGAGTCAGCATACGTACAGTCAATCAGCGAGCTTTGATTGCGTCCCCATAAGTGATCGTCCAACCAAGCACTCTCCGCATTACCCCCACAGTGGGACACGGTTAGGTACTCAAGCAAGGGTTGCAGTGGACATGCTCACAGGTCACATCTCGTCTTCCTGAGCCGGCAGGAAATGCAAGCCCGCGATACCCGCCTCTCCTTGCCAGTTGCCGTCACCGAGTGAGGTACTCGGTGGTGCGGGGGGCTGGCCATCGTTGATGAAGCCCGGCGGTGGGCGGGATCCACTGACATTTGGATCGTCTCAAGCTTTGCGTGTTCGCCCACCGGGTCAGCGGCACTGTTGGTGATGTTTGAGTTGTGTGGAGTACTGCCAACTCTTGAGCGCGAAAGCCCGAGTACGGAGAGATGAAGAGAGCATCGGCAATTCACTTGTAACTAGATGGGGCGGCAATGTTGTCTTCTCGGCGGTAATTGGGGTTTTAATGGCTTCCTTGGCCGGTGCTATTGTCGGGCGCCAGATGGTGCATGACGCACGTGTTGGAGGTGAAGGTTTACCGACTCCCTGCATGCAACCCCAAAAGGACCTTCTAGAGTCGCAGATTCTACCGATTATGAGTGACTTTGTCTGCGTCCCCTAAATCGGTGTTTTAGTAGGGAGTATGTCCCATGCTCCAAACTCTACGAGGTTTATGTGGTCAGTTCTGGCCAATCGCCTGCAAATGCGATTGCGTGTCTTCGTCGAAGGGCAGAAGAAACGAATTGGTTTTTTTTTTCATGGTACTGCCATGCTGATGGCGTCCAATGGATTGGGTAGGGCTATGAAGGTTTATCTCAACAAAAAAAAAAGAGCAAAAAAGAACACATTGCTCATTTCAAGCCGCCAGCGAGGACAAGCTCCTGACCAGTAAGGTAGCCTGTCTTGACGAACCTGGATGCAGCCATCATCGTCAGCACATCGCAATCTCACACAAATCTTTTTATGCCGCCGGCGACTTACATTGTAACCACATTGGACACTTCTTCGGGGGCCCCGAGTCGGTGGACCGGGACGCTTGCGGCAATGGCCAGCCCGGGATCCGTGGCCCTAAGGGCCTCGAGATCGTCTTTGCTATCCCATGTACTGTGTTGCGGCATTAGTCGGCGACTTGCGTTTTCTGGGCGGAAATCTCACGTTGACTTTGGAGTTGCAATCATGCCAGTTGCCCCGATCATTGCAGGCAGAACCTAGAGTTGTCAAATCCAGTCAGTGGTTGCCTTCTAAAAGACTGTGTGTTGGGAAGTTTTGGGAAGTTGAAACTTACAATGTTGACGGTAACACCCTCCGGCGCCAAGAGCGTAGCCAAGTTGAGCCCCATTGAGCTGCGTTTAGAGTTAGCTTGTTTCTCATGACATGCATTACCTAGGGTCTAGGAAGAAACAGGAGAGTCGGGGAAATGGATCACACCAACTCACCAAAGTGCGCCCTTGGTAGCAGCGTAGTGACAGCCATTGATGCCGCCACCACGGCTTGCAATACTCCCAACCAGCACTACTCGTCCCCACTCCTGAGCTCGCATGCCGGGAAGACAAGCTTTGGTGACGACAAATTGGCTGCGCGAGTTGACCTCCATCATCTCGTCCCAGTCATCTTCGCCAATGTCCGCCGGATCACGGATGCGACGACCAAGGCCCGCATTGGCCACGAGAATCGAAATGGCCTTGTGCTTCTGCGAGATCACACTGTTTGCGAATATGCTGGGTACCAAGTTGCGAGTTGATTCTCTGGACGATAGGTCGGCTTGGAACGGGAGGAAGAGTTGTGAGGGGTACTTGGACCGCAACTCTTGGGCGAGAGCTTCGGCTTTGCTCTAGTCACAGCATCGGTATTAGTTCCGCGGCTGAGACGACCCCATGGGCGGGTGATGTCGTACCTGGCTCGATGAATAGTGCAACGCGACATCACAGCCCTCTGCAGCAAGAGCGTGTGCAACCGACGACCCAATGCCACCACTGAGCAATCATAGCATTCCTGTTTAGTGAGGGTCCAATGGCAGTCTCTTTAGCATGCTACTTACCTTGCCCCTGTTACCAGAGCTAGGCGGCCCTGGGTGCTGTTGTCTGTGCTCCTAATGCTGTACTGGACCATTGTGAGTACGCTTGTGTAACACTAGACAGTTACTTGTGGCCGAATTAAGCACGGTCTTCCCGATCGAAATAAGTGAACTGGTGTTGGACTGGGGTGTCTGGCCTAAAGCCAGAAAGCTTGTTTCTGTTCCTTCGATGAACGTGCTCGTCAGGCCGATTGGAAGAGCGGGAATGAGGGGTTTGGAGAAGGGCGTGGATCGAAAGCCGAATGGATAGCCGAGAGTTCAATTGCCGCCGCTATCGGTGCCTAGTAAAATGGAGCATGAACCGAAGTGTGCTGCGCCGACACTTGCAACATTCGACACTGTTCATGGCAATGCGGCCTGCTCTTGTATTCCAGGCATTTATAACGGGCAGCTGAGCCTTGAAATCCATACCCGAGAGGCCCGCATCTCGGGGCGTAAGAAGTGGCACCGCGTTGAAGTCGGCAATCCAGTCCATGATGTATTTAGAGTTTGTCCACAAGATCAATAGCCGACGCATCTTTCAATCCCGAATGCAGAGAGCCAGCCACTGCTGCCAGGTGCGTCGGCTATTGATCGAACATGCCGTGTGTCAACATCGAGTCTGAACCGCCATCTGACGAACCAGTAACCTAGATTCAATTGCCGTGAGGCCGTTTCAATCCACTTCCATAGTGAAACCCCCCAACCCCGCAGATTCGCCTGACCCCGTGGGGAGGTCTGGGGAAATGGTCCTGTCAATGATGTCCAGTGAGCCTCACGAGCTGCTAGATCGTTGCACTAGGTAGTGCGGACTCTGTTATATACAACTGCTTAGACGTTCGGATGAAGGTGGTCCTTGACAACCGTGCTTGTCAAATCTTCGAAAAGCATACTCTTTGTATCTGCTCTTTGAGGCTTGACCTTCGGAATAACGCAACTTGTTCAGAGAACTTTTCACACAATGGGCGAACTTCGTGGCCAACGGCTCATCATGGCCGTCAGCATTCTGACCTCGTTAGGGTTTATGCTGATAGGCTACGATAATGGCCTCATGGGAGGATTAGGTATGTGTTGTCGATAGTAGCTGGCTCGGTCTTGCAGTTACGATGTTAATCTGATTCCTTAGTCACCGCACCGGCTTTCAACTCGACTTTCGATTCGCCGGATCCGACGATGACAGGCCTTATTGTCGCCATTTATGAAAGTAAGTTTGCAAAGAAAGCCACAATGGTATCCCATGACGCTGATCATTGAACATCACAGTTGGCTGCTTCTTTGGCTGTGTGGCAACGGCGATATTTGGCGAGAAGTACGGTCGCCGGAGAACCATCGGAGCTGGATGTTCTGTCATGGTTGTCGGAGCAATCATACAGGCTGCCTCATACGGACGAACGCAGCTGATTATCGGACGTATCGTCTCAGGCATTGGGATGGGTATTGTCAACTCAACTGTTCCGGTACTGCAGGCGGAATTCAGCCCCAAAGCCAGCCGTGGAATCTGTAAGTTTCCACCTCTCTCCTTGGCCTAGCAAGACTTTGGACCAAATGCCTCTTCAAGCCAGGTCACGAATGAATGGCTGTCTCTATTTGGATGGAAACAAGGCTAATCTCTACCAACTAGACGTTTGCGCGCAGCTTTCCACCTTGAACTTTGGCATCTTTTTGATTTACTGGATCGATTACGCCTTCTCGACACACGTTGAAAGCTACGCGTGGAGAGTACCAGTCATTCTGCAGTGTATTTGCCTTCTCCCGATGTTTGTAATCCTCCGAATGATACCGGAGACGCCGAGATGGCTGGCAGCCCATAACAGATCAGACGAGTGCCTTGCTGTTCTGCAGCGCCTGAAATCCGACGAGCAAGACGACGAAGCCATACAGGCACTCCACAACACCATCATGCAGACGGTATCGTACGAATCAGAAGTGAGCGCGAGTTCATGGAGGGATATCTTTGTGCAAGACCGAATCAAGAGCCAAAAGAGATTCCTCATCGCCTGTGCTATTCAGGGCTTTCAACAACTGGGAGGAATCAACGCCATCATCTGTGAGTTCAGCGCGGCCCGAAGTTCCGTTTCATATAAAGAATAGTGCTGACGTTCTGAATATCAGATTACAGCAGTACGCTTTTCGAAAAGAGTATCGGGTTTGACACCCATATGTCGAGTCTCATGTCCGGTTTCCTGCAGACATGGTTTTTTGTGGCTTCGTTCATCCCGTGGTTCCTGATAGATCGTGTGGGAAGAAGGCCTTTAGTATGTCACATATTCCGATTTTCCAGCTTTGGGTGTTCATCCGGGATTAACAACTCGTTTCTAGCTCTTGTCTATGATCACCGTTATGGCGGCTGTCATGGCAGTTCAAGCAGCTCTTATATACCAGGTCCAAAACGCGACCGCAATCGCAAAGGCTGCCGGGATTGGCGCTGCGGTAATGCTGTTTGTTTTCCAAGGAGCCTTCACCATCGGTTTCCAGGCGACCGTCTGGGTCTATCCGTAAGTCCTAGCGCATCACTTTGAATTGGTGTTTGACGATACTGATACTGACCTCGATAAAGGTCTGAAATCTTGCCTCTTCGAATCCGGCAAGTGGGCTCTTCCATTTCCAGCGCAACCAACTGGCTGTTTAACTATGTACGTACTGCAGATTTACAAAGACACATCAAAGCTAATTTCGGATAGATGATTGTACAAATCACGCCCATTTCAATCGCAAGCATTGGATGGAAAACTTACATCATTTTTGCGGTTTTGAATGCAACTTGGGTACCCATAATCTACCTTTTCTTCCCGGAAACCAAGGGCTTGGAGCTAGAGGATGTAGACCGTCTTTTCTCTGGCGAAGAGATATTCGACTCGCGCCACGAAAGGGATGAGAAGCAGGAAGTATGGGACATTGAAGATGTTAGAGCGTAGGAAGTGTGGATCAACTTGCCAGGTCGGGGTGAGAGGCAAGCGTTTTGGACGACAATGAGTGTTTAGAGTAGTCCATAGAGGCTACTTCGACTGAAATTGTAGTCTTTGGATTATTTGACAGGAGTAATACAGCTTCTCAACACGTCCCATTTTTGTGTACATAGGAGCGACGTTCTGCTGGTCCATAACGATTATGACTCCGCTAGCCTCCACCAACTCAGCGAGACTCAGCAGGCCCTCTACCCCAGCATATGCTTCCCTAACAGACGCATGTCACCTTCAAATTCAAACCCAACAATGTCCCATCCACGCTGATCTCGATTCCACCTCGTGACCATGCACGTGAAAAGACGTTTTGACTCTCGAGTCAGTTGCCGACATTAACACAGACCCACGGAAGCTATTCTGTGACAGGAACAGGTGCTTCGTGCCCCGCATCCGTGCGGAACCAAGACACAAAACGCCCATTCGCCACGATCTCATCCTCGACCGTTGCCATCGTGACTAGAGCAGCGACGCCAAGTGTTCGAGAACAACCTTCTCTGCGTAGGAAACGACCAAGAACTTCGAGAACCAGCTCACCATCGTCTCAACCTAGCTTTACCACAATGACTAATGCCTCCGCCTTCGTCGTGTACGACGACCGCGTGAAGAAGCTGTTCGGCCCCGCACCGAAGCTCGAGTTGCTGCATGAGAACCAGGACTACCCGTTTGCCCATGAGGCTGGTGTTTTCATAGAGCGCAACAATACGCTCTTCATCACGAGCAACCAATACACGGATCACAGTGCTGGTGGCAGGAAAATCCAGATATGTCGCGTCACCCTGCCGACTGATGGAAGCACGAAAACACAATGCGAGGAGATTCACCCCGCTATCATAACCATGGCCAATGGCGGCGTGAACTACCTTGACGGAATCGTCTTCTGCGCACAAGGCACAATGGACTCACCCGGCGGTCTCGTTTTCATGGAAGCGGTGCCTCCGTACCAGACGCGCATGATGATCAACTCATTTCACGGTCGAGAGTTCAACTCCGTCAATGACGTCGTCGGCCACAGCGATGGGTCGCTTTGGTTCACTGATCCAATCTACGGGTATGAACAAGGCATTCGACCTCGGCCGAAGCTGCCGAACCAAGTTTACAGGTACGACCCGATCCATGGCTCTATCAGAGCAATGGCGGACGGATTCGGAAGGCCGAACGGGATTTGCTTCAGCCCCGACGAAAAGACCTGCTACATCACAGATACCGATTGGATCCACGGCGACGGGTCTACTGATCTCACACGAGCGTCAACTATGTGAGTTCACTTTCCGTCTTTTCTCCAAAGCTTCACCTCTGCATCGAGGGAGGCATGCTGATTCTGAACAGTTATGCTTTTGACGTGGTCTCGTACTCCGGAGAGCCCTTTTTGACGAACAGAAGGCTCTTCAGCATGGCGGATACGGGTATTCCTGATGGCATCAAATGCGACGTGCATGGCAACGTATACAGTGGCTGTGGCGATGGCGTCAACATCTGGTCGCCCGGGGGTGTTTTGCTAGGAAAGATTCTCGTTCAGGGCGGTGCTGCCAATTTCTGTTTCGGACGCAATGGGAGATCTTCATTTTGAATGAGAACAGACTCTGGAGAGCCAAGTTGACTGATGAAACGAAAGGAGCATTGTTGTGTATCTAGGTCAATCATTTGTCTTGCCTCTATTCTTGGCGTGGCTGCTACCCGTTCCCTAGCCGCGAAACTAATGAGAATCGCCAAATTCACCTCCACGCAAAGACGTATACGCAAGAGCGTTCAACACTCGAGATAGTCTCAATTGCAGCAGTAACAAAAACTACTGTCGCCTAAGAAAGGTATCGATGTATAATCTGAGGCACTGTTGAAAATTTCAGTATTGGATGCTTCTGCCAGCTCGAGAGACGGTACAGTTGCTTGGGAGGCTGATAAGCTCCATGTTAAAACACAATGTATGGCAATGACTTTTTGCAACAACTCGACCGCAGTGATCTCGTCGTTCGATAAATTTCGATTCCAAAAAAATGAGAAAACTCGTAAAGCGTTAGTGCTCATGATCTCTTGAGAAGATAGCTCAGCCTGCGCCCTATGCCAATATAACCTTGATGCTTCAGGGAGCCCGATATACTGTTTATACGACTACGAGTAACGTCATTGTGCCAAGAAAACACCTTAAATCATGGATGTACGTGGTTGGTAATCTATAAACCATTGCTTGTTGTCTCTGTGACTGCTAACTACCTTGTCTAAACGTGCCTTATGCATATCAATCCTACTTCTGCTCTAGTAGCCACTGAACACCTTTAACCGTGTCTTCCACAAACTGCTTGCTCTTCTCGAGGCGTGGGAAGTTTGTCCAGAAGTAGTGTGGTAGGCCAGGATAAATGTCCAGCTTGGTCTTGACGCCCGCTTCTTCCCTCAACACGCGCTCGTAGATGAGACCCTCATCCCGTATGAGGTCTAGTCCTGCCACCTGAAAATAGGCAGGCGGCAAGCCCTTGTGGCCTTGCCCGATCCTCCCATAGTGGAAGGGAACAAAAAGTGGGCTCTCCATATCCGGCTTTAAGATAGTCTGTAGACCAGCGCCTCCGTCCTTGGCGTTAGGACCTGAGACCGGATCTTTAGAGGGTGTCACTGAAGGATGACTAAGGTATTCGGCACGGTATTCTTCAGGAATGGCTTCGGGAGGCAGGAGACACATGATGGCCGGCACGCAAAGGTACTGCCCGGTAAGTGGTGGGAGTAGCTGATTGTCGCGGGCGAGGTGAGCAAGAACGGCGGCAATGTTGCCACCAGCGGAACCACCGCCGATGATGAAGCCGCGGGAAGGGTCTGCGCCCAGGTTTGAGTAGTTTTCGGCAACCTGGAACAGATGTTGGGTCAGCCACGGACAACCATCAAGCGTATAATACTTACCCATTGCAGCGCGTCCCAGCAATCGTTGATGCCGGTGGGGAAGGCGAACTCAGGTGCAAGTCTTTCTTTTGTTAGCTTTGCCTACCCGGAAAGAGTTGACTAACCGATATTCGATATTGACGCAGACTGCCCCTAAGTCACGGCTGAATAGGCGACAGTTCACCTCCTCGTCTGAGAGATCGCCCGAGGACCATCCGCCTTCATGGTACATAACGATGAGTGGGCTTCCATCGGCTGGGGCCTTCACAGGAGTGTATATGCGGATGGTAAGTTCATGGCCATCTCTGGCGGTGATCTTTCGGTCCTCCTCCCGAACCTGGTCCGGGATGGGCCGCGGAAGGTAGCGCAGATGGTGAAATTCACGCAGGCGCGTGGCTCGATGCTCCCGCATTGCGAAAAAGTCATTTCGACCGTAGTAGGGATCGTTCGGTTGGGGGTCTCGTAAAGGGTTAGCTGCAAGCTCCTGTTTGGCGGGTCAATATCATGATGAGCGGTCTGACGAGCGGAGTAACCTTACAGCCTCAAAAAGCGGATCAGGCACCCCATATGCTAGGAGCTCTTCACGACTTCGCGGCGCCATTTCAAGTAACTCTCCGATTTTTCTTCGATTATTCACGAGGTAATGGGCTCTCTCGCTTCAAGCAATGCCTGGCATAGGGTAAGCGTGCGGGGTTGTAAGCTGACGGGGCGCCGTCTTGGACATGCGTGACGCTGGGACGCCAATTATAGCCATACTTCTGGATTATCTAAGCATATACCAGATCAATGTCTACAGATCATTTTACGTGAGATGGTGGCGAACACCAATAGTAGCGGTCGAATATTGTGATTTCGAGAGGCCAAAATCCAGACACTGGCGACCATGACACGCCTTGGTTGGTGAAAAAGGGGACGGAGATGGTAATCCGGTAGAGTACGAGGTGTCGTAATGCTGTCCAAATGTCGTGTCAATATTCGAGAGTCAATCGAAAGTATTCTCGCAACTCAGAGACGAACAAGTTGTTTGTTCCTTGATAGTTATTGTTCTAGCCCTGTAGGCGATCAAGTACACTTTGCCCACTGCAAAAGAAAGAACAAGGTATATCAACGTCAAAATGCTATGTTGTGCTCACTTCGAAGGACAGGAACCACTGAACTCGGTGGATGTTGTGATTGTCAGACCATCTAAACTCAGCTATTTAACCTACAGAGATGCCCAAGGCGGCTTAGATACTTATTAGCCTCTGTGTATTTGCAGTGGACTGCATAAGGTCCAATGGTAATTTGATGGGTGTGGCATCACGCAACTTACCAAAGTACAACGCATGAGGAAAAGAAACGTTCGGGCTTTCACCCAAGAAATGGACGAGTATTGACGTGACCTGAATTCTGGTGTGATTGACTGCGAATAAACCTCTAGGAAATAACATAAAATGACGCGGTACACCTACAGCACACATTGCATTGTTATCCGTTCATTGGTCTTAGATCGTGAATGACCATATGATCAATATATTCCACTCGCTGTATTTGAACTTCATGGAAATCTATCAGCCGTCTCTATAGATCCCAACTACTTTGGTGCCTCGAGCCAGTGCCTGCGCAGCATGAGTGTCGAAAGCGAAAACAAAACCCTTTGTCGTGTTTACACGACTACAGAGATATATATTCAAGTCATGGTATGTAAACACAACTATGTTATACTTAGACTTTCTTCGATTTCTGGAGCAACTAATCGGCGATAGCGTCAACCAATGTAAGCTCCCCTGACAACCTTGAATACTCGATATAACGGAGATACTGCCGAGAATAACACAATAAACCAAAGCGCTTCTTTTCATTCGCCCGTAGAGCGATTGGAAGGATTGAATTAGCTCTGTTATCAGAGTCTATCGAACACTCTGAGGCCAGTATACGTTGATCGCCCGTTACATTTCTATCTCTCGAGTATGGCCTCCTGTCCAGCCGTGGACGACAAAAAAATAGTCTTTCCGAGTTTTCAACGGTTTGAAGACTGTCCAGGCTAACAGATATCATATAATCTCTTGCCAATCCTCAACCAACAAGGTGTCAAGCGTCATAGCTGAGCGAAATTCACCGCCCCCGACTCTAGGGGAAGAAGATAATAAAGACGCGAAGCGAAATGAGGAAATCGATGAGAAATCCAATGGCAGGCGATTTGTTCTTGCCGTTGCCGGAGTAGGATCTCAATTCCAAAACTCCGACGGAACACGACTTAAAGAACAAACCATCGAGCATGGACGCCGGGAATAAACCTCGTGTCGTTCAACCCATTATCTATCTGCATCCGACTTTGACGAATCAACATGACACGTGGGAATCGGGATCAAAGTTAAACGGTTCACCGTTCCGGCGTTTACCTCTCGCCGTAGTGGATCTGCCGTCATGGACGGCTGCGGCGGCTCTCACGAGTCAGACTGGGGTCTATTTGGCACCGAATCCACACTTTGATGGAGTCGTCCTGCGCCATACGTCACTACATGACATCATGCCGTCGCAGAACACCTTGGCTGAAGGTTTCGGTCCTTTTCATGGCCTCTCGTTGGCTGCACGAGAATAATATGGGCGGGCCGCAGAGTGTTCCTTTGAGTCTGCCCCTCTAACCCCTCCATGCGGGCACCGGTAAGATGAAAACAAGCGCAAACGGGAATGCTATTTCCAAAGCCTCATGGTCGTGTAGTCGATATTTGGAGGAAAAGAGAGTATAGGTACGATATTGATTGCCGTAGATGTAGATTTTTTCAAGCTCGAGAGCGAGTCTTTGGGGCTGGCGTAGCAGTATGTACCTTGGATGGAGAATGGAACTTGAGATAAGACGTCTCGACAAATGAATGCAATGCCATCTTCTGAAACCTGCCTGCGCTCTTTTTTTCGGAGCCCACTTGCCCCTCCATCCATGATCCGCCCAGGGACCGTCTTGTTCCTGAATATTTCCACCCCACCTTTCACAGGCTCGCCGATCATAGAAAATCTGTCACCAACATCGACAAGTTTCCTCTTTTATTCTTTTCACTTCACTTCCCCTGTTAAATCTCACAACTCGAAGACTATCACATCCAATCCGCAAACATGCCTCAAGTAAGTCAGCCTTGACGCCAACAGCAAGCTGCTCGGCAGCCATGCGACCATTGTTCTAATCTCACCGGCCATAGATCAAGTGCCTCCTGTTCGACTGCGACAACACGCTCGTTCTCTCCGAGAACGCAGCCTTCGAGGCCTGCGCCCAGCTTGCCAACCAGATCCTCGAGAAGTTCGGCTTTGAGAAGCGCTATGGCGGCACCGAGCTCATGCACCAGTTCGTTGGCCAGAACTTCCGCAGCATGATGACTGGCCTCTGCGCAAGGCACGGCTTCACCATCCCAGCCGACGAGTTCGACCAATGGGTCGCCAAGGAGCTCGACACCACCATTGCGAACCTGCGTGCCAAGGCTGAGCCCTGCGAGAACGTCATCGAGGTCCTCGAGAAGCTTCAGAAGGACAAGAAGTACCACATGGCTATCGTCTCCTCGTCTGCTATGCCCCGTGTCGTTGCCTCCATCGAGAAGACCAAGATGGACCAGTTCTTCGGCAAGCCCGACGAGGGCATCTTCTCCGCCGCCAGCAGCATCAACCCCCCCGTCTCCAAACCCAACCCCGCCATCTACCTCCACGCCTGCGAGAAGCTTGGCTTCAAGCCTAGCGAGTGTATTGCTATCGAGGACAGCAGGAGCGGTGCTACCGCCGCCAAGAACGCCGGCATCCCTCTTTTGGGATACGTCGGACCCTACTACGAGGAGGGCCAGGAGAAGCTGGACTCCATGATCAAGCTCTTCCGCGACGAGCTTGGTGCTTTTGACGTTATGCACAACTGGAAGGACTTTGAGAGCATCTTGGCCAAGTACGAGAGCTCATAGATACCCACAACCCTGTTAGAAACGAGCTTTTGGATAAAGTGGAACAGTACCCCCACCTAGACTTTCTGTGGGTATGGCATTTACATATAGACACCTGGAAAAACTAGACATGAATAGATGAACAGAAATTTAGAGCGCTTGCCACAACCTCATTCATTATCTTTCAAGAACTATGCATTCCTGGTCACGTTTGACACACCGGTCTAACTCAGGAATACTCAGTTCCATTAATTCTCGGGAGAGTCAGGTGCTATGGAGCACAAGTGAAACCCAACAGGCCCTTAACTGAAGTCCCCTGATAATATGCATAGTTCTAATTATCCTCGCAAGAGTCATGCAGTTGAATGGACTAGAAAAAACATTGGAGAAATCTTCCGCTTATCATTCCCACCAGATGCATGAGGGTACTATGTGATGGCTAATCGACATAGTCTCCAAAAACATGGATATTGCACAGGCTCAAGATGAAGAACACACGACTGTGTTCTAGAGCCCCAAATAATTTCTCCTGGTACATGAACACAGCGGCAAGACAATTGCGAAGAGTGTGCTCTAGACCCATTCGAATTTTGTGTTTACCAGTGACGTGCTTCTTCCACTCTTGAAGCTACGCAACAGCTAAACGTGAACAGCAATGTACTGTACTGGCATAACCATCAGCAAGAACAAGCCAGATTACATCCGAGTAAAGAACTATACAGCATCTTTTGACTATGAAACACCGCCGATGCCATATGGGTACATCAAGGCGAAACGTACAACTATGGCACAGTTTCGCACTTAGACGTGCTAAGAGGGCCTGTGAGCCATGCTCAGCAGGGCACTGATCAAGACTTGCACATGCTCTTCTTCATTCATTCTATATCAACGCACACAGTGCAAGCTCAAATGTCTAGTACTAGTCGGTAAGTTTGCAGCTGAAACGGACCAAGGTCGACTTCAAAGCTGTTTTTGTCAAGAATAATACCATCTTCGTCATCCTCGAGAATGTTGGTCTTGTGAACGCTTCTGAGCTTCCATTTGGTTTTCAGCTGCCCCTTACCACGCCCACCGAGGCTTTCGTAAATTCGAATAATGATGCTCTTGCCAGGGCGGTTTGACAACTCGCCCAGACTGACATCCTCGTCATCGTCGCCACGTTTGATCGTGTCAAGCACCAGATTCTGATCGCCCATCAGTGCGACGGGGAAGGAACGCAGCGGCGACTTGGAGGAGACTGAGACGAACTTGAGGGGATTGTTGAAGTTGAATGCTGCCCGCACAGTCTCAGGGCCCAGAGAGCCTTGGTGAGGTAGTATAGCCCATCGGATGGTGTGACGGCCCATGTCGGCCTTATCATCGGGTGCTTTGGAGGACCGAAGAAGAGACAGTCGCATCGTGTTGCCTACCGTGGCGAATCCGTATTTACTATCGTTTAGGATAGATACGCCATATCCATACTCAGATAAGTCGGCGTACTTGTGACAACACACTTCGAACTTCGCCATATCCCAGCTGTGATGTCAATGTTAGTAACCAATGTAAAGTTGGCCATTGACTGTAGCTAAAACAAGAGGACTCACGAAGTGTTGTAGTGTGTCGGCCGGCGAATGACGCCAAATTGGGTGTCATATGAAGCTTCGTGGTGACGGATATCGACAGGAAACTCCACTTTGAGAAACTTCATCGTCTCGTGCCAGTCAACTTCCGCGGTGCATTCTACGTACGAATGGCTCCCGTCATCGTCAAATGTAGCCGGGAGGCTGATTGTTGTTTTGATGGAGCTCAGATCACTAATCTTGGTCTCGGTCACAACACTAACACGGAGCGGCGTGTCCTCAGAGACAGATGTTCTCGAGCTTTGGAGCTCTTCACGGGTTTCCAGATGGAAAACTTCAACGTCCCAGGCTTGCCAGTAAATCGGCTTGTCGTCGAAAATGACAAACTGGTTGGCCTTTCCTGACAAGACTTGACGCTTGGCTCGGCGGTCATATAGAGAGGTGATGCAACCCTTTTCCACTGTGACCGTGAAACGACTGTTCTCCAGCTCAAATATGCCTTCAGATACCTCCCTGACTGACACCATTTTCTCAGAGGTAGTTGAAGGTTCCTCGGTGGGTATGACATTTCCATTACCGTGTGCAATCATGCCTTTGCCATCTTCCGTGACAACGATCTCCTTTCGAGGCCAGGCTAACGTGTTCAATGCAGCTAACTTGTCGATTCCAGGAATCTTTTCATCAACCTTACTGATATGGAGCACTTTGTAGGCGCTTTGAAGCAGTTTATCGCCAATGCGGTATACGTTCGCGTAGACCTGAGTAGCCGCGTTATCGAGATGTCCATGCTTTACTTGACAAGGATTGACATACCTTGTCAGAGTCATCGTAACACATGCCGATGGCAGTACCGGGGAGACAGTCATGGAACTGACAAAGAAGCACGCCCTCCCACACCTCATCGAGTTCTTTCTTCGGGTACTTGTATGAATCATCTTCAATGGAAGCAATCGTTGCCAGAAGCTCAATGTCTCTGAGTAGAATCTCTGCTTTCCTATTGTTGAACTTGGTCTGAGCTTGAGTGGTGTAAACTCCACGATGGAGCTCGAAGTAGAGTTCGCCGTGCCAAGTGGGGAAGGTATGAGCCTTCTTTTCAAGCTTGTCAAAGAAATCATCGGGGGTGCCACCCGAGTGAACACGGGGAAGCAATCCGGTGGTGTCAGAAAGGCCTCTGAGTCGGCGTAGTCTTTCAATTTGTTGCCAGGTAGGGCCGCCGCCGCCGTCTCCCTTACCAAACTAGGGCTTGTAAGTACCAAGAGCCAGCGCAATGGCAAAGCATGAAGAAATGGGTCTACTTACAACGAGAAGAGATGTATGATCTTGATCGAGCGATCTGTGCTGTGTCATACTGCGCTTGACGTCACCAAAGGTAGCGTCTGCGCAATAGGTCTTCGCAGGCGGCATGTGACAGATAACTTGACTTCCGTCAAGAGCAACCCTGTTATGAATCAACAACAGAAGTCCTCGGCGACAAGAACTGACGAATCGGCTTACCAATTGAATGTTGTATGAGGAAACTCATTCATATTGTTGAAGCAGATCTTTTGAGTGAGGAATCTGTTCATCCCCGCTTGACGGCACAGTTGTGGGATCTGGCTCGACTGGCCAAAGGTGTCTGGTAGCCAGCAAGTTGTCGAACGACGTCCAAAGTTACTCTCGAAGAATCGCTGACCAAACAAGAATTGGCGAATTAGGGACTCGCCGCTGGGCATGTTAGTGTCGTGTTCTATCCAGCAGCCACCAATGGGATGGAACTGGCCGGCCTCGACTTTAGCCTTGACCCTTTCCCAAGCGTAGGGGTAGCCCTCTTTGAGCCACTTGAACTGCACGAAATGTTTTTAGTACAAGTCCAACCAGTCTTGATAGCTCAAAAAATACCTGTTGAGCCTGTGAGCAAGCAAAATTGAGTTCCGGGTACCGATCCATCAAGTCACACTGGTTCGACCACGAGCGGACCACCTTGCGTTTCGTCTCCTCCCACGGCCACAGCCAACAAGTATCAATATGGCAATGCCCAATAGCGAACACGCTACCGTTCTTTGCGCTATTGGCATCGAAGACCTTTTCCGAGTTGACGTCTGGCCCAAGATATTCCTCAGCAATTCTTCGGCTACGAACAATCGACTCCCGATCGCCGAATCTAAAAGTGTTGATGATCCTGGTCGCAATATTCAAAGCCTCGTGCTGTTCCCACGAATCCTCGGGGAACTCTTGTAAGGCTTGGTGGATAACCTGGATATCCGTGTGTAACATCCGAGCTTGCAAATCCACTGCAACAATCTCGGCCTTTGTGAGGACAAAGTACTTGTCTGGATCCGGCGGTTGAATTGCGCCTCCATTGGCATTGTTCTTAAAGATGGGGTCACCTGCGGCATTCCCAAACATGCCGTTACAAGCCATCTCGATGAAGATGGTATGCTCGAATCCGTCTTTGAAAGACGCTGGAATGACCCACTCAATTCGTTCGCCACGGCCTGTCAGACCCTGAAGAGGTTCGCCTTTAGCGTTCCATACAGTTGCTTCGTTGCTGCAATCCCAGTGTAGCTCGAGGTGCTCCATCTGGCGCATCTTATCCGAAATCTGAATCTGCACTTTGAACCAGTGAGTCGACCAAGAGGGACCAAAAGAGTCCCCGATCTGAGTCGGTCGGTAATCATTCGCCTCTATCGTAGCCTCAGAGAAGGCGGGTCGGCTGAGCCCGGGGCCACTCCAGACTGAAAGCTTGAGATCCGGAGGCTGCGAGCATACTGCCAGGTGCATCATTCTACGTATACTATGTCAGTGTGCTCGGATAGAACGAGGTTTAGAAATGCATCGTACGATAGCAAATTGACTTTCTCCCATTGTCCTCGCGAGTAAAAGTTGGCTGTACGGTCTCTGTAAAGCTTGTTTGCTCTCTTTCCCACAGGGACTGGCGCTCGCAATGGGTACGAACTCATCATAGAAGACGAGCCATCGCCGCAAGATCTGTCATGTCCGCACATACTTGAAGGGGTCTTTGGTCTCTGACGGGCTCTTTTCGAATATGGTGATACCGGCTGAGATGATGAGGCGGTCTGATTGCCAACTGAATCGACGAAGGACGACTTATTGGCTCAGATTCACAGTGACAAAAGAGGTTACTCTCTGTTTTTGGTGAGTGGACTATTACAGGTGAGTTGAGGTCCGTACTTCGGCGACCTGTTCGCATGAGCGGCCACCGTCCTATACAGGTTGGTCTACCACGACGGACAGGGGAAGCCGGTGCCGAGGTGTCCCCCACGTATTCCATCGTGCCAAGTTGGGGATCCTTGGCACTTCTTCTGACCAGGGATGAACCGGCATTCTTAGCCGGAGATTCGCGATATAGGACCTGCGAGGTCTTCGGAAACCATCATCCCAATTTGGCACTCTTGCCGCTGCTCAGAAGCAAATGGACCGTTAGTCGTCGCATTATTGCTTCTGCCCCGCTTCCTTCACAACTTTGTTTCGTTTTGATGGCTGTCTTGCATCCAATGAAGTGGATGGCGCGGGGTCTGGGGCAGTAAATCGGAATCTGGGGGCGGGGTAGAAGTCAGACTTGACTCTTACCAACGACGAATAGATTGCAACGTTGCGTTGAGCCAAGGCCAGGGTCCACACCATAGAAACTATCATGATTGCAAAGTTCAAGAAATCCTCTTCCAATTCTTTGAACAAGCATTGGCTAGGTGCTCAATCCTCCGAAAAGTTGGCTCCTTGGCACTGCACACTCGGAATTGTTCCACATCAAGATCCGAGGAGACGATGGATATTAAGAGACAATGCTTAATTCTACGTAGGTTAAATGAGGCTGAAGAACCAGGAGGCTGTCTACCAGAACCAGTGTAATGCCGAATCCTACGAGAAATCCACAAGCATTCTGGTATCACAGACCAGAAAGTTAGTAATGGTATCGGAAGTTCACATCCTCCTGATAAATGGTCAGCAAGCGTCTCCACAAAATTTAGTTTTAAAATGGATATTGGATTCACCTTGTCGGTCATATCCTCGAAAGCATGAGTATGCGTCGCGTCCGCGACCGCCTCACCACGAGCAATCTTGCCTTCGCGCAACTTATTCTGCCAGACATAGTAAGTCCGCAGGACGAAAAGAACAATCACCAACAACACGAAGCAGCCAAGGATAACAGCCAACGCAAGGAAGTAGCGCGGCGCATCTTTTGCGCGGAAAACCTGAGGACCGATGGAGTTGCCCACGGCCCAGAAGACGAAGTTGCTGGTGATTACCACGCCCTTCTTGGTCTGGCCGGCCACATTACGCGTGACGAGGGACAGAGCGAGACCACTACAGGCCCAGAAGGAGATCATGATGTAGTACGCCAAAAGCAGGCCGACCTTCTTGCTAGGCTGGAATTCGACGGTGAGGAGGACGACGGTGCCTGCGATAGTAGGGATTACGGCTCCCATCATGGCCAGGATGGTTTGCTTGTAGCGTCTGTCGATCCAGGAGGCTGTGAGCATGGTGATGATTTGCAGAACACCGGTCACACTCTGAAGCAGTTGGGTTTGCCATGTAGAGAAGCCAAACGACTAATTAAAGCAATCAGCCCGATTCTTTCATTGCACCATTATAAAATAGGTTGCAAAAATACCTTGATGATAATGTTCGCAAATGCGCCAAGGCCTCCGGATGGTAGAGTGGTGAGAAGCTGAATCAAAGCGAACCCGTAAACTTCAAACAAGGTCAGTCAGTGTTAAGCAAAAACTGAGGAGGTATAAAGTTTAACCTTGAGGGTCTTGAAAGGCCGCCCAAACTTGCTCCTTGCGGAACTTGCGGTTTTGCAGACCAGTGCGGTTAGAGCGGACACGTTCTACAAGAAGCTTCTTGTCCTCTTCGCTGAAGCAGTGCGCCTTCATCGGCGAGTCGGGCATCCACCAAAGCACGAATAAACCCCAAAAGACAGTAATGATGCCGTAACTCATGAATAAGGCTTGCCAAGACCTTATTGGTGACGAAGCCGGGATGAAAGAAAAGCCGAAGGCTAGTACTCCACCAACGATTTGTTGAAGCCCGTTCATCATGTACCTGCCCACAGCGTCAGCTGCCACTTCTTTTTTGAAGTATGATGTAGAGCGTCTCACCAGTAAATGGCCGTCGCGGCTTGTTCTTCGCGCTTGTACCACATGGAAGTCAAGAGTACGAACGCCGGTTGGCAGACTGCTTCGAAACCGCCCAGGAAACCACGGACGATGATCAGACCAGTAAAGTTGTTGCATGCAGCGTGGAGACTCAGTGTGATGCCCCACATGATGATGTTAAAGGCAAGCCACTTTGCGATCGGGATTTTCTGAATGATGTAGTTTTCCTACAAGCAAGGAGCATTTAGCACGGTGCCCATCATCAATATCCAGTTTTTGTGTCGAGTAGTATAGCCTTACCGGGTATTCGACGCACAGAATAACAAGATAGATGATGGTTGTCAACCAAGAGTACTATTCGATCAGCAAGAGGTGTGAAAATCCCAGGAAGGCGTTAATACCTCTTGGCCCTTGAGACCTGTATCATCAATAATACCCATGATGGACGAAAACGACATCGTTCCCTTATCCAAAGACTGCATGAAGTATGTGACGATCATTACACTCAGCACCCTCTCGTCAATCTTTCTCTTCAACCTCTTGTTTGTCGCTTCATCAATCTCGACGATGGTTTCGCCGGCATACATAGCAACCTCATTGTCAACCTTGTCATAGTTGGTCCGTTGCTTCGGGTCGGCGGGATCCTCGACAAGCTCGGGTGCCTCGATGGTCTCTTTCTTGTCCATATTGCACACCTCGTTGTGGCTTTAGGTAAGTGTGATCAAGAGTGTCGATGATGCCAGCTTTGGTGATTCAGAGGAGTCGGACTAGGTCACTAAGATGGCGAACACTCCACAAAGGAGACTTTGGGAAACATCAACAAACATCAGGGGGAAACAGCTCTTTCTTATTGAAGGTGCTAGACCAGCTCCCGAGGCGTTCTACGAAGACCAGCATTGGGCCGGTAAGTCATGGTTGGTACCATCCACATCCCGAGCCGAGGCCACGCAACAGTTCAATCATGCGCCAAACTCTTGCAGCCTTTCCTCTGGGGTCTGCACAGACAACATACTGCGCCAGACCAAGATGAGACGATGCCCGGCACAATCGTTACATTATCAGGGAAACGGTCATCTCGGCTATTCAAGGTCGGCCCTGTCGTTAGTGAGAACCCGGGGATGGCCCCATTGAGGATACGCGGAGGCGGGGACATCGACCAGGGTGGTGTGCGGGGGAGACGAGCCCGGACCGGACACCGGGCCAAGGATGCACGATGACTTGGCCAAGCAAACAAATGTGGCTTGTTGTGCGGAGAAGCTGGTGTCATGTTTCTGAAGGGAGAACAAGCTCCACACTCAGATTCTTTGCACCAAGAAACCCGGTTTCGATCCCGGTCGAATGGTAGTCATTGCGCTCGCCCTTTGGGAAGCCGACGTCGGCCTATGTTTGGCCCGGATCGCAGGTATCGGAGAGGGGAACCTATGGCATATTTCGAAGACATCGATCTTTTATCGTAAGCTCTTCAACTAGAACCCTCACGAACCCAATAATAGAAGCCGATTTCTTCGACGTCATGTTTGAGAAAGAAATTGTGACTTTCTCTTCGGAGCAAGACGGGGAAGCCTTCAACCTAGTCGGTGCAACCATTCTGGTCGACGAGTCGGATCCGGTCGGCATTCACATTGCGGCACAGAACCTTGCCAAGGACTTCGGCCGTGTGACCAGATCCAATGCAAGCCAGGTCGCGGTCTTCAAAAGCGATAAGACCAACGTCTTTTCGGAACCGATTGCAGCCATCATCATCGGGTGCGTTCATTCAAGCCAACTGATTCAGAAATTGGAGAAGGAGGGCAAACTGGACGCTGGAAGGATCCGCGGGAAATGGGAGTCATTCACTACCGCTCTGATCGACCAGCCTGTGCCAGGCGTCAAGAAGGCGCTTATCATCGCCGGAAGTGACAAACGTGGAGCAATATTTGGCACTTACACGCTGTCTGAACAAATCGGCGTTTCACCGTATGGACTCGTTCTCGATTGTCTTTGGATCGTTCATGAACTAAATCGTGACTAGCTGGTACTACTGGGCGGACGTGCCGCCTAAGACCCACAAGAACATCTTCGCATTGAGAACCCAGACTTATCATGGAGAACCAAGTGTTCGCTTCCGCGGTCTCTTCATCAACGATGAAGCCCCCGCTCTGACGGGTTGGGCCAGGGCAAAGTTTGGAGGTTATAATTCCGAATTCTACAAGAAAGTATTCGAACTGTTGTTGCGGCTCAAGGTCTACCACCTCTACAATGGAAGCATTTATCTCACAAATAATACTGAGTCTTCATCCAGGCAAACTTCCTATGGCCAGCAATGTGGCCAGGCTACCCAAACCCCGGCGCATCTTTCTTCACCGACGATCCCGAGAACGCCCAGGCCGCTGACGACTACGGTATCGCCGTGTCTACATCGCACCACGAGCCCATGCAGCGGTTGTCAAACGAGTGGTTCGTGGACAATCCCGACGGCAGCTGGAATTGGCTCACGAACAAGGAGAAGATCACCGGGTTCTTCGACGAAGGCGTCAAGAGGGCCAAAGGCCGCGAGTCCTACTTTACGCTGGGCATGCGCGGAGAATACGACCGGAAGATGAAGACGGATGACCCAGCCGCAGTGGTGCGCGACGTGATCAAAACTCAACGGGCCCTCATCAAGCAGGTCCATGGAAGCGAGGACGCTGTGCCTCGTACGTATCCAGAAAGACTGCGAGACCTAGGATGGTAAATAACTGACTTTGTGTACAGAACTCTTGGCGCTGTATAAAGAGGTGCAGGAGCAATACGAGGGGGGAAATCTTGACGTGCCAGACGATGTTACTTTGCTCTTTTCCGATGACAACTTTGGCAGTATCAGGCGTCTTCCGTCCGGGGCAGAGAAAGATAGGAAGGGAGGGGCAGGAGTGAGTTGCCATTATTGAACTTCTAACCGCCAACGACATCTCAAGCTGACTGATTGGCAGATCTACTACCACTTCGAGTACGTGGGAGTTCCTCGCAGCTACAAATGGATCAACAGCAACTCCATGGTACGTCCTGTTTGATCTTCCGGCTTCTCTGGTATGATGGTAACACATATCGCAGGGGAAAACTTGGCATCAGCTGCAAGAGGCTCACAGACGCAATGCAAAGCAAGTCTGGGTCTTCAATGTAGGCGATATTAAGCCGATGGAAGTCCCGTTCACATTCGCAATGACCCTGGCTTGGGATATCGATTCTATCAATGCCAACGACTTCGCAAAGTTCTATCAGGGCATGGCAGAAGTCAACTTCGGAAAGGAGAAATCAGAGGAAATTGCAACAATTTGGCAAAAGTATGATCGCCTGGCCGCTCTGCGAAGACACGAACACATCGAGCCGACAACTTTCTCTCTTGTGCACCACAACGAAGCAGATGACGTCGTCAGCCGCTGGGAGTCTCTGCTAATATCTGCCGAGTGTGTTTATAAGGCAGCATCGGAAGAGCAAAAGCCTGCAGTTTTCGAAACGGTGCTGCACCCAGTTAAGGCCTCCACGATCTTCACGAAACTCCAGATCACTCTGGGCCGAAATCGACTCTACGCGCGCCAGCGACGTAACACCGCAAACAAGCTCGCCCGCGAAGTCCTCGACCTCTTTGACGCTGACTACAATCTTTCCGAGGAATTCCATAAGCTCTTGGGTGGCAAATGGGACCAAATAATGCGGCAGACGCACTATGGCTATGAAGACACTTGGCACGCCCCGTACCGGGACATGATCAGTGGCTTGTGCTATGTCCAACGCAGGCAGTACTCTAACCCTGTTATGGGCCAAATGGGAATTGCAGTGGAGGGCCATGAAGGCGTTCGGCCTGGTCGGACGAACGAGGAGTCAGATCGGACACATCCTAGTCGACGTGATTTGGTTCCTGGAGTCACGTTGGGGCAGATGAGCCGTTACGGACCTTCTAAAAGATGGATAGATATTTACACCAGGGGACCTCAGGTAATCCACTGGAAGGTGTCAGTTCCGCACGACTGGTTTCAGTTGTCAGTCATGGCTGGCACCCTCGATCCTGATGGGGACGATGCTCGAGTCGAGATCACGGTCGACTGGGACCGGGTCTCGGATGATTTTGATCAAGAGGTTTTGATAGATGTTCGGTCTGAGGAAGGTGATTTTGAACAAGTCCATCTTTCAGTGACCGGAAGACGCGTACCTGGGGCCTTTAGAGGTGGCTTCGCCGAGGCAGATGGATACATCTCGATTCCAGCGGCGCATCGACCTCCGCCAGGATTCAGAGTCTTTCCCGACTGCGGAAGGACAACAGCAGGCGCTATTGCCGTTGAACCAACCGAGACTGATGCCTCATCGCAGCTTGCTTACAGGTTTCACGTGTTTTCCCAAACCGCGAAACCAGTCTTGTTGCTGTATTTCAACATGACTCTCGACCTCGACCCAGCAGACCCGATGACTTACGAGCTTGAAGTGGATGGTGGGACTGTCCAAACGCATAAGCTGCTGCCAAAGACAACTGACCTACCCGATGGATGGTTTTATGCAGTGCAGGACTGTACCTGGTTGCAGAAGCATGACCTGAGCGAAAGTGGCCTTAGGCCCGGTGAGCACAACGTCAAGATCAAGCTGAGACATTCGAATCTTATTTTCGAAAAACTGGTGGTCGACCTTGGTGGCATAAAGGATAGTTACCTAGGGCCGCCGCCAAGCCCATACATTTCTTAGTTACAGATCGTGTACTTCCTCTTACTTATCAGGACTTCGTTGTGTTGCAAGTCTGCTACACAAGAGCACGACTAGACCAACAATTAGACTCAATGGTAATCTGTACGAATGTGATCCTCGGCAAATAGTAGATGTAAACGAACTGATACTGACTGATACACTGAAGAAAATGTCACAGATTCAATGTACTGAGTAAGTTACAGTACGCGATTGTTCAATGATTATACTCTCTTAGAAACAAAATATAACTTAACCCTTTCGAGTGGCAAGAATTGCTACCAATATTTGAGATCATCAAATTTTCATGGTGCATTATCTAAGGTCCGAACTATACAACAGAAACACGGAACCTAAGCACTGCCATCTCTTTCCCCGAAAATACCTACGTACAACCATCGCATTAAGGATCGACTTCAGCCCCAGACGTCCTCTTGCCACTTGCGATTTCGCTTCAACCTCTCGCTCCAGTCCTTCACTTGGGCATCGTTCCATCCCTTGTCTGCTTTAAAAACATCTCTCAGGGTTTTGCCAACCTCTCTCGCCATACTCGCCCTTCCGCACATATACAGGCTAGCGCCATCTTCCAAAAGCTTAGCAATATCGCTTCCAAACTCGCGAACTCTATCCTGGACATAGGTCTTCTTTGTGCCCTCTTGCCTTGAGAAGGCTGTCACGATCCTCAGCTTGCCGTCAAGGTCCTTCTCCATCTGTTCGAGCTCCTCTTTGTAGATATAGTCGTCATCGGGACGTTGGCAACCGAACAAGAGCATCATATGACCGACCTCCTTGCCAATGGACTTGAGGCGCAGACGCTCGATGACAAAGGCGCGGAAAGGCGCCAGACCTGTGCCGGCGGCAACCATGACAAGAGGGTGTGAAGAGAGCATGGGGAGCTTGAACTTGGAGCGACGGATGTGAGCATAGACAAGACCACCTTCCAAAGTGCTTGACGGTCCCGACAGAGCATAGCTCAGGCCTTCAGTCTGTTGAGTGATCTGAGAGCTTTGCAAGGACCGATGAAGTGCTTGAAGGTAGTTGGTAGTGAGACCGGGAATAGTGCTAGACGGAGAAGCGGAAAGGGGTGTATCAGAAACAGTCACAGTAATGCTCGGGGCCTTGGGAGAAACAACGCTAGAGGAAGAGATCGAGTAGTAACGGGGTTGAGACCTGGGTAGAGTCTCGATGAGGTATGATAGCGGGATGCCGGCCCATGCTGATGTGACGAGGTTGCTGTCGGCCTTGGCTGCCAATTCGAGTAGCTTGCCAAGAGTGAGGTGGTTGGATGCGAGAAAATTGGAGTAGGTTTCCTTGTCATGGCCCAAGTTTAGGAGGAAATCCTTCACTATAGGTGAAGGCGCGAACTGTGAAATACCGCGGACAGCGTCCCTGGGGACCGCGGCGCAGATTTCTAAGTAGTACCGGAACAGTGTCTCTACGTTGGTCGGCGTGGGGATCTTGACTTTAACAGCAGCATCCAATGCGTTGATGCTGATAGGAATGCTGCGGCGTTGTGATAGACCAAGGACGTTGAGTAGACGCTCGACCTCTTGATCTGGGTTGATAGGCCAGATGGCGAGGTGGTCGCCAGTCTTGTAGGTAAGCTGAGAGCTGCTGCCGAGGTCGAGGTCGAGGTGTAAGCAGCTACGACCAGGAGATGAGAAGAGACTATATGCCTTGTTGATCTTTAAGGGCTTTATCGCAGAGTTTGCGGTTGACTTTCCAGAGCCCTCAATCGAGTGCACCGGCTCGCCGATGTGAAGATCTTGAGGCTCGAGGGACTCATCTTCGACAACTGCCAGTGAAGGCTCATGAACGACTTCTTGTTCTTGGAGCTTGAGGGTCTCGCAGAAAACCTTGTACAGGTCATCTTTCCACGAGAGAAAATCTTCTTCCGTAGCACCTTGCGCATCGTCGGCACGACCAATAGGGGCGAGACGAGAGGCACCGTGGTTTTCTAGTGCCTTGTCGACCACATCGACGACCCTGTTGTAGTATCTGTAGTTGCTGTTGCCCAAACCGAATGTCGCGTATCGCAGCGATACCAGTGGCTTGTCTTGTAGCTTGGTAACCCAGTCCCAGAACAAGCTGGCGTTGTCGCTGGGGTCTCCCTCGCCGTACGTTGAGATAATGAAGATGGCCAGCTTCGTCTGAGGAATCTGTGCGATCGTCTCGACATCATAATCTGAGAGATCGGCCGACATGGCGTTAAGATGGAAGCGCTGGTGCAGCTCACGAGCTAGACGGTTTGCAAAGCCTTCTGCAGTGCCAGATTGCGACCCCCAAAAAACAACCACATCTTTACCCTGGCCACCAGAATTTTAGCGTTTATCACAAGTGTTCAAGTGAACAGGTCCGGGCTTACAAGCTCTTCTAGTCGCTCTGCAATATTGTTGGATCTCTTGTTTCCGGCATTACCACCGGCACCTTGCTGTGGCTTCTCGTACCAAATAAAGTCGTATGGGTCAGGCTTGTCCCAAGTATACCCGCGCAGGACATATGCTACGGACAAGAGCCCAGCTGCGGTGAGAGCAGCTGCATCTGCAACAGTTCCTGGAGCGAACTGGCTGATCAGCTTCAGTGTGCTCTCAGGAAGAGAGCCCGGAATCGACATGATATACACAGTGAACAAAAACACAAAAGCGGACGAAGAGTTCACAGTCTTTTCTGGAGAAGGATCGCGATAGGAGTGACGACCTGTGACCTTTGTGAGAATACAGCAGAAGGATCCAAGATAATAAATGCGATCAACAGTTTCATAGGAATATCGTCAAGTTTTCCAAAAACAATCAGCATATGAACTATGGCCACAGCGGATCTAGTGTCGTCAACCCCAATGGCCCAAAACTTTCCAAAAGAGATCCAAAAAGGCAAGTCTCTTACACACGAGATGCGGGGAGGACTACTGCTTCGAGTCAGAATCGAGGCTGGTAAAGTTGGGGAACAATCCACTTCCCCGCGGGGGAGGCACGAAGAAGCGGCTAAGCAAAGGGGGTCTAAACTCAGATAGGCGACATATCCCGCGGGATCAAGATAATTCAGCCCGAAGAAAAGAACGGGGAAGTCAAGAATAGCCCTAGCGCCCAACGCCGGCAAGATTTCCGAAGGGTCCGTTTTTCCCCAAACATGCCCCCTAAATTGGATGCTGTTTCCGTTGACGGCTGGAACACCCAGTGTCCTTGGCTTTCGCAGTCTCTTGAGGTTCTCCGCGGTGACAGTTACCCTTTCAAGACGAAGACTCCATGGGTCGATGATGTAAACCAGTGAACGAGCTCTATTACCCCGCGCTAGACTCGGTAGAGTGTGCGAAATGACCCCGAGATACGCCCACGATCTGTCATTCTCAAGCGTTCTTGCACAATAGTGCTTCAGCGCGCAGCCTACACAACGCACGCTATGGCCCCCACGGGACTTGAGCATTGCTTGTCTTACTACCGTCCCTGGCGCAGTACCGCTCTGTTGTCTCGCGCCCCCTCATTCCTACCCTGTATTCTGCTTCAGCTATTCTTGACAACTCAGACGAAAGGGATTCGTGGCGTGCAAAATGCGGGGAAAATGTCGTAGCAAGTGGAGGACTAAAGATCGCTGTCGTTACGGGGAGAGTTTCCTTTCTCGCAAGCCATCCGAAGTAGAAATTCTGAGGCGAATTTCTTCCCTTCTCGTGACTCTACTCTTTGCCAGTGTTCCGCAGCCGAACGGTATTTAGATGGCGAGAGCGTCCTCTCCGTCCCTGACGTAGACCAGATAGTACCCGAAGCTTCTACAGCCACCCTACTCGCATCTCATCTTCGTCCTACCTCACTGATCTTTTGGGATATTGCTAACATGGCTATCGAAATACTTTTGGTGTTTTCCAAGTCACCTTACGCCATGGGCTTCCTTTTCGTTGCCTTGGTTTATCTTGTGGTCTACCCCCTTTTCATGTATTTTAAGGATGCCAAAGGTTCATTATTTTTTCTGTAACAACTTAGGTACATCTTTGCTAACTTTTCCACCTAAGGTCTTCGCAAGTTTGAGAACTTCAGTACATTTTCTGGCGTGTGCAATATCCCCTTCATGATATTGGCCCGCACTGGTGCTCGATCATCCCATCTCGTACAACTCCACAGAGAAAAGGGCCCAATCCTCCGCACTGGTCCCAACACTCTCTCTTTCAGCGATGTTCGTGCAATCAAAGATATCTACGGACACGGTACCCCCTGCATCAAGGACGAATCATACGTCCTGACTGCTGGCTCTCACTACCACCTTGCCGACGTTGTCGAAAAGCACGACCACGCAAGAAAACGCAAGGTCCTGTCCTCGGCCTATGCTCTGAAGAACCTTGAGGGTTGGGAGCACAAGGTTGCTGATAAGGTCGAAAGGCTGTTCAAGCAGCTCGACAAGCGCTGTACCGATCCCCTTCCCAAGGGTCAAATGTTCCCTAAGCCAGAAGATTTGACCGTTGATTACCGCAAATGGGGGAACTTTTTCACACTCGACGCCATCGCTGACATTGGTCTTTCTGAACGTCTCGGTCTCCTTGATCGCGGACACGACAGAGTCCTGGCTCGTCGCAAGGACGGCACCACGCGGGAGGTCCCCTTACGTGACTCTCTTTACCCTACTGCCCGGAAGCAATCTCTGCTCGTCTGGAGCTATGACAACTACAAACTCATTGACAAGCTGTCCAATCTCATCCCCCGCTACCGCCAGATGACTGAGGCCTCCAAGGGTTGGGATGGAATCGTTCTTCAACTCTCCAACCAACGTCTCAAGCGTTACAACGAAGGCGAGAAGCTAGACGACTTCTTCCAGGCGCTTATGGAAAACAAGAACGGCGAGCCGAACAACCTCGATTGGGGCGAGATTGTTGCCGAGGTCAACATTATGATGAACGCAGGCAGCGTGACCACCGCTATCGCAGTCACCAACGTCCTGTATCAACTACTCAAGAACCCCAAATATCTCCAGCGCCTCCGTGAGGAGGTTGACAGTGTTATTGACCCAGACGAGGTCATTGCCCCTTACGACAAGGTCAAGCACCTGCCCTACCTCCGTGCCTGCCTCGACGAATCCCTCCGTCTGTTCCCTCCCACGCCTCATGGTCTGCCTCGTAAGACGCCCCCTGAAGGAATGTATATCATGGGCGAGTGGATACCTGGAGACACCACCGTCAGCATGTCTGGTGTCGTTGTGCACCGCGACGAGTCTGTGTTCCCCGATGCCGACAAGTATGTTCCCGATAGGTGGCTTGGCGAGAAGGGCAAAGAGCTGCAGCCTTATTTCCTGGCCTTCTCTGCCGGCGCAAGAGGCTGCATTGGCAGGAACATTTCGTACCTAGAGCAGGCCGTATTGTTGGCGTCTGTGGTTCACAGATATGAGTTTGCGCTGCCTCGAGACTTTGAGCTGGCGCGTGAGGAGACGATGAATTGGCTATTGGGAGAGATGCCCGTAAAAGTGTGGAGGCGACAGTTAGATGAGGTTGAGGTGAGCTAGGTTTCTAAATAGCGATTAAACTCGCGACTGGCGGTAAGGCATTCGGCGTTGATAAGGTAAATACTAGCAAATATGATGAATTTTTGAAGCATTAGTTTGGCAGGTAGTTCGATCCCACAGATTCACAACACCTGATTTTCTTATTGCATCTGATATGCACATTCGGTCCGCCTTTGGTGAGTTACTATTAGGTGTTCTGATTCAACCAGCGAGCAAGATCGTCGAGAGTTTGCTTCATAAGTAAAGTGTAAAAGGACTGTTCTCTCACTGGCTTCAACGAACAGGGAGTAAACAGTCTACTAACTGTGCTTAAGAGACAGCGGTACAGTTTTATCATGCTGATCAATGGCCGCGACCGCACGGTTCTTTTCGACAGGACGCCGATCAGCAGTTCATCCAGAGTTTGCTGTAATCAGAGACGCACAAGTTATCTGTATGTGACTTAACACGATGTGGTTTCCAGACAGAGATTGACAGCTCCAGGGTGAATCCTTCTATGGTTCCGTGTTAGAGTCATTCGAGCTGAATTGACATCTTGTGCTGGTCGTAGTCCAAATTTTCATTGTCAAAAACGCAGCCAGGATGGCAGTTTAGAAGAGAGCCATAGCAGGATTAATGGTGTATCAACAAAAATTTGCTACGAGGCAGGAGAGGTCTGGGCATAGGAAGTGTTGGAACTCAAGAAGTTGGGAATAATAAGTGCAAATGGTCTACTCCTTTATGAAACCCCCAAAATTTTTACTGCTTCAATGCCATTGGAGAAGGTTTTGTAAATTAGGACCACAATAATGTCATGTTTTCGAGGAAAGTTGCGATCCATACTGATTGATATAGATGGCAACCAGTCTGAGCTGAGTAGCAGCCGAACATCGAATACCAGAATAACTATTGTAGGATTTGCAGACACTCAATATCGTACTAAGGTTTCTCATTTTTTGTAAGACGTTATGAACACTCATGAGCGGAGGCTCAAAGTATTTGTAATCGCGGACGTCATGGAATGCTGGAATTTGAGTGGTTTGGGAACCTACGCTATTGATTTTACCAAGCTTTTTGGGATGCCTTGGCACTTCTCAGGGTATTCCAACTACCGAATGATTGATCCATAGAATGGATTTTAGTTCTGCTTAGTTTGTAGAGAAGGATAGTCCTGAGGGGGCGGCTCCTGCGTTTGAGACAATACCATGGCAGCAAAAGAAGACACAGATCAGGAAGAGAAGATGGTAAACACTAGTTGATTGAAATGCATTCAACCATAATTCCATCCCTTTTGTCGTTATATTCTTGATCTGCATAGTCCTGGCACTGACCAGGTTGAAAGGGGACTAATGCTAGGATAGTCGGCATTTCAGATCACCACATCCGAGCTTGAGTTGACGTGATCGCTCCCCGCTCCACCATCCCGCGTCCCGCGTAATGGATCAACTGGCTGGGAAACGACTCGCCGCCTGAAAGTTTTACGTAGAATACCACTCGGTTCCCAATCATGCCTTTTCTAGGACTACTATTCCCGGGATTTTCTCCGTCCGATCTCGTACCGGACAGTTTAAGGTCCTCTGATTCGTCATGTCGGTTGCGACACGTTGCCCCATGACATACATGTGGCCTGCACACTTCGACAAAACACTTTGGAAGTCAGCAAACCATGACCTAACCCCGGACTCTGCCCGACGGCAATCGGTTCTTTGCTCCTCGAGCTATCGCTTAGCAGTCGATCCACGAGATCAGAGCCCAGTCTCCGAGGAGATATTCGTTTCACATTCTGTTCGAAGGGAATATATGACGAGGACCTCGAAATTGCACCATCGCGGAGATACCGTGCTGACGGAAGATTTTGCATGAAGCACTCCCGTCCAAGTGCTCATATAAAAGCTGTAGGCCACAGGTGACTTCTCGATAATGAGGAATTAAGCTTGTAGACTAAAGTCTTGGATACGGATGCTCCGGTCGATCACCTCTGATCCTCTTAACCATGCCTGGCACGCCGAGCACGCCGAGCATCAATTCTGCCATTGAGCAGAAGGTTTCACCAATAGTCACAGTGGCTGTCGACACGCCGCAGGCATCTGGTTCAAAGCAACATGCATCTGATCATGTCTGGGCCGTCGGTGCGTCCTCGCAAATGTACGAGCCCATCCCCGAATATGAAGGCCGCCACCGATACGATCCCGCTGCGACCTGGTCGGAGCACGAGGAGAAGAAATTGGTTAGGAGGGTACGTTTACCTTATTGCACCCTTCGGATCGCGCAATTCGCTCAACAAGAATGAGTGTTGACATTCGGTACCACCAGCTTGATTACAAAATATGCGCATGGGTTTGTTTAATGTTCTTCGCGCTCCAGTTGGACCGCGGCAACATCAATCAAGCAAACTCCGACAACATGCTGGAAGACCTTGGCCTTTCAACAAACCAATACAACTACGGCATGACGATATTCTATCTGTGCTTCCTTTGTGCCGAACTACCCTCGCAGATGATCTCGAAGAAGCTGGGACCGGACGTCTGGATTCCCATCCAGATGGTCTCTTGGAGCATCATCGCCGCCTGCCAATGCTTGATGACAGGGCAGAAGGGATTCTACGCCACGCGGGCTTTACTTGGTCTCATTGAAGGCGGCTTCATTCCGGACGCAATCTTGTACCTTTCGTACTTCTACAAGAGCAAGGAGCTGCCCATCCGCATGAGCTACTTCTACTGCGCGTCATACACAACTCAAATTATTGCTGCGTTTCTCGCGTTCGGTATTCTGCATCTGCGAGGTGCCGGAGGTTGGGAAGGATGGAGGTGGCTCTTTGCCCTCGAAGGCGGTTTGACAGCCTTGATTGGTGTGTTCTCGTGGTTTTACCTGCCGCCTAGTCCCACGCAGACCGCAAGTTGGTTCCGCGGCAAGGACGGCTGGTTCACGGAACGCGAAGAGATTATCATGGTTAATCGTATTCTAAGAGACGATCCAAGCAAGGTGAGTCTCAACGTATTCGGTAATTTAATCGACGTGCTAACGTCAATCTTCTAGGGAGGAATGCACAATCGTCAAGGCCTGACACCAAGGCTTCTTTGGTCTGTACTATCGGACTGGGACCTTTGGCCCATCTATCTCTACGGTCTCACGCTTCTTATCCCCGTCAGACCGATCGATCAGTACTTGACCATCAACTTGAAGGCTCTCGGTTTCGACACGTTTCAGACAAACCTACTCACCATCCCGGGATACGTTCTGTTCTTGATCCAACTCGTGTTCTGGTCGTGGGTCTCGGAGCGCTGGAACAACCGCATGCTGATCGTTTTCCTTTACTCCGTCTGGGTATTTCCTCTCGTTCTGGCTTTGGAGTTGATGCCGGCGGGCTCTAGCCCTTGGAAGTGGTACGCGGTCACTGCTCTGATCGTTGGTTACCCTTACGTCCATTCCATTCTAGGTAAGTCATTTTTGAACCCTTGTCGTATTTTGAGATGTAATCCTGGGATCGGAAACTGATAATGTGCAGTCAGTTTGACATCGCGGAATGCGGGCACAGTCCGAACTAGGACTGTCGGCAGTGCTCTGTACAACATGACAGTTCAGGCCAGCAGTATCATTGGCTCAAACGTAAGCCTCAAGCATCCCAAAATTGACGTGAACAACTTGACTGACAACCTTATCAGATCTATCAAAAGGACGACGCGCCGCTTTACCGCCGAGGCAACAAGGTCATCTTAGGGCTTATCGCATGGAACGCGGTGCTTGCTTGGCTCATCAAGGCCTACTACATGCGAAGAAACAAGACGCGCGACGATATCTGGAATGCTATGAGCCAAGAGGAGAAGGACAACTACCTAGCAACTACAAAGGACGAAGGGAGCAGACGCCTCGACTTTCGCTTCGCTCACTAGGATGGTCGCATGGTCAGGAAATCATGTCGCTCATATCACCGAGCAGATGAACGCATTCGAGAGATGTGTAAAAGAGCATGCTGAAAAGCAGTTGTACAGCGCTAATATCCTGGGAAAGAGACCTGGGAATGTACCGTCATCTGACTGGTAATCACAGGGGTGCAATTGTGGGTCCGCCTTTTCATCATAGGATTAGGATTGCAATATTAGAATACAAGACAAGATAGATCATGAACAGCATCCTATTTTGTATCATTTAACACTCAGTGTGAATCCCGCCAGCCCATTTGCCAGTATCAGCTTCGTCTTAATCATCAGCACTTCGACGCAACTTTATCGACCTTTACAAGTAAGATCAAAGTAACTAGGCCGAGCCTAATTTTCGTGTAGTGACTTGAGATGGTAGTTAAATTCAAATTCAATCATGGTGTCAAAATCACACATGTAGCTCAGGAATTGGTCCGGCTCATGTGTTGAATGATTTATTTCTCACCCTGGCTTCATCCAAATCTTTAGTTGACAGGGATGAGCAACGAGCCTTTAGAAGTCGTCTACGTCGAACACGCTTTCTAGGTATAACGAGGTAAGCAGCATATTCCTGCGCTACGCCGTCCATCAACGCTTCTTTGGCACAATGTTCCGTCCATCGCCCTGAAAGCCCTGCTTGTCACAACTCCAGGAATATCGGCATGACTCAGTCCCTGATCTTGAAGCCCATGGCTTCGATCTCCGGATACATTGCACGAATAGACTTATCCAAACTCCAGTTGGACCCATTCGTGGCATGCTCAAAAAATGCACGGCTCAGCATCCTGCGTCCAGTAATAGGGCACACGTCCACCGCGGCGTCGAGGCTATAAGGCCAGCCGACGCTGGTTCCTCCCGTGTCCGTTGTACCTGGCGAGAGCCAGTCGCGGAACCTGTTGATCAATGCATCACGGATGGCAGGACTATTCGTACAGTTAGAGGCCTCGATGTGGACAACACTGGGTAACGGTGGGGTCCTTCTTACTGTGGTACGAGATCGATGGTCATGCGATGGGGTATGAATCGTTGGCGTTGGGTCGGGCGGATCATTGCAGGCATTAAAGCGTAGTTTGTGGCGGTGGGCAAAATGTTCCACTGTCCCGTGTGTAAGCAGTCAGTATCGAGCGTCGAAACGAATACGAAGGGATGCATTGGTGGTCCGCCATCTTACCCGCATGTATGTCGTGTAAAGAGCAATGCTCGCCAGCTGCACGAATACGTCGTAACCCTCGATGTTTTTCAACAGCTCACAGGCCCATGAGTGAACGTCGTAGGTATCATGGGGCTCGCGATCACGGAAAAAGAGCTCCAGGTCGATGCGGTCGGAGGGTCCCAGGACTTGAAATGCCGGGACGCCTTTGGACAGCATCTCCATGGCGGCATCTCGGTAGCTGTAGAATAAGTTTGACAGCGGACTTCCGTCCGAAGCTATGAACGAAGGCAGGCGGTACTCCTCGGTTTGCAGGTTCAACAGTTGCCGGGCCTGGACTGCTGCGGGATAGTAGTTTGCTCGTACGGCGCATGATAGGGGAAGGTTGCCGAAGGCCTCCACGGCGCCAGGGGGAGAGACTCGGCGGAAGAAGACTTTGACCGGCGTTGCGCCGCTTGGTCAGCCAAGATGAGGGCATGGAGGAGCTCCGGACTTTTCTGCTCTTGGTCTTCTTCTGCTGACTCGAAGCCTTGTGCGTCTGCCCCAAGTGTGCGAGACTTGGCGATTAATGTCAGCATGCGACGGTCGAAGGTCAATCTGGGGGAAAACAAACTTGAGGATCGGTTGATTTCGCGTTTATGTCGATGCTGTCGACACGATGGAGGAGGTAGTGCATTTTGTCAATTTGCCAAGGAACTATCCCGGGCGGAAGCGGAGGCTCATCATCCTCCTCCGATTTGACAAAGCCGTTGATGCTTTGAGTACTGTTCCTGGACCGGTCCGTTTCAGACGTCTCACGGCAACTGCCGACTTTTGGTTTCCGTGACGCCCCTTCGCCATCTTTCAGCCGCTGGATGATAGCCTCGGGCGACTCGTCTGCGGCCAGCTGTGCCATGATGTCTGCTTTCACCTCTTGGTCCGCCGACTTGAGAAGCTCGAACAGCGATTTTAGCGTGTCCACCTCTCCTTTCAGTTGACGGTTGGCCTTCCGAATCCCCTGCATCCGGGTCTCGCCCAGGTCTGCCTCGTAGACGCAGTCATGTTTCGTCAACAAGCATCGGCCACAGAATGGCCGCTGAGTGTCACACTGGGCAATGTTCAGCTTCACTACGCGTCGGGCGTCGAAGCGCACTTTGAGCCGAGCATACCTTTTGCCGCAACTTTCTGCATTGTCCGCATGCTACGCGTCCCTTGGAGCCCTTTGACGAGTTGGCGTCAAGAGTCGACTTATCGTCAGACGCCTGGCCACGGGGGCGAAGGGGTCGCAAGTTGGTCGACATGCTGCCTCGTGGCTCTTGGGTCGGGTCGCGAGGATGTGATGATCAGCTAGGCAGACGGCATCATTGACGTGCATGGGGGCTGATGTATCCAGCCTGGGGCGCCATGGAGGACTCAGCGACAGCACAGGGGTCCTGCAGCGTGGCGTGCGTGTGTAGGTGCGGAGAAGAGCTGCCGCCTCGATGTGATTGTAGGTTGAGGATCCTTAATCATTAGTAATTTAGAAACTTCATAACAAGCGCGGGGCTAGCGTCAGGGTCCTCCGCCCCCCTTGGGCCAATAGGATCCCAACGGTAAGTCACTCGTCCAGTGCTAGTGGGACGAAGGATGCCGGCGAGAAGTTTAAAAGGCAGCGATGACTTATTACGAAAAAGGTTGACTGCGAATTGAGGGGGAACCCACCTCTGCATGGGCTCACATTCCAGCGTGAGACTGCTTGCTTTTTTTTTTAGCAAGATGACGGCGATATCCTGACCCAGAAAAGAAATGCAGTTGCTCTGGCATACCTAGCAAAAAGATGATTAGTACCGGCATGTCTCAGACATATACCATGACAAATTCAACCAGCAGGATCTGACAAGTTGGCACTACCGGTAGTAGGTAGCTGGTGCGGTAACTAACAACGTGACTTTGACACCAGAACTGACTAGTTGGGGTTAATTACGGTCTTACTTTGCAGTATTTGCAATAGCTCACGCAACCTGACAAGCCCAGCCAACATGCCTAATGGGTCGGTCATGTCAGTTGAGGCTTATCCAAGAGACCCGTAACGGGTGCAAGCCCACTGCCAAGAAACATACTCAATTATTGGCTAATATTATTCACATTTTCTCATGGCTTCCAGATTTTTCATGACGTCAATCCAGCATGAGACCCCGCAAACGGGCTTTGCTGGCGACCCAGAACCACCACCACCCTTACTTCCCCGGGCAAATCCCTTAGCTGCGGTCTGGTCCGCTACACGGCCGAAGATCCCGCCGATCACTGCCCACTGCCGTTGTTCACCAGCAGGTTTGGCGAACCCTTGGGGTCCCCGACGACATCCGGAAGAGCAAGCTCCAGAATCCGGTCCGTGACCTCCTTCGGCGTCCCGAAATCGCCCGCCAGGCCCCGAAGGTAGCACACCAGACCCGCAACGAGCGGCGCCGCCATGCTGGTGCCCGTCTTGGTCGCGGTGCCCGTGTCGGACGTGTGGCTGGCGCTGATGATATCCTGGCCGGGCGCGAAGACGTCCAGCTCCGGGCCGTAGCTGCTGCCGTAGATACCCTCGATGATGTTCACGCGACCGCGGTCGGGGCGGGTCATGCCGACGGTGAAGGCCTCGGGCAGTCTGGCGGGCGAGGTGTCGGTGGCGGGCTGGTCGTCGTTGCCCGCCGCGACAATGGTGAGGATGCCCTGCCTGTAGGCGGCGAGGACGGCATTGTCGAGCGCCGAGGCGTCTCTGGCGCCCAGAGACATGTTGAGAACGGACTTCTTCTGCGCGCCCTTGGAGACAATGTCGTTGACGGCCCAGTCGAGGCCTGTGAGTGTCGCCGAGGTGGAACCCTAATGGATGTTAGCATGCAACGCGCACCCGGCCAACGGACAACCAGATCACATACCGTATCGCCCTCAAACACCTTCACATCGATGACCTTGGCCTTCTTGGCGACACCGTAAGTCTTGCCGACGATGGTAGCCGCAACGTGGGTGCCGTGGCCGTCCGTATCGGAGTTGGATCCGGGCGACACAGTCGAGCCCGTCACGCCATTGATGCCGAAGCTGGCTCTGCCCTCGAATTCCGAGTGCGACAGACGGATGCCAGTGTCGAAGACGTAGGCGGTAGTGCCCTCGCCGGCGGTTGCGTCGTAGACATAGTTCGTCGAGCCAGCCTCGCTGTGGGACAGATCGCCCAAACTCCAGATGCTGTTCGCCTGCGTCGTCAGAGCACGCTTGTAAAGCGTTTGCTCCTGTTCGGTCGGGTCGACGAAGATGGCCTGGTCGAGCTCGACGGCGAGGACCTCCTCAAGCTGCGCGATGGCCTCGAGGGTCGCGTCATCGAAACTGCCGCTGTAGGCGTTGAAGTCGCCGATCTGGAAGGTCTTCTCCAGGGTTCCTGCGGACCCGTCGCGGCGGCGGAGGAGGCTACGCACGGCGTTGTGGTGCGCGTTGACGGCGTCGGGGCTGGTGCCGGGCTTGAGCTGGACGATGTACTTGCCCGCCATGAGTCCGGGGTCGGCGCGGCGAGCAACACCGTTCGGCGCCGCAAGAGCGGGCACGATGGTGCTGAGAAAGGCGAGGAACGGTGATGCTTTCATCTTGGTCGATCAGGCGGGTCGGTCCTGGAGTCGAAGATGATCAAGCTGGGGAGTGCACATATGTCACCGACTGGAATCTTTAAATGCTGCCCGTCTTACCTATGTGTCTTGCGGAGTCTCCTGTTTGTGAGTTGATTAACAAGGATAGGGAGAATCCCCGACTAGTATAATTACCATTGCGTGACACGGGGCCTTTGTCCTGTTTAGGAAGCTCGAATATACTGGTGTTGCGGGTAGATCCGACCCCGGCCGGCTCCTATGTACGACGCAAGACCGGTACTCTGTCCGGATTGCTATTGAATTCTTTCCCGGCGCACATACAACCTTTCATTCAATCAACTTCTCAAGCCTGCGAGTTTTTTGGCCTTTTCATGCTCTCTACATAGAGCAGAGTTGTCGTGCTGAGTCGCATCAAGGTTGAACAGTCTACCTCTCGATCTCGTATCGCGATGTGGGAACTCGCCTTGTCTTGACAGCCAAGGCCGCGCCCCGAAATGAACCATGGCGGATGGAGCCCTGGCGAGCAACGACCTTCCCCATTCTTCTTAATCGCTTCCCCGCCAAGCTTGAAGAATGCTGCGCGGTCGGCCACTGCCGAGTCCCATTTATAACTAGGTTGCGGTCATGCAATAGCACCAGTTTATGCTATTGAGATCCACTGTGATATCACGTCCGCTCCAACCCAGCGTGTGGCATACCCGGTCGGACAAGGTACCGATTGAACGGTGGCTATTCGCAGACTTAATGTCCGAGATGGCTGACCAAAGCGAAAACGAAGTTCACTAGATCAAAGGAAGAAGCTCGCTCTAATGCCAAGTACTGGGGGTGAATCCATGAAACATCTGTCTGTACTAATCAACAACCTTTGATCGGTTCAATGACTAGTGATTATGCATACAGGAAGTAACCCCCGACTTGGCGTTGGAAAGTACACTTCATTACTGGCCCTTAATCATCCAAGGCCGAAATATCACAATGGATGGACTTGCGTTGAGTTGGTACCGGCCAACTATGCGGCACAAGTCAACCAAATGACCTCACTAACTTGACGCAATCTTCACGAGCTGCGGACCAGCCACATGTCGAACCAGTCAATCATTGCGCGGAGACTTTGCTCCTTGCACCAGCCTAGATAATCCAGTTCGTCAGCCAACATGGCTCGCATGAGCAAGTTCAAACTGGGCGAGGAGTTACACTCACGTTGATACGGATCCGATGGGTCTCCTTTCACCGCGAAGCCGTGGCCCACGCCTTGAAAGAGCTGCATGTGGTAAATCTTGCTTTCTTTTTGCAGAACATCGATAGCTTTCCTTCGTGACTCGGTGTTGAATGCGTGGTCGTTCTCGGCGCATGAGAGCAGCAGAGGCTCTAAGAGCACAGTGTTAGCCATGTCCGCCGCGGTTGAGATCTCCCTGTCGTGCATGTTCCCAGTTCATGCGACTTGAGCGGCGAAAGAACACAGTCACGTAATAAGAAAATGAGGGGGGGCGAGCTCTTCACCCATACAACTTACTCTTCACGCCCGCGAAATGCTCCTCCTTCAGCGCGGTAGGATGCGCAAACGCTCCCGCCGACACCACCGGTTCCCCGTCCCCGCCAACCCCGGCAAGCAGATCACACACGTACGGCGCCCCGAAGCAATATCCAACGCAAGCGAACCGCGTCTCCTTTCCCGTCTGCGCCTTCAACTCGGCGCCGAATCTCTCCTTGACAGCTGCAGTCCACTTGGGCACGGTCTCGGCCGCGAAAGTCGAGTGCTTGGTGCGCCAGGCTGCGAAATCGAAGTCGGGCGGCAGCGGGTCGTCCTTGGTGTTACGGTACTTTGAGATGGGGTCGCCGCGGAAGTAGTCCATGCCGAGCGCCGTGTAGCCCGCCGATGCGAAGCCGTCCATGATGCACCTTGCGTTGACGGACAGCCCCCACACGTCCGGGAAGTAGAGCACGACGTGGCCGTTGGCGGGAGGAGAGTGCTTCACGTCCGAGGGACGGACGACATAGGTCGGCGCGCCGAGGATGTCTTCAACGTCGCCCCGGGGGCTGCCCTCGTGGAGCGTGCCGGTCCAGCAGCACGGCCCCAGGGGCTGGGCGATATATTCTTGCTTTGCGGTTGAGGCCTCGGTCATTTTGTCTGTCAGTTGCAGGTGCCTTGGATGAAGCGATTACGATTACCGGTGAGAGCGATGTTGAAGGTGCAAGTTGGATAGATTCGGAGATAAGAGTGAAATGCCGTGTCGGCACCGGCAGTGGTGCGGGGTTGCGGTACTGTTGCAGCAGCACAGACTCGAGGTTCGATCTAGAAACCTCGATTGTAGCGCACGAGCGTGCTTGATTCCTCGGTCCCCGGGCTGGGAAGACAAAGACAGCCACAGGTGGCGATGCTGATGAATTGTGAGGATGGTGCTTTTCCTCGTTGGCCTTTAATATGTTAGGGTTTACACTGCTCGGTTGTCACAGCTCCAAGCACTCAGTGATTTACGTGCAACTACCTAGGTATTATTCAAACCAAATGTATATACACAACCAATTGAAACGGAATATTTACTGTTGTTTGCAGGATGGCTGCTGTCACGGTATATAGCCAACCTTGTTTCTACCGAGCGGTGAGTTTGCGGGGCTGACACATCTGCCGGCTGTGTCCGTTGCCTTGGCTGAGCAGACCGGATAGGTGAGTCAAATCATAGCAGGTGTAGTGTTGGATAGTTTCGAACCCCTGCTCATATTCGAGAGGCCGACGAGGGCGGGGGGGGGGGGGAATTGAGCAGTTCGCAGCTGCTGGACCTTTTGGTTTACTGAACAAATATGTTCGGACGGACTAGGCTATTGGCTACCTGAACTTATAGTTGTCTTGGTTTATGGTGAGCAACTTACACACTTCCAGCCACATCTCACTACTTCTTTTCACATCAAATGAATCCTTGGGGGATCATCGTGCTCATCGTGAATGAGGTTGTATGGTATGGCGGCGTGGGTTTCTGTCAGACGCGTAGCCACTGATATGCCCGCCAACAACAAGCGAAGTTATAGACTACTTGGATTCACCGTGCAGAGATTCATGCAAAGGATGAGGAGTGCCTGTCTGCATGGTCTGATTCTGCAATTAGTCACATAGAAAGTCATTCAATAAGTCGTAAGAACATATCATTATTGCGTCTTCTAACTCATGAAATTCCAAGCTTGGGAGACGTGTCATGAGTTTAGATTCATTCAAGAAGAAAACTCTGGTTCTGCCCGGCCACACTGAACCAAATGCCATCTCCCAAATCTAAGACAGTCCCGCAGGAGGCGCAGTAGGGGCAGGAGGGGCAGGAGGGGCAGGAGTAGGCTCCTTCAGCGGCTTCCTACCGTACACGGAGTACCTAGAGCAAAGTCAGTTCCCAGAAGACCCCCCGTCCACAAAAGCCGTGTGCGATTCAACTTACACGTTCCAGTATGCGTGAATATCTCTATTCTTAAAATCCTTGCGAACGCTGGCGATGAAGACGAGCACCTCCTCCCTCGTCCAGCCGAGCACGCGCGTGAACAAGGCGAGCGCGCCCGGCTCGACGCCGTCGAGGCTGCAGGCCTGGGTCCAGAACCCGAGTTCGCGGAGGGCCTCGTTCTTGGGCCACGGGCTGGTCGGCCACACGCGCTTGTGCTCGACGACGTCCTCGAAGCCGGCCTCCTGGAGCATCTGCCGGAAGATGGCGGGCACCGTGATGGGGCGTCCGATGAGTTCCGTGCCCTCCATCATCAGCGTCGACCAGCGCGCCATCGGGTCGTCTTCCTTCAGAGTGCCGTCGCCGGACAGGATGGGAAACGCGTTGTCTTGCAGCTCAATGTAACCACCGGGCTCGAGGTTGCTGTAGCAAAGGCGTCAGCTTGACGGGCAGTGGAGTAAGTTCCGGCGGGTTGCGGCATACTCGTAGGCTTGCTTGAGGAACTTCTCCCAGCTGGCAAAGCATGCGTTCATGTGCCTTGCAAAAATGAAGTCAAAGGGCTCCTGCCAAGTCCACTCCTTCTCGATGTCGTCAATCTCGAACCTGCAGTTCGGCGGGACGCTATCACACTGGTAAGCACGTCGTCAGAAGACATGTCGGGTACATCCATGAACACTGACTACTCCGGCTGGATGGGACTCAGGTCAACGCCAATAACCTGGCCCGGGTTAGTAAAAAACCAGCTGGATTGGCAAATGGGAAGCATACAACTGCTTCGGGGTGCTCATCCGCTGTACGATATTAGCACAGTTCCCATGCCATGCCTCGCATCTCGGGTGATGTATCTCACCATAGTCCATAGCCCAGATGCCGGTACCTGTTCCCACGTCCAGAACACGGTTGGCGCCCTCTTTCTTCGGGGACATGCAGATTTTGCCGTCCCAGGTCAGCTGCCAACAATGATGCTGCATGTCTGGACCGTGTTAGTCCATCTCTAGGACCGTTCAGAGTTGAGATAGCCGAGGCTCACCCAAACGCTCCTGTTCCCTCTTTAGGTGGTTATGTTAGCCAACAGCTCAAGTTCTTGACATGCAGAGATATGAAGACGTACTGCGTCATTTGGCAGAATGTATGCTACGTGGTGGCGCCGTGTCGTTAGTTGGCCGGTTCACAGATCCTCGACAACCACCTCGGAATACTCACTTCCATCGCTGACACTGTGGTATGTGCGACCGTTTTCCCGTCGGTAATCACGGATGCTGGACCTCAAAGAGTCTGTGTCTGAGTGAACAGACTGGGACGAAAACACCGCGTCAGTCACGACGCAACGACGACAAGCATCCTCTGCGCAAGCTCAACTCACCGTGCCGCTCAACGAAGACGTCTCATCCTCGGCATCCTGGGCCTCCTGTAAGGTGTGAGTAGGGATGTGAGTAACACTAGAGAGTGGGTTTGACCCACGATCGCCTCCACCGGCTCCGGCTGCTGCTGGCCTTCCTGTACGTCGGCCATCTTTGTCTCGAGGGTGAAGGTGTTGTGAGGAGAGGACCCAACTGCGCGAGAATGCGTTGGAGAGGGGAAGATGGGGGCGTCCTTAAATCCGAGAGAATGGTCCCCCTGCCTGAATCCTACCATGTGCGATAACCCACGCCCCGCTCGCTCGCTTCGGTTGGTTCTGCAAACATTCCATCGTCGACGGTGATTGGGCGGCGCAAAGTACGGGACATACACTACTGCTCGCAGGGTGCGGCCATCTGTTTGTACGCGGGGTTCTGGGCGATTGTTCCGGCCGTAGCCGATTCGATGGATGAATGCGATTAGCGTCGCTTAGCGCTGTCACATTCCTCAAAACGAACAAAGTGACAGTCTGACGGGGGTCTCATTGGATCGTTTCCGGTCGTTGACAATCCAGCGGTCAGGATAACCACCTGTCGACGGCGGCCAGTCAACTTGAACGCCGATTCTCCGGTCTGCGGTGCCCTTTGATAAATGCCTGCAATAAGAGGATGACAGCGACGCTCAGGTATGTTGGAGAATACTCCAACGGCAGCAAAGCAGGCCGATTTGGCATGTCTTTAGACAACATGTTCCATTCTAGGCTTTGGGGAAGTAGAGCTGACCGTGTCTGAGACGCCCTTGCGGTTGCTGTCGATAAGTACATGTAGGAACTCTAAGTCTCTCCAGTTAGCTCCGAGACGTTATATATCAAGTGACCAAGACACATATCCAAGAACCATAGACGTAGTGCCAGAAACGATGGTGGCTCATGGCAACGCACACCAGATCGTACTTGAAAATACTCCGTGTTGTCTTGTAGCTAGATATAGCCACCCGGTTGGAGATTTAAGCTTGATATCACTAGTCTTGGGATGATACAACCCACCTCGATTAGTACGACCGAGTGACTCGTAAGTCTGGAAAAGGTCTGTTCTTTGTCAAAACAGGACAAAATCGTGTAGTGGACGAAACGGAATTGAAAGTTTCAGATCAGCCTTGCGACGTCGGTGAAGTCAAACGCGAACTGAAGAGGAACACTGGTAGTCTCGGCTGGGTTAGTATAACTAAACTCAAACCTAGTGGACTAGCCGTCGCCACGTCCTAGTCGAGGTGCATAAGGCGCACGCCAACACCGGCGGCCTTGTCTATACGGGTGGTTAGCTGCATATGGAATCTCGATAAGGTAGCTTCTAAGACCTGCACCTTGGTCTCGAGACGTTTGTTCGCTCTATGATAACAGAAGCTGTGAACGATTTCGTCGGGTTCTCTGCTTGCCATAGGTTGTTGCCCAAATTCCAGTAGCAGCCTCCTGGTCCAATGCACTGTTGGCGCCATCATTCTTGAGGCACTTGTGAAGCTTAGGCAAGCATCTACAATCGAGTGGCCTTTTGTGCTGTATCCCTTATCCCGCCATGTCCAAACACATGGGCCTTCAAACTTCAGTCAGCCGCCGATGGGCCCGTGGAACTGCCGACTCGATTTCCATGCAGAAAGGACCGACACAATAAGGACTAACGATGCTGTAGAATGCTCGTATTACACCAAGTCATGGACTCGTATCGCTTGACGAAATTGAAGTTGTAGATAGAACAGTATTTTCGGTGCCACTATTATGGTCTAATCCTTGATTATCAGGGTGATGCCAACACACCGAGACAGAGCCCACCAGCCCAGTATCGCGAAGCAACTGACAAGTCGCAGGGGTATCATGATCTTCTAGATGCAAAAATAACACTGCCTCAAACGCCGGCCCCCCTTCCCACCTCAAATCAAGCCCAGTAAGGCTTCTTTCCATAGACACAATATCTGGACCAAGGTCAGCCGCACGTTACCAGGCACACTACTGCGGGGATCCAGGCCCGGTCGGCGACGCAGGGAGGCAGGGCTGGACTTACACATTGAAGTAGGCGTGGTACCGCTGACTCCGGATCTCGGCCTCGACTTCGCGGCAAAAATCCTTGGTCTCTTCCACGCTCCAACCAAAGACGGAGGTGAACAGGCGCAGCGTCGAGGGCTCCAGGCCGGCGATGGACGTGTCGTGGCACAGAGACCCCGTCATGAAGTGCCGCCGGCCCGCCGCCCACTGGCCGATCGGCCACACCCGCTTGATCTCCACGACGCCCTCGAAGCCGGCGTCCTCGAGCAGCTGCTTGAACTGCGACGGCGCGTCGCAGGGCCTCCCGAGCAGGCGCGTGCTCTCCATCAGCATGGACGACCATCGCGCGATGGCGCTGCTGGGGGCATGCTGCCCTCGTAGCTCATGATGGGGAAGGTGTTGTCCTGCAGCTCAATGTAGCCGCCGGGTGCGAGGTTCCTTGGCGGGGGCGTCAGTATTCTGCAGACGGGGTTGGGTGTCGTGGTCCGACGCGGGCTCACCTAAAGGCCTTTTCGATCGTCTCCCTCCAGCTGGCAAACGCGGTGTTCATGTGGCGTATGAAGATGAAATCGTGGGGGATCCTCCATGGCCATTCGCTTTCCATATTGTATATCTCAAAAAAGCAGTTGGGCGCAACTCTGGGGGATGCATGTCAGCTACGCTACGCCACGCCACGCCCCCGTCTCGTACACCTGAGCACTCACACTTGGGGCTGGATGGGGCTGATGTCGACGCCGGTGACCTGCATGTAGGTTAGCTCCGGGTCGTGCGGAAAGTCGCAAGCCGTTTCTCATACAATTGCTTCGGGATGTTCATCAGCTGCGGCGGGTTAGCCAGCGGAAACGACGACAAGAGACAGGCAATTCCCTCACCATACGCCATGGCCCACACGCCGGTCCCCGTCCCTACGTCGAGGACCCGTGAGGCGCCATCCTTCTTGGGGCACATGCATAGGCGGCCGTCCCAGGTGGCCAACCAAAGAAGGTGTTGGATATCTGTGGATGCACCAGTCAGAACGACGTCGCCAGAGCCGCATGGGAATATCTTACCAAGACGGAACTGCTCGGTCTGTCGAGACGCGGAAAAGAAAAACAAATCAGCAAGTGCAAGCCAAAAAAAAACGAGAAGCGCCGACGAGACGTACAGTGTCGTTTGGGAGAATGTACTCCTCTGGCGCGGGCAAGTCAGCAAGAAGGCAGCGCAATCCACCACGCATCTACACGCACCTATGGGGTGATATGTTCGCCCGTGTCTCTCCTGGAATCCATTCTCATAGTCGCTGGTTTCCAACGACCACAGAGAGGGTGCTTGGCCTCCCGCAAGGGACTAGACCCCGTGTGTTAGGGTACCTCTGCATGTAGGGTGTGGCGGGAGGGGGGTTGGCACTGGAGACAGAAACATACAATGTCGTCAATTGAAGCCAGAGATGCGGCGTCGTTGACCGTTACCCGATCGACCGTGACGCCGTCTTCCGTCGCGTCGACCGAAGGACGTTCGGATTCGGCGTCGCCGTGCGCGAGGCCCTCATCGGTCCCGGCGTGCTGCGAGTCCAGGTACAGCTGCTCGGCGACGGCGCCGAGTTCGTCGTCGACGTCTAACAAACGCAGGTCCGAAAGACGGAACTGGAAAAAGGCCTCTGCGGGGTGCGAGGCGGCGGCGGCGGCGGCGGGCACGACAGGGGCATCGGGCTCTGGCTGCCGGGCGCCTCGGGGTGGTCGTGCACAGTCATGGTGGTCGCATCTCCATCTGCAGGTCTGGCGTCGGGCATGATGCAGAAGAGAGCTTCCACGCCGTCGGCCAAAGGAAGGGGGGGGAGGACAATCAAGTCGGCGGGTGACGGAGGATGTGAAAGCGATGAAGAGGATTTGACGGGCGAAAAGTGTGTCACGTCGAAGGGTGGGGGGAGGGGGAGCTTGGGCTTTAAACGTTCCCGGGCACATGGGACGCTCCCGAGGGGGCGGTACATGCTTACATGGTGGCCTACCAACAGAGCCTACTACCGATATGTGCCCCGTCGTTTTCCCCTAGCCCAAAAACCAAAAGAATGAATGGGGAAAAAAAGAAATTACCCACCGACCACCTGAACGCCCCCAACCAGTTGGTCGGGTCGGAACCTTGATGGAACTCTGATGGAACAATTGGAACTGTTGGACCAGTGCGTGCTGTCGCTGCTGCTGCTGCTGCTGCTGGGAATGCCAGGGCTCCTGGTGGAACTCTAGGAACAAAGAAAGAAAAAGAAGAAAAGAAGAAAAAAAGGCGTTGCAATGCTGGATGTGATTGGGCTCCGCCGCATGCATGATAGTTTGCTCCTGCATGCAATGGCCGGGCGTTTTCTGGGCCCCTGGGATTCCGAGGGTGAGTGAATTTGAAGATGGGGAGGGAGAGGTGGGAAAACGGCACACACACACTCATACATGCACATACATACACACATACATACAGCATCGAGGCGGCGCGGCGCAAGAGTCAATTCTTCAACAGTTTCCCCCCTCTCCGCCGCCCTTTTGTCAAAATGTGTGTGAGAGAGAGAGCAGCTCTCCCGGATGCCCAATGGTCCTGCTATCGTATCGGGGGCGGCCAAATGAGAGTGAGCTCCTCACCATGCTATGTAATGGACTATGTAATACCTACATGACCCCCGGTTTTCCCTCCAGGGCCCCCCCCCGGTCGGTGAGGAGGAGACCCTTGGTGACGGCGCCATTGGGGGTGAGTTCGGTAGTTTAGGTATGCCCGTGATGGAATCGGCATGCTGGGGGCCACAACGCAACCGCTTCCTGCGGACTGCGGGCCTGGCCTGGCGCGTGGGACTGCTGCGTAGGTATTGCCTTAAGTCCGTTTACTCCGTCTTTTGGAGAGTTCCGGCGCACTCGCCTTCAGACTCGGGGGGTTTGCGACTGAGGCCGTCCCCCTTTGCGCGCTGTCACGACTCATGGGGCGCCGGCCTCATCTGCCCCTGCGGGGAAGGCATAGATTGCACCATGGATTGCGCGCTCATCTATGCACCTCACAGCGTGCCCGGCCAGTTCTGTTTGGGAGAGGTGCACTTGGGACTCGTTGATTGGCAAGCGCCGTCCTCCCTCTTGGACCCTGATAGCGCAATGGTGGCGAAAGGTGTCGCCTTATTTGGAGTCCCTCCCCCCCCCTTGCAGCCCGCATGCTCATGACTTACATACACCACATCCGCCGCATCGCAGAAGACGTGCGAGTCAGCAACCGCGTTCCCACGTGGGCGTTTGGTGGGGTCTAGAATCTGATAACGGACAATCAATCCAGAGGAATAGATGGATTGGGGGGGAGGGAGGATGCGAAGTCGAGTCGTGCTTGAGGTCTCTGTACTCTGGTCCACTGACAGCAAATGGGGTATCTACCCCGACAGGATGGGGGCGGCGTAATTAGCTATTAGGATATCTACAAGCAGCGCGGCCATCTTTGCGCATTCGCCAACGGGACATGTCGAGTCCGTCGACGGGGGAGCATCATGCGGCCCCTGGTAATTACCAACGCCGGCTCAAATTCGGGCGGCACGTCTCTAGTGTGGAAGGCCAAGCGACGCGACACCCCGACAACCCTCTATATTCCACGATATCTATAAAGTCTATCCAGCAATGAAACGTCCAAAGGACCCCCTGCGACACAACACCTCTTAACCGCCCCACAGTTCCGAGCGCGACCCCAAGGACCCGGACCTCATGGACCCCGGCCCCGACCCCATAGATCCCGGCCGCACTCTCTTGCTCCTCCGCCCGACCGGGTCGGCAGCCAACTCGTGCCTCGTCTCCCACGTCGCGAACTCAAACGCCTCCTGGCTCTCGGCCGCCGAGCCCAGCTTCCACGGCAGCGTCGGCGTCGCCGCCGCCCCCCGCCGCGCGAGGGCGTCCTTCTCGCGCAGCTGCTGCTCGGCGTACATGATGATGTCGCTCTGCGTGTGCGGGATCCGCTTGTTCCTCTGGACGTGCCGGCGGATCAGCCACGCGGCGGACCCGAGGACCGCGAGCGCGGCGAACGTCACGCCGACTGCGATGCCTGCGACCGTGCCGCTGCGCGATTGGCGGGCTGGCGCGCCGGCGCTCGCGGCTGGTGTGGGTGTCGGTACCGGGGTCAGTGTCGGCGTCGCTGTCGGAGAGGATGTCGCCAGTGCCGATTCTGCTGATTCGAGGGCGAGCGTTGTCGAGGTGGCCGGGTCGGTGGTCGTGGTGGTGGCGATGGTTGATGATGTTGTTTTTGACGATGTTTTGCTCGACAAGGTCGTTGTTCTTGCGGACAATGTCGACGTTGTCCTCGCGGGCGCCGTTATGTTGAAGTAATGAGACGTCACGATCCCCGCCGACTCCCCGGTTTTGACCAGCTGAAGAAAGTACACCGGGCTGAGACCCGGATCATGGTACGGCGGGAAGCCGTCGTAGCCCACAGTCCACACCAGGCTCTTCGCTTTCGAGTTGACTGTGAAGACGGTCAGCTCCGGCGCCCGCAGGACAATACGCGCGATTGTGCCGACTGCGTCGGGCGCACTCACCAGCAAGCCGCGAAACGGCCGGCTTCGTGTTCCCCTTGGGCTGCTGCTGCCAAAGCAGCAAGTCCACGGGCTTGGAATCCGCCTCCCATTGCAACGTGATCTTGCTCCCCAGCGTGTAGACGGGGTTGTCCCGATACTCCCCCGTCGGACCGGGGCCCGGCGGGCGGCGGAAGCGGGTTTCGGAGCGGGCGCATATCGGATACAGGACGCCCAGCAGCAGCAGGACGACGAGGAGATGCATCGCGAAGACCAAGACCCCTGCTGGCACCCTGGAGCAGCCCGGAAAATCTCCCAGAGATTGGACAAAAACCTTGGCGGGGGAGAGAGAAGAACCAACCTTCTCTCTCTGTTCGAATTGCAGGGGCTCGCCAATATTATGCTTGTTTTCTCCCGGTCCAAGTGCCGCAAAGCCGTTGCCACGGGCTGTGCGCTCGGAGGGATGCGAATGCTTATTTTTAAAAAGTCTCCTACCTAGGCCACGGCTCTCTGGTCCGCCCGCCCACCGCCATCTAGACTCTAGTGCCGTTTCGCCATGGTTCGAAGCCAGGATGCCACGAAAAGTGCGCTTGCTTCTATTCACGTCGCGCCAAGCGACGCCTCCCTCCCCCTCCACGATCGGATCCCGACAACGTGGTCGAGATAAGATAAGGGACGGGCTCGGGGCTTTTGGGGTTGCCTTTCTACCACAGTCCCGGGAGAAACGGGGAGGGGGTGGTGGCCGGTACGATACATCCATAGATGGTGTAGGTAGTACGGTACCGACTCAGGAGGTGCAATGTAACCCTGTGTGTGGGTGGCCGCAGCCAATCCTCAGCCGCAGACCGCCAACACCCTCAGCCATCAGAAACCAACCCTGTTCGTTCCGCATCGAAAGCGCACGCAACCAGGTGTCTCTGCTTTACGAGTGCCAAAAGGGGCATTTGTCCGACCGTGTCAAACAATGCAAAAAAGGCAAAAGAATCTCCTCGACGGGGAATTGAACCCCGGTCCCCTGCGAATCGTTTGGAATGACAAGCAGATATCCTCACCACTAGACTATCGGGAATTGGTGGATGTATGCATCCAGTGATAGTTGGTTGGATGGAGTTGCCGCTAGTGGCATTATGTACCCCACTCACTGCATCATTGGTGCGGTACCGCCCACCTGGTTCGCGGTACCGGGGACTGGCGGACAAGGGGTCACAGGAAAAAGCACGACATTGGGTGCTGTGCCGCATCTACCCTGTCTGTTTCCTCTCGCTTTTATTTGTTGGCTTTATTTTTATTCTTTTGCCTGTGGTGTCTTGTCGCCCCTGTCTTCTCTGCGTCTTCCTCGAGCTTATGTCCACTAGACCTTTACCTAGACCATGCATGGTAGGGCGACAAGAGACGAGACGAGGTGCAAAAGTTATACGTAGCAGTACCATCCGTCCGGCTTCTATTTCTGCCAGTTGTATGGTTCTCTTCCGAACGCAGCAACCTCTGCGGCTCCGGGAATATGGCGATTTCTAGCATGACGGAAAACCATTGGCCCATGATTAACATTACACAACATAACACACTCCAGGTGCATCAACGTGGAGTCGCGAGTCCTAAAGGGGCCATGCCACCCCAAACCGCCCATGCGACGCCGACACCGCGCGGCAGATCCAGCGCGTCCTCATTCGCCCCGCCGGAAACGACACCGTTCCTTCTCGTGCGTGTCGCGATACCACTTTGTCGTCAAGACCCTGGCGCAGGGCCCGTTCCGGCACTGGTACCCTTGCCGCTTCTCCCGCGTGAACGCGCACCCCTCGCGGAGGTGCTTGTTGCGGTTGCTGACGCTCGAAAACGTCTTGGTGCACTGCGGCGTCAGGCACGGCATCCTGTCTCCTCGGCCCCGGTGCTCGCGCGACGCTGGGCGCGAGGACGACGATGCGCCGGCGCTTCCCATGCTGCTACGGCGGGAGTCAGCACTGCTTCCGGGTCAGGGCCGGCTCGGCAAATCACTTACCTGATGCTGGAGGAAGACACGTTGCGGCGCACACCCAGCGTGTTGAGCGACGAGAAGCTGCTGGACGGAGTGATGCAGGCATCCGATCCGTATGCGGGCGATTGCGATGCGAAAAACGGTATTGCTGGATCGGGATCAAGCCGGGAAGGGCGGGCTGAAATGCCGTGCATCTTGAGATAGGCCGTCACAAGGGCGCAGCAGCGGGCGTATCCCGCTGGCGTCGACGTAAAGGCGTCCAAGGCAGGCTTCCCTGTCGCTGAATGAAGATCTAGCGGCGCGTTAGCTATGGATTGTTTATCGGGAGAACAAGCCCGCGCATACTCAAGATCAAAGCGAGTACAATCGAAAAAGCCACCGAGACGAGCAGCAGCATCGTGGCGGACAGCAAGTCTTCCCATCCGCCAACCTCCGCCGATGACGGACCTGTCTGTCTTGAAGCCATGTCCTCAAATTGTTCCATGTGCAGGAAATCCGCCCACACCAGGTCGTCTCGTTGGGTCGAGGAGCTCGCATGGGAGCTTTGACACGGCTGTGAGCGACCAGGGATCGCCTGGCCCTGGCTGAATCCCATATGAGTTTCCTGGCTCTCAAAGGCCCTCTGGATGGCTGCAAGCCTGCTGCCGGGAGCAGAGATCCTCGACGGCATCGACTCCTTGCGCTTCTCGAGCGATATCAGGTTCTGGACCAAGTCTTGAAAGTGCGAAAGGCTGTCGGAGTTAGGATCCGAAGGCGCGCCGCCTGATGGAGTGTATGCCCACATACGGAGCGCTAGATCGTCAAAGAGGACCTGCGATGAGGCTGGCAAGATCGAACGCCACCGGTCGAGGTCGTTGACGAATCTGTATTAACGTTAACCTTGCGAACTTGGGCCGATGAGAGAACACGTTTGCCCATTGTGTCGTCGGTTCTGGGACGGGTATGGACTCACTGGAAAAAGATGGTTTCGTCATGTGTAAAGAGGGTCAGGCAGATGGCGTTGGCCACGAGAAGCGAGTCAACCACCTCCGGCAAGGTCGACGGCGGATTGTCTTGCATCAAACCACGAAAGACATCTAGACCACGGCCCCAAACGTCGTTCGCAAAGACGTACTTGCTGGCAAGGCCCCGTATGTCGCCGTGATCCGAGCAGGTACAGACATCGCGCAGCTGGGAGCACAACGCGTGCATGCACGAGACCAGACCCCGTCCCAGGGCCCGCCGACGATGCCGGGAGCGTTTCCGCCGAACCGGCTCTTTGGGGTTGTTGGCTGCTTGGTCTTGGCCCTGCCGATCATCCATCTGGGTACCATCTGGCGGATACGGCCTGCCGTTGGTGAGTAGTGGCTGATGGTCTCTGGACTGTCCGACGGTCTCCGCACCCAAAGATGCTGGGGGCACTTCTCCAGCCATGGCTTGATCCATGAGACTGAGTTCTGCAAACGATTCGAATGTGTTGTCTGGAATGAGCGTTCCCGACATGTCCATGACTCCGAAAGAAAGCATGATTTCCATGATCTTGTTGTCCGCGTTCGAGACAGCCATTGCAACGGCTTCCCTCAGCCCGTCCGGAAAGATGTTTCTGGAAAGGATTACCCGAACAATCTCGGGTTGCCCCCAATAAACCGCGGCAGAAAGTGGTGTCAGGACAACGTGGTTCCCACTACCTTCTGTCGAATCGCCATGGTGGACACCGAGGAACGATGTTCCCTGTTGGAGAAGACTGTCCACCTGCTGGACGTGCCCGAGGCGAATAGCGACGTGCAGCGGGTCGTGCGTGATGTCCCGGAGGAACGACCCGTTCTGACTCGTAGACCTGTCCCTCGTTCGTGAGGCGAGGTCGAGAACGTAGCGGTAGATGTCCGGCCGGTCTCGGTCAAGCAGCTCGAGGAGTAGATCAGGGTTCGTCTCCCACTCGACCTCGCCGGATCGGACGATGGGCTCGCAAAGATCATGCAGGGCAGTCATGTCCCCAGCGAGTGCGAGCTCGGTGAACCTAGAGGCCAACGCTTCGAGGAACGCGTCGTCCATCACTTCGGGAAGGAGACCAAGGCAGAAACAGGCATCGAGGTCATCCAGGCCAGCATCGACACTTCGCTGGTGCATGTCGTGCAACTGGCCGAGAGAGAGATGGCCGTTGGATCGGTACATTTCGGTACCGATTCCTGCGTACAGGGCTCTGTCGAGAAGGAGATCCCGAACGAGCAGCCGCAGCTCGACCGTGGAAGGGTGCGATGGTGAAATGGTTTCAAGGTGTTGTAGGTGAGACTTGAGCGTCGTGTAGTTGGAAAGTATCGAGGGGAAGTCAAAGGGCGAGGGCATGGCGATGGCGAGTGACTGCAGTAACGTCAAGCTCCGGATCTCGACTTCAATGGTCTTGGAAGGGCGACATTTGGAAACGGTGAATGCGGGCAGTGAACCGGGCGAGGACTGAAAGGGTAGGTATATACCCAAGCCCGGCGACACGGCTTGGAAAACATCGCCGCTGTAGTTTTCGAAAAGAGTGTTAGCCAATCATCTGAGGTGGGCACCACAAGACGAGCTTCGTCATTGAAGACACATAATTTAGGTGGTTCCACTCTGCAACGGTCAGGTGCACACCACATGCCAACCACGAAATAGGTTTAGAGACTGGATAACGAGACGGGGATACTCCAAGACCATAGTCCTAATTGCACGACAAATGAAGCAAGACCACAACGGAACACAAAATGGACGAGGCATAATGATATATAGAGCGCTTCGGTGAGCGAGTTAGATGGACGATCGGCGTACCTTTCGAACACTTCAGTAAAGGCAAAGCAGGGTGCATCGTCAAGGAAGTCGTGGCTCGTGGAAGCGGCACTGCCGCAAAAGCCTGAGTTGGGCCACGACAGGGCGGCCGGATGAGACTTGAGGTTCTCATCGATGTCGGCAAGGCGGAGGTTGAGTCCGAGAGATGTTAAGGAGGCCATCTTGGCGGTTCATGGAGGCATTGGCCAAGGAGGAGCAGCGGATTCGACGGCCAGGACGAGTTTCACACCAAACCAATGGGTGAGAGAGGGAATGGCGTGTCACGGCACATAGGTAATATTCAGACCGAGACGAGATGCAGGGAAGCAAGCACTGCGAAGCTGGGAGAGTTGGTGTTGATGAAAAGATGCCTGGAGGCGGCCCCGCGGATGAGGCTGACAGGCAGCGCCGGAGGTGTGGTGGGTCCTCGAATTTAGGAATCGGCGGCAGGTCACGCGGGGATGCCGGCCTCGATGTGGTTGGGCAGAGTGGGGGTTGCCGGTATGCGACGGCATGCGCGTCGAGAAAGGTGATGCCGTACAGGGGCGCTGCGGCTAGGACCGGCAACCGATGATGTGCGGAGCGCGAGTTGATGCTTTCATTCCAGATGCGTGGATTGCTGATGGTGATGTCGTCCTGGACTACCCCTTGGCGGTCTCTTCCACCTTCACATGCTGTACATGCTTGATACCGAGTTTAGGAACGCCTGCTGCGCGTCGGTATGCGCACACGCAATGACGACGCAGTAGAATTTGACCACGGGACTTGCGACTGACTGAACAGATGGAGGTTCGGTATCTGGTAGATGAACATTGAACAGGACCAAGAATGGAATGATGATGACAAGAGAGCCCAAATGGCGGGCAGTGAGTGACATCGCCAAAGTGGATGAGGTACGTACAGTGTCGAGTGATGGGTACAACACACTTGTACACTGCGCCCCACATGGTTGATATCCGCCATCCGCCATTGGCTGACACGGTAGGTAGCCTTTAATCGTTAATTGAAAAGTCCCCACGACGCGACTCGACGCGTCTCCCCGGCGCCAACGCCTGGAGCAACATCCAATTTGCATCTGCCCTCTTTGAACTTCAACAGCCAGCCCACCCACCGACACACATCGCCAACGACATACACGCACACACAACGCCAACATGTTGCGGCACGACTACAACCGGATCGACCCCAAGCGGCGCAACGTCGTCGACCACCGCAAGAAGCAGTTTGCCTCCCCGGCCTACAAAGAAGTCGACTACCCCCACCGCCTCAACTTCTACGCCGACGCGCCGACCGCCGATATTACCCTCGAACAGTTTGAGCAATGGGCCATTGACCGGCTGAGGAGTAAGTTTCCCCGGCCTCTTCTCCCCATCCGCCGTCTTGCAGCTGACGCGCTCCACTAGTCCTCGCCGAGCTGGAAGCCTGCGCGTTCCGCAACAAGTCGCCGCAAGAGGTCGCAATCCACATGAAGCCGCTCCTCGACAAGTATCTCCCCCTCGAGTCCAACAGCTCACACTCGCCGAAGCTCTTTGCCCAGCGCCAGAAAGACCACTACAGCCACTTCATCCTGCGCCTGGCCTTTGCGCGGACCGAGGACCTCCGCCGCCGCTTCACCCGCGTTGAGACAATGCTCTTCCGGCTGCGGCTCAACAGCGACGACCAGAGCGAACGATCCGCCTTCATTAGCAGCCTCGACCTTGACTGGTGGGAAGCCGTGACGGACGACGAGAAGCGCGAGTATGCATCGGAGCTGGCCGCCATGTCGCGCGGCTGGGGTAAGACGGCCTCGACGGAGGACGACACATGGTTCAAGGTCGACTGGGACCGCGTACCGGAACTGGTGGAACAGCGCAAGGTGTTTCTGAAGGCTGGCAAGGCTTTCGTCCCAGGCAGAGAACAAGCCAGCATGGTTGTTGGCGAGTTCGTCTCGCGGTTGGAGAGGCAGCTAGAGGTAGGCGTCTTTGTTGACGAGCAGCGCGGAAACCCCACTGACAACCTCCCAGCTCACAGCGCGCGCGCTTCCCCGACTCGACGAGGACGACCGCCTCACCCCGATCCTCGACCACCTCTCCAAGAACTTCATCACCCCAGATAGCTCTTACAGCTCCAACACTGCCGCGCCGCCCGGCGCCGAGATCACTGCCCGCAACATTGACAACCTCGCCCAGCACTTCCCGGCCTGCATGTCGCACCTCCACCGCTCGCTGCGCCGCGATGCGCACCTGAAGCACTACGGCCGTCTGCAGTACACCCTCTTCCTCAAGGGCATCGGGCTGAACCTCGAGGAGTGTCTCGTCTTCTGGAGGCAAGGGTTCCGCAACATCACCGACGACACGTTTAACAAGGAGTACCGCTACAACGTGCGTCACTCGTACGGCGATGTCGGAGGCGACTCGAACCGTCGCGGCGGCGGGTACAGCCCCTTCAGCTGCCAGAAGATCCTAACCGAGCACCCGCCCAGCGCCGGCGAGGCCCACGGCTGCCCGTACCGCCACTTCAATCTCGAGAATCTGACGGCCCTGGTCCAGAGCATGGGCGTCAACGACCGGGCCACGCTGCAGGGGGTCAAGGAGGACAAGGAGAACCAAAAGTTTCACATGGCGTGTAATCGGTATGTCTCTCGGTTCCGTTTTTTTGTTGGGGACGGCCAGTCGTACGAACCGTCTCGGATGGGGGGGCAATCCAACTGACATGTCTCCAGCGTGTTCGAGCATTTGCACAAGCAGGAACTCAAAAAGGCAAAGGACGAGGGCGTCTTCACGTCTGCACAACTCGAGACCATTGTCCACCCCAACGAATACTTTAAGCGCAGCTACCTCCTCAAGAACCTTGACAAGGGGGCGGACGTCAAGATGGAGGGGTGAGCCGAGCCAGGACCCTGCGCTCCGTCCGTAGGTCGTGGCCGCAGTCACGAGAGCGGCCGAAATGTGACAACAGGCCTTGGCTCTGGCATAGGGATAGCCGGGCGCGGCAGCCAAGCTTTTCTGGTGGAAGCTTGTGTCAGTAGGTTTGGTGAAGGGCAGAGGCAGAGAGGCAGGGTGAGCAAAGGCGGCTGCCTGACTAATGAAGCGTGGCTTATATGAAAGGGACGGGTTCGACGGCGGTCTGGACCCTCCGGTCTCTGCCGTGGAGGACAGCAGAATGGGGGGGGGGGGGGGGGGGGGGGGGGGGGGGGGGGGGGGGGGGGAGGCGTTGAATAAGGGGAACATGTGTCTCGTGGAACCATCACCCCACGAGCAAAACTAGACGGTCTACCTATCTCGGACCTTGTGGTGTATTCGGCGTTCATGGTTGGATGGGATGCGACGGACTTTTTTGGCGGAGGGAATTTGGATATTGTGCGCTTAGGTTCGTTTCTCGTGGAAAGTCATCCCAACACGATCCCTGGTCTTTTTCTTCCGCAATGTTTTGGCATTCCCACGTGTCCCGTGTCTCGTTTCGAGACGGAGGGGGGGTGAACAAGAAAACAAGAAGAAATCGAGGCTTTGGTATGAGGCCGAGGTTGCCGCTCCATACTCCGATTCTCGCAACCCGAGAATGAAGCGTCAAACTTCGTCGGCAGGAACCGCGAAGAATCTTTTTTATGTTTTTCCCCCATTCGGTCCTAATCCCTACGGCAGTTCCTCCATTGGGCATCCGAGTTTTTTTTTTTGTCATCCGGTGATGGATTACTTTTTGTTGTCTTTTTCCCTCGGCATCCTCGGGGTGGTCACGACGGTTTGGGTTTCACGTTTGGACACTTGGCGCGGGCTCAGCCGCGGCGTTGCTTGGCTTGGTAAGGGAAGACCTGGGTTGATCTGGCGAGAACAACGGTGGCTCGTCGTTGTTTGCTGCTTGGCTACGTTTCTGATTGCCCCAGCGGACAAAGGCTGACAGATAGTCGAGACTGGGTCTGGACCTCCCAGGCCGGCCGTGGGGGGTGTATGAGATAGGAGCCCAGGCCCTGGCTGGCACCCCGCGGGCGGTTCTTCTGCGAGCTTAACTGGAATAGGGTTCTCGACTAGCTGGGTAAGGGTAACGCGGGTAGTGCGTTTTATCGATGGGCGAGACAGAGAGAGAGAGAGAGAGCCCCGGCCGCCGGCGAGCGAGCAACGGCAAAGGGGCTTGAGGGGGTCACGAGAGGCGCAATGGTCGAGACGTGGCGGTTTGGTCCAACTTGTTTTTGCATTACGCCAGGCGAGCCGTGATCGGGAATGGGCAAAGTGTTCAAAGTCGCGAGGGCCGCGAAATGCAATGCGGCATGCGATGCGGCATGCGTGCGTGCGTGCCTGTTTGTCAGCGATCGAGAAATGTGAAAAAGCGCACCTCACGCGGTGTTTTCTGACGCCCAGAGCGTCTGCAACGGCGATTCTGCCGTGATGAGACGTGTGATCAACCCCCCCGCCGCTGGGACCCTTTCACCCTCCGTCCCGTCTCGCCGCTGCATTCGCGAGGCCTCCCTGCGATGTAGGTTGAAAACCGAGATCTAATGGGGGGAAAGGAATGGGAAGGGGGGGCCCAACGGGTGATGACTTGAATGTGTCTGACTCGTATGCGCACGCCTCAACACAGAGCCTGGGCTCCGAGCCAGAGAGAGGCCATTCCCACGTCCGCGATAGTGACGGTCGAGATCGCGGCCGGAGTCATGATCAGATCATCTCCACGGCCACTGGCCCGTCCCAGGCCCCCCATGCCAGATAACCAACGCCAACAGTCACATTTCTCGGCCAAGCGGAGGACTGGAATCGCTGCAGAAGTCGAGAGCACCCCTTGCCGACGCCCATGCACCGTATGGTGTAAGTCGAGTGCGTTCGCGGCGAAAGTAAAGTAGCCAGAACAGCCTCATGCGGCGCAACTATTTCCCCCCTCTGCGCATCGACCGGTCTGGACCTCCCCCCCCCGAGCGGCCCTGGTCTAGCCCCCGGGGTTCGATGGACGGGTCTAGGCCCTCCCCCCCCCGGTGAACCGTTACACAGGAACTGGTGCAGTCTTGGGCTTGGGCTTGTCTGTCTTGTCTCGTGCCAGGGCTGGGAACTTGGAAGAGTCGCAGGAGCCTGTAAGCTGGTCTGGCTGGTTGCTAGGCAAAGGACCCCTGGAAAGGCGTGAGAAAGGGTACGACCGTTCCAGCACCAGCAGGCCAGAGTAAATCCCACGGAAAAGACGGCGATGCAAGGGTGCAGCGGTTCGAGACTCTATCGCCCGA